CTGCGACGGCGATATCTATATAATAAAGGCAAAAATATCTAATGGAGAATGATAGAAAGTCTAAGTAGGCTATATATCTGCTAAAGCTTTTTAATAGATACAATTTTATAAAGTCTCTTCACTGTTACGAGATGTTTAACAAAGCAAGAATGTTCTCTCTCTCTCTCTCTCTCTCTCTCTCTCTCTCTCTCTCCTCTTTCACTCTTCTTCCATCCGCCGAAATGCTGTTTGAAAATTTTTTAATAAGTAATTAGCAGTCTATAAATTCATTATTTTCATTGGAATCTAGTAAAATCTTAACGGTTCGTTAAAGAATTCCATAAAATTTGCATTAAAATACATGTACAGGATTTTACTTATAGGGAGAATAATCAATTAAATCTTAACGTTGCTAATAATTTATGGAATGTCAAATTTTAACCCTACCAATCGACAACTATTATAAACTATTATTATGGTAAAAAAAAATTGATAATCCGTTTTATTAATACCTATATTGCGCTTAATAAGACAAATAAATTGGTGGTGAAAAAAAATTGGGTCATGCGTTACAAATTACAAATTTTGAGTCAGTAAAGCAAAATTTTACAGATAATGCCAAGAAAAAAATTCGTAATATCTGTAAAATTACATTCCTTTTCTTTTTCTTTTAATTATAAATGACTTTTTAACTGTTTACTTTTTATTTTTATAAGAGTCAAATTATTTTTATACTGTGGTATATACATTCTTTTTTTTTATACAATTGTTAATTATTGAAAGGCTAAATAATGCAATTCTCTATTTCTCTGCAGTTTCTATCTTTGAAAAGAGGTTAATAGAATAGTTTTTTCTTTGCTCTTTCTTTCTCTCTTTCTCTCTCTCTCTTTAGTCTCTTACTGGTCTTTATTAATATAACAAAATAAAACTGGAACTAATAATTAAATTTTTGATCTTCACTGAATCAGAAAAGCTATGCCAAAGCCGTTTCTTTTAATCTATTGAATACAGATATTTCTATTTTATGTTTTGATAAAGAAGTGAAGGCATTGACTGAAGTTTAATAAGATTATTACTGCAGATATTATCATATTTCTCATCTTTTAAATTAGACTAAAAACGAGATGATAAAACAAAAAATCTACTCTGATTTTTACGTTGCTTTATGAAAGTAAAATAAATAGAGCGAGAACGATAGAAAGATAGGAGTAACGTGTGATTTTTTTTAGGGAAAACTAAAAAGTGAACAGGGTGAGATAGAGATAGTGAGAGAGGAGAGGGAAAGAAGAGGCGGAGGAGGAGGGGGAGTATAAAGGGAAGTTCGATAAAAGTATAAATACTGCATTATGTGTACACACTCCATATAGATACTTATAAATATATATCTATATATATATATATGTATATATATATATAGCATATACAATATATGTATACAAATTATAGTAAGATCAACTCAACAATCCGCTTGCCAATTTATATTCTCCTATTGCAAACGAAAATTGATTGAAATTGAATTTCACAGTAATGTAGGTTTGTTTTAAAAAATTAATGACTAAAACAGAATTAACTTTTTTTCTGTCTGTTGATCTAGGGTTAGGAGTACAGCCATCTAGCTTTGAATAAGCTATAGAAAGCTTGATAGGCTTTATAAATGGATGAATAAATGTCATTATAAAACTGCATAGATTAAGGTCAGCATCTATACCTAGAAATATTCTTTTACGTGATTTCCATTATACAATAAAGCTTCTCCTCTTTCCTCATTCCTCCTTAAATCCTATTGCTTTTCTAACTTCCTGTTTGAGATATCTAGTCTGAAAAGAATTTCTTGAAAATCACTTTATTCTTTTCTTTTTAAGTTTGCATAGTCTTTTTTTTTACCAAATATTAGCCCAAAATCTTTGGGAACTGCTTTGTTTATATTAATATATTTATTACATAAATAAAAAGGAGTTTCTTTCTGCATTGCCTGAAACAATAATCAAGCCTTTACAAACCTATCCTTTTATCTATTGTATACATTAATGTACAATACGGAAACCGATCAATGCACGTTTTTCAAGTCTGCACTTCCCACTGCAAACACTGCATCGAATTACAAAAGGTTTTTAGGCCAATTTGCGGTGTTTGTTTGTAATGTTATCGGATAGAAAGGCAGTCGTTAGACTAAAATATATAGACGGCAGTCAATTAGTGATAATTTTTCATCAAAAAATCAACAATAACGCCATCTTTCGGTTGTTTACCCGCAGTTCAACTCCCGACAAACAACGGAAAAGACAAATAACTGGATCTTATGCTATTAATTTTTTTTTGGAACAACCTGCATATTTAAGGAACATATCTATTACTTTTTTTTTCATTTCTACAAACAAACTGCCAAACTGGAGGAACGCAAGGTAAGAATTTTTTTTCCTATAATATTCCTTTGTAACAAAGATAAATTATCTATGTTAACTTTCACACGTCCTTTTGGTAACCTTTATAAAGCCAGATTCCCACTATTCATTTACTTTATATATAGATATACACTATTTGTAATATACGTATACACTTGTGTATATTATATATTTATATAGGATATATATTTACATAGAATATGTATATATATAGATGATTTTATGATATTTTGTTCAGAAAAGAAATCCTTTAAAAGGAAAAAATAAAGACTAGCGTTAGTACCGTAATATAAAAGCGTTACTTTCTGATAGAGAAGTTGGAAATCGCTAAGGTTTCTTCTATGATGTTCCTTCTATATTATACAGCTTATCAAAACGTTCTGATAGATACTGTTCATTGTTACAGTTTGTTTGCTTTGTTGAATAATTGAAATATTTTCATCAATTATTTTGGGTTTAGCTTTGTACTCATGAAAAAGCAATTACTCAACGCTGTAATCGGATAACAAACGGAATAAAAATAAAGATGAACGTTTAGATATATGTGAATATCTATGATTTCTTTAAGGACTTTTTGAACGTATACTAATGTCGGTTTATTCTGATAATATAGTAGGCCTGCAGTTAATGTCTTTCAAGGCTTCATCAGCTGTAATCACAAATTAATCTATTCCGTTTAATAAGCAATAGACGCCCAAAGGGTATAGAGGAATAATCTTGGAATAAAAGCAAAGGAAACTATATAACCTTTCCAGTTGGATGCTACCCTGGACAAATCGATTAATAAGGGGGAAAAGTAATTACTTTGTCGGTAGACGGCGACACATAGGGTGTGAAGAGAAGGGCAGATGTAACAAAATCCAGTTCTTTCCATTATAATCGCCAAACAATAGGGGTTTCGCAGACTATCTTAAAATCTTAAAGGCTCAATCGCAATGCAAGAATAATTTATTATTTATAGTAGCGTTCAACTGTATAAACTACCAGTTTCCTGTCTAACTTCTAACAGATAACCCCTTGCCAAGATTGATAATTTTCCTATAAATGAAGCCATTTAGTAAGCTTTTGGCTCCCCACCAATGATCTTTGATCGCTTAAGACTTTAAAAGTCCCATAGAGGGGATGGCAAGTAAAGGGAGTAACTAACCACTCGAAAGAACTTAATCTGTATCCTTCTCTGCCTTGATTCTCTATAACGAGCCTCTCTTAGGTTCTCGAGGCTACGTTAGATATTACATTAAACTATAACAAGCAACTATATTTGTCTCTTCTAAGTATATTCAGTCGGCAACGATGCTTAATACTGTTCGTTTACTTTTTCTCTCTAAAAGATGGCGTTATCAGTTGTTAATAGAGTATACATTCATTTAAGATTATGAGGAAACGACTATCGAATCAATTTTCAAATTAAATTGTTCATGGACTGCAGTAAAGCCGTTTAATTATTAAGTTAAGGAATAAAAGTCACTTATTGTTGTCTACAAGTTAATAAAAATGAAGAGGAAATTCTTTCTGTTACTGTAAAGTACGATAGTCCTCTTTCAGTATATTGCATGTCAATCTTGCCTTCTATTTGTTTCTTATATTGCCAAGTTGAGACTTAATACGAAGCCTTAAAGACTCAGGTTGATTGATATCAAGTGGGTTGTAAGCAGGGTCACCTAAACACATTAATATTATTTTTTTTGGTCAAGACATAGAAGCAGGAAACGTCTTTTCGTTTCTACATTTTTAATAACGGTATATTGGAACCAAGCGAAACACGTGTGTGTAAGTTGTCAGTTAATCAAGCTTTATCCGAATTGAAAAAGCAATTTCCAGTCGTTTCTAGTTGGGTGTACTTCTTTTCCTGCTGTATCAGCCCTAAGAAGCTTTTTAAATTCATCAGCTTTAAGGTTAATCGGTCAAAGAAACTAATCGAAATAATTCCAGAAGTAACGTACCACCTGCACCTACTTATCCGCTGAATCCAGTACCTAGTTAATATCCTTTACAATAGTCACAGTAGGTACGCGTTATTAAACTGAAAGTAGCATAATCAATTCTTTCAATAAGTTCCTTTATCTTTTTCAATGTTCAATACTTTGTTTTTTTCAATTTCGGCGGGAACAATTAAACCTTAAATCAATAGATGGCGTAACAAATACAGAGGTCACTAATAACGTGTAGAGTACATCAAATTTTGCTTTGTGTTAAGGCCTATAGCCATAGTCGCTTTTGGCAAAGTGACTCGTTTTTGTTGAGAGCATTGTAGCCCCTGAGCTTTTTGTGATTGTTTTTTTTTTCGAGGAAAAATACTAATTAATAAGAAGAGAAAATGGATAGGCAGACTAACCAAGATTTATTAAATAATAATTACGTGGGACAATTTCAAGGATGTGATTTAACGCGAGCCCTCTCACCCAACTGCGTTTTACTCCCGCCTAATTTCCTCTCCTATAATCAATTTATGCCTGATACCGAGGTAGGACGTTAACTTACAATATTCATAATCTTTTTATCTTTTCAAATTAATATTATTTGTACGTTTTAACCGTTTATGGATAAATGGAACATTTTAAAGTGTTCTAGCGGGAACCTTCTCTATAGTTTTTTTATCGTATAAGTGCTAACACATGAGTGTGCTCGCCGGCAGGGTGCGCTATTTGTCTTAAAATATAAACACCTTTCGTCTGTATTATGAGAATGTAAGAATTTTACAAATTGCCGTTAACTTGTTACAAACTACATCAATCAACGTGTAATTTGTACCATCCGTCCTATAGTATTTTTTGCAGACATTTATAGGATAGAAGGGTCGGAGGCATGAATACAGATTTCATTCGCTCCACTCTCGTATATATTCTTTATATATATATTTCTTTCTTTAATTTAGCTAAAGAAAATATGTATGCAAATTCTTAACAGGAGGTTATCGAATGGTATTTATTCTAAGTAAAGATGGTAGAGCGTCTGTCTTACATAAACAATCGGGGATAATAAAACTTCTATTCATTTCCAATATTTTTGTCCACCACATTTCAGTTTAGATTGAAAAAGACTAAACGGCTCTATTATTATAATTTAGAATATCCATTCAAAACTTTTATGCATTGCAGATTTTCATAAATCAGCCATTTGGACAATACTGTGCCAGTCTCTTTAGTAAGTGGCGACACCTTCTGTTTTTAGCCACAACTAATTCTATGAATCTTTAATCCGTTAACCTATCCTTATCATAAAAGTGAGCTTTTACTGTTCATAACAAAGGAGCATTAATCTAATATCGTTGTTAGATGCTAAAAACATTAAAAATAATTAAAATTCCATGGAGCATTTATTAGAGCTTTTATAGATGGAAATTATATCTAAGTTTTGTTTTTTATCTAATTACGTTACTCAGATAAAACAAATATGATATTAAAACATAAATAAAATGATATAACCACAGAAATATACTCCAAGTATTGACTATATCATCCTATAATTATGTTTACCAGAGTTTACATTAGTTAATACAGTGGAAGTGGTTAATAAAATTAAAAAAAGAGTTAAGTTATAGTGCAAAGGAAAGAAAGTAATATCTAGTCAGTTAGAGAGGAAAGAGAGTGTGAGCGAAAGAGAGAGAGAGAGAGAGAGAATATGGGTGAGAGAGAGAAAGAGTGAAAAGCAGACCAAAGGTATATAGCTAGATACACAACTTAGATACAACTTGGTATCTCTTTCACTTGTTTCGACTGTTGATGATAACTTCAAATAAATTATTTAGTTTATTACTTATCAGACTGTTGTTATATTCCACTTCTAATCGATTGCTTGATCGTAAAAAAAGAAGTTTTATATTTATTAAGAAAAAGTAAATATCCGCCAAGTTTATTAAATAGAGGGAGCCGCCGTTACGTTTTTCCAGGGCGTCTTTTATCTAGCAACAGAAGCAGGTGAAGGTCTTTTATTGTATAAACATTAAACAAAAAAAATACTTCTAAATTGATAGATGGAATTTGGATTAAGGTCATTTTTTAAAAAATTTCCTACTACTTCATAAAACGTTAGATGGCGTTCTTTAATTTAATATACTTTCCAGTTCTACAGTAATTTAATATAATGAACTTAAAAATGATGTTATATCAGAATGAGCAGCTGTAAATACGAACAATAACTAATTTATAAACGTCTTGATGGAATCAAACGCCTACTTTACAGGTGGTGGAAAATCTTAACATCTCACTCCAAAAAGCTCGTAATCATAACTTATTATATTACGAATTTTTTATGCAGCTGTTCGACCCTCAATCTTAGCCTTTTTCACATATTTTTTCCTCGCCTGTTTCAGGTGTTTGTACAAGTGCTATCTAAAAACGGCACGCGTGTTTTCCCTGCGATATTTTATATATACGCTCCGCGTGACTCCAAGGGGTCACGTGCTACAAGATATTTGCAGGTAGCCGACAGATAAAAGAATATACGGCCATTCGCCTGTGTTATGTCTGGGGTAGTTGTAGGGTTATACAGGTTCTTATGTATATTTCTCTCCGGGAATTGCAAACTGTCAGTCCAATCAACCCTATACGATGTTAAGACGGAGACTTCCCCTCTGGCCAGATGCTTAAGAGACTATTCTTCTAAACGAGATATTTTTTCTTCATCATTCGTAAACCAATTATTTGTACTTCTTTAAATCATGCTGAATATTGTTGCTTGATGTAGGGAAATGTTCAAAGTAGATGGCGCCTACAAGGTTAAATACCCTTATAATCGTGTAAATATTTAGAACTGTTGATCCTTCTCAATCTTTTCGTTTTAAGGCAGTAGATGAAAATTTTGCCTGCGCACCTTAGTGCGCAATCAGGTGAACAGGTGGCGTTGTTAAAAGGTCAAGTCAAATATCCAGACAGCAATGCATTTGCGAAACACTTTTTTGAAAAATACAAAAAACTAAAGAGAGGCCGGAATCTCGATCGAAATAAGCCGAAAGATTATTTGTTTGTATGTTCAAATGGACAGGTGGCGCTGCTTGAAGTCAAAATAACCTTCTCACTAAATTTATTGACGCAGGTAGTTTAAAAAGAGTTGATTGATGCATTTAGCAAGTTGAAAAGGTCGAAAGTAGTGTTAAGGGCTTAAAAGTAATGATAAATTACTCTTTAAAAATAATATCTTGACGACCTCATATAGTAATTTAAAAAAAAAATTGAATATATCTTAACGGCCGATAAGTGTTTGTTATCAGACGTCGAGTAATATTACTTATCTTCACCGATAACAAAAGTCCGTATTGCGCTTGAGAAAAAATATATACAGTGATTTTTTTACCTAGTCATGCAGTGTGCAGTGCAGATAATGTAAACATATTTTTTCATATATGCTTAATAACCATTTGCTGAAGAGCAGAAGAGATTCCATTTCCAAATCATCTGTTGGAAAAGCATCAGGCGGCTTGCAGCTGTTTCACCTTCTAATTTAGCAAGTCAGAAGAAAATTTCCCTAATGAAAAAGATGGAAGTGCTTGTTGCTAGGCAAACAATAGTTTCCATGGTAACCTACTTATGTATATTAAATATATATCCTTATTATCAATTTATAAGGTTATTGATAGTTTCTTAATTCGATACCCTGTCAGGGTTTGTCACGTGCTCTGAAAAATTTTTTTCCTGCTACTATCGAAGTGCATATAATTCATGCAGGTGGCGCTTTTGTAGAAACTTATAACTACCGCAAAATTGCAGTTGGCAGATTGCTGTTGTCCATTCGCCTTTGCGCGCTAAAAGTCTGATTACGTTTCTCGTCGGTTATTTCCCAGTGCTGTTTTTGTCAACGTGATGCAAACTGTTAAGTAAGAAGGTTTGTAACCGAATTTTCTTTTATTATTGATTAGATAAGGAGTTATTATGTTACCCTCAATTTAAATTCATTCTGACTGAATATTTCTTATTCTTTTCGGATATAGAAAAAGCATAATTCGGCTATGTCTCTTTGTAAATGCGTCTGTAACATGATTTTGAATACTGAGTCTATTTTAGAATTAAGCTTCAATAAAAGACACCATTTTTTGCTAAGGTTTATAAAGGAAATCCAGTTTGTCACGAAATGGCAGAATAGCTGTTAAAGTGTTTCTTTGTCCGGTTTGTCAAAAAAAATCTATACTGCACAATCAAAGTTTACCGTAATATATATTGCGTTTCTACGTAAAAGCTTCGGAAACGGTTCCCTTTTCAAGTGATTGTCGTTATAGAACAAGAGAAAACTACAATATTTCTTTAAAAAAGAAAATAACTGCTAACAAATGACATTTGGATTTAGCAAATGCAAAAAGAAAGGGTTAAAAGAAAGAATAAAGTAAATTCTCTCATTTGTTTATTGTAGGTCTAAAAAGAACCGTTTATAAAATTGCATTTGCTATCGATATTATTTCTTATAGTATGAAACAGCATAGAGCATACAGCTCTTTAAAAGGATATTTAATTATATTTTGAGTTAAAACTGTCCAATGAAGCAGATTAGTAAGAAAAAAGAGAACAAAATTATATTTTATAGAACCTCTATGAAGCTGGTATTCTCTATCACTTTCATTATTTTATGAGAGGAGGATATGAAAGACGAAAATAAGGAAGGAAGTAGAAACAATTTTTCAAACGTATGATAAAATAGGAATAATCCTTAATTGTACATAGCTATTGACAAACAAGTTTACAATAGGCTTTGTCGTATTCCTATTAATAACTGTACCCTTAACAAAATCAAACTACACATCATTTATAGATTTATATGACATTTCCCATTTAGTAGCATTAATTAGACAACTATGACCTTTTTCCGTATAATGTTTACTTTTGCTTGTTTATAATACTTGCTACATTGTACTAAAAATAAGTCTCTTGTATCAGATTATGTAGGTTTACCGCGACATTGAGAATAGGATTGAAAAGCATCTTAGTAGAATTTAACTTCTATTCTGAGTATTTATAATTTTGTGGCATTTTGTTAACACGTGAAAATTGCCATAGACTTTTATTAAAGGAATAAACTCTGTCTACTTTCGCTATAAATATCGTTGCAAACGTGACAACAAGCTCTTAAACGAGGTTTGGCGTATATTCTTTTAGCAAAAAAACTAAATTAGTAACAATAGTCGAATTGAATTCCATCCATAAAAGCTCTGTCAACAACAACGAAAATAAGGCGGTCTGTCAAGTTTGTCGAGTCTGCATTTTTGTTTGCCTATAAGCAGTCTGATTATAACGCCGGTAGAGGAGTTGGCGGTAAATTAATAGCGTTTTGTGCTACGCGTTGAAAGAAACCGTGTAAGTTGGACGACAGAGAAGCCTTACTGGGAAATTAGACGCTCCGGCGTCTCTTTTCAACTGATTACGGCAAAAAACGGCGTACCGTAATCAAGCGGAAGAGGATCGGGAGGGAAAAAATGAAATAAAAAGCGAAACGAAAATGAAAGGGGCAATTGGCGCAAAAGTGGTGAAAAAGGGAGAATTATCATGGCTTTTATGTAGACTAATGCATTCTTTGCCTTCACTGCTCAATCCCTCGAGAAGAATGCTTTACATGTTCTCTTTTCACAGTGTCGCGTTCGGATTTTTTTTCTAATAAGCTTTTCTACGTTACCTTGTTGAAAAGGCATTAGTATTTTCTTTCGCCATATGTATACATTAAAAAGGTACGCTATGCCGTACAAGATGTTTTCTCTATATATTTACAAACTATTCGTTGTTAAACTCTATGAACTTTCGACATTTATTTGTCTCATTTGAGCATAAAAAAATGAATTATGTACATGGACGTACAGACTTTTTAACGGATTTATGGCTTTTATCCAAAATTTTTTTCTTTTTTTACTATTCTGGCAAAAGCTAATTTACACTGATTTATATTCTTCTTATCTACTTTTTAAAACATTAATAACGTTTTTATTTCCTTACAGATAACAACGGAGGGTAGTGACGGCGAAGAGATGAGCACGGCCGATTTGGAAGGTCTTCCTGAAGCCGTTACTGGCGCTACGGGCCCATTAACAATTAGGATGGTGATGCAGGGAAAGGTTAGTTAAATTATGCCTTTAGCCCTGAACTTGAAGGATAAATATATCCGAGTATAATATTTCATAAAGAACTTTTATAACAATGACCCACTTTTCTCAATCAACAGTTATCTAATCTTGCAAAAATTTTACTTAACTGTACATAATATCAAATGCTTATGGGAGTAAATATCATGACTTTTCTATCATCTTTTCCGTCAGCGTATCCGGCAACTAGAGCAGTTTAAATATACAAGCCCAACAAGATTACAAAAAAAAAATTAATTTGTTAGTATTACTCTTATCCTAATGTCAAAATTTGGAGAGCTTATCGTTTTGAAGTTTTTAAAGCTAAATAATTAGAAATGACTTGTCCTTGATTTGCTAAGGTCAATAGAATTCCGCCTACTGGCCATTAAATGTATTTAAAAAAGAAATAGGGAGTATACTGGTAGGGAATAGTAAGGGATGAGGGTTTCTTAATTATACTATCAGCCTTGAATCGTCTTAATTAGGGTATTTCTATCATTTCGAAGATAATCTGTTACAATCCTCTTAAAATATATTTTACACAAATAAGATTTCACTGCAAAATAGATACACAGAGTCTGTATATTAATATACGCCGCTACCTGCTATACATTCATTATATGAAGTGGATACCGCATATACGATACTTCACATACAGTGCTATTTGAGTAGTAGTTATGATACAGATACATTTTATGAGGAAAGAGTTTTCTTAAATCGGAAGACCTCACCAGTTGTTTTATAAGATCTTTTACTACCCAACTACTAATTGTATATAATTAAAATGAAGTTTTTAGATTGTGGCTATTAGCAATTAGGTAAAATGATATTTACAAGGGAAACGGTGCAGTTGGTGGAAACGGTCTAAATAGTATATCATCTCAATACTTGAATACTTTATCGATATTTGCATTCATGTAATATAGGAAATTGTGGACAACATGCTCATTTCTGTTAAACCAGGATACTTGGAATAAAGAGTTATTAAGTCTGAAACCCTTTTAGATATTTACATTGTTCTGTTTGTCTGAAGAGACTCAAGCAGAAGTGATTAATATAGTTTGTAAATAACAAGAAAATTATATGAAGTTTCGGATTTGACTAAATACGATAACTATGGTATTTTTTTCTTACCTTGATTCTGATAGAGCAACAATAAGTCATTATGTAAATTGACGGGGGAAAAAGAAAGGCATGATTTAATTTTGCATATTAAGTCGCAACTGCTGACGTTTTAAGTATTATATCCATTTTCCATTTGCAGACAATAAGTTTACTGCAATTATACTGTGCATATAGCCTCCAGTTTCTTTTTCAAGTATCGTATATTTAGCGGACGAGGGCTTTCTTTATTTTATTTACTCGTTTCGCACCCGAACGGATAGGTTATGGAAGAGAGCAGTTGTTTTCACCCCTGCGGTTTGCAGTAGTGAATGTCAAGTACATACCTGATCATTTTAGTGGGTAATTGGGCAAAGAAAAAATTTTCTTTTCTCTATTTAAAAATATTATAAAAGCTACTTTCTTTTATCTTTACTGTACATATTATCATTATGGCCGCTGCTTCTATCATCTGTAATATGAAAAATATTACTGTGTGATAAGTTTTGGGCTAATGAAAATTGCTTTTGCCTTAAGCTAATCTTTTTATCGCAACTCCTTGTCCATCCCAATGAACCAATAGTTCATACCATTGTACGAATGGCCCTAGGTATATTGCAATGGAAATATATGGTTTCTTACTAATGAATATCGAAAAAATAGAAGCTATGTCCAAATGATCGATATCTTATTCTTTTTCTTGTGATAAGGAATATGACACAAATTTCCTTTTCTTATAACTTTTAAGAATATTTCATAAAAGAGGGAAGAACGCTTACGGAAAGTAAAAGATTTTATTCCCTTTCTAAAACCTTCAACGAATCCCAAGGGCTCAGCTGCCTAGTCAAAAGCAATCGTGGATTAGGATACTGAAGCAGTCAGAGGTTATTTTGCCCGAGGTTCCAGAGCTAACGACGTCCGAGAGATCGAAATAATAGTATTCTTTGCTACACTTGTTGGATTTTCATTCTTGTATGTAGAAAAAAAAAAGAGTTAATGAGAAGATTGTAAATTAGAGGTAGAAAAATCCTTATATCCCCCTTTCTCTCTCCCTCTAAATATTGAATTAATCCTTCATCCTCTCTCCTGTTTTCTATTGGGAATTCAGTCTTACACGTCCAGACTTAGCATACGCGAGGAATTAATGCTCTAGCGTAATAATTGTAGTGGAAATATGCGAGTAATAGACTGCTTTCCTATTATCTCTTCTCTTTAGCAAAAAGATAAGAAAGGTATATTTAAATTTCTTTTTCGATGCCTATTTAATTAGATGAACTGTTTGAGGTGAATGAGTAACTCTACTGTCATACAAACCAAATTTTCTATTCAGCAACTAGCTTTCTTCTTTTCACCATTAACAAAAAATGATAGTATTATGAAATAGCTTTTCTGTTCTCCTAATTTACAATCATACCTCAAAAATTTCAATAAAATTGTAGTGTGATTTTCTTCCTTCCCGTATTGCCTTTTTGGCCACTTTTTTTCCAAAGAAAGTCTAATTCTTTCCTTAGAAAAAGGAAGAGCAATTTGTATCTATTTATTCGCTGATTCCTTTCAGGAGTATTTTCGGATAAATTTTGCTTCTATTTCTATGTGTAAAAGTAACAAGGTAGGGCTAAAAGGGGGAAAAAAGAGGAAAAAGAAAACATACAGGGGTTAACCTCTCCACTTTTCATGACTGTCTACCGGTTTCTCCCCTTCTGTAATAGGAAATGAATATTTACGTAGTATTCCCCGAATGCTCCACGAATGTTCACAATTGGTAGTGTTTGTTGTCGGTATATTTGCAAAGCGTTCAATGCGTAATTCACGCCAACGTTCAATGAAGAGAAACGACGTTCGAGTATCCTGCTTAATAGTAGAGCATTTTATGATTTAGAAATATCCAATCTATTTGTTTATTCGACTTAATTATTATGGTTCTTATTATTATCTTATTATTATCAGAGGGTGTTCTTTTCTCATTTTGCAAGACTCATATTAACAAGAATATTAAGGACTTATTATGAGGCTATGAATCGTGTTAAAAATCTGGTGTTGCTTAGAAGTAGTGTTTTAAAATTGCTACCTTTTTCCCGTTCGCAAGGGAGATTTCGCTAGGGCTTTTTGCATGTTAATTAAAGCTTTGGTGAAGAAAAAAATAAGATTTCCGACAAAAGAATTGTGAGGATTCTTAGCTTCATATTGGAAGTTTTCGAGGTGTAAACTGTAGACCTAGTTTCTTATTTTATTGCTGAAGTAGAATACTTTAATAACGCTAAATTATTAATGCTTTATCCTTGCGGTTGTATATTTATATTTATACATTTTTCTATATTGTATTAGAAACTAAGACATAAACTATTTTGGTACTCGAAAGAGCGCGATCTAACCGACAAACATGATCGCCCTGCTTTCACCATCAAGTACATTCGATAAATCTATAAAATGTCGATAAACTCTTATTGTTAAACTGAGATTGTATCTGAATCGATCTGTACGAAGCCCCTCCCTTTGATATATTCTACGAAGGGTTGAAAAGGAAACCGTTTCCCTCATAATTTTTTACGCCACCGTTCTAAATCTCACCTTTCCAAAAGTTTTAACTTTTTCCTTTTTTCAACTGTTGTTTTATGCCCAACTTACCACAGGCTAATTGTTGCTTTTATTTGTCAAAAAGCCGATACGCCTGGGTAGACTCTCTGATTTTGCAGTCTGTGGGCTGGAATAATTAACGTTTTATTCTGAAAATCATCGCTTTAGGCAGGACGTTAAGAGAGACAGGCTAGAGAGGTTTTTCCTACCCTTCTCTCACTCACTCCCTTTCTTTTCTCTCAGAGTATAGTCTATTTTTCTGTTCTGTTTTCTCGCCCCCACACTTTATTTCTTTTTTTTACATCGTTTCCTCTTTCCTTCTATCTTTATCATCTAGATATTTTGTATGTTTCCCTCTTCACCACATTGGTTGTATACCTCTCCTTGTTAGTCTTCTCCACCTTTTTTCATTATCGACGTCAATTCGAAAATCGTTATCTAAATATTTAATGTTACAGAGTTGTTTAACAAAATTTTTTTGTATTGTTAGTCTTAACCATTAATTAAGAATATTTGGGAAAATCGTTCCGATTTTCGATTAGGTAAAGAAATAATCTCTTATATTTTTTACCTCCTCCTTTTCCTTTTTTTATTGAGTAGGAGCACATTTTTATAATAATAAACCTGAAGATTGTATTACAGATTCGGTAAACAAAGTTTGTTGGAAATATTTTTGCCCTTTGACGGAAAATATGCAAATTTGAAAAAATTTAACCGCCCCGTCCTTTCCCATTACTTTTTTTACGCTATAATGGGAGCCGTTAGGGATGAAAACCAATATTATTACGTCAAGTCAATACGTCAAAATATAATAATTTTATATTTTCCTTACCACGCAATTTAATCGCTCAGGGGAATGTTGAACTGAGCTATAGCTATGATTGCCCAATTGAATGCAAAGTCTCTACTTTATATATAACCTTGGCCGATGGAGAATTTGTTATTTCTTCTCCCGTGCATTTATCACGTGACTTAGCAATGTTGGCACTCAATTATATACTTTTGTTTACCCTTTTAATTGTTTCTTTTTAAAGAGAGGCAGGCTACAGATAGGTTATGAGACTTTTTTCATTTCCGTTTGCTAGCTGGAGACCTATCTACTGATAGGATGGATTATTTAGCGTTATTCTTATCAAAGTCGAAAATATCGTCACGCAATTAAGGAAAGAGGGATTTCTAGTTGAGTTGGCGTAAATTGATTGAAAATCGTCTGCTAGTTTTTTCTATTTACTGCCGTTATTCACCCATACGGATCATTAACTAATTTACGCCAGATGCCTTCTCCGCGACCTTACACCACTAGCAAACTCGTTAAAATGATATATCAAGATGTAGGTTTTCCTATTTAAGTGAACTACCAACTAAAAGACTTTAGAGAGAATAGGAAATGTATAATAGTATAAATTCAGATTTCAATTTCCTTCCACCCATTATTATATGAAATCTGAATTCTCTTTTTAAAATGAACTAAAGCGAACATTAGAATGTTGAACGCTTGTTTTTATCTTAAATACTCTTTAAACTTTTTTTTAATACTTAATCTGATTTTTTTTCAACATAAAAGTAGAAACACTAATGATTCTGACAAACGCACTTGTTACGCAGTCTTGTATATAGGTTTTGCAATTGAAAAACAGTACGAATACGAACGTCTTGTTTATTCAGCGTGCGGCTGCGCGTTCTTGCAAACAGAACTTTTCGTTTGAGAATTTGAGTAGTTGACTTCATATATACTATACCCTACTAACTCTGCACAATATGTACATAAAATTCTATTAGTAGGTTAGGATCTGCTGTATATATTTTATACAAATTTACTATTATAAAATATATTTATAGCATATTTCCATAGTTTAATTATACACTGAATTAACATATTCACACAAATTCGTACAGCATATTTTCAGTTGATATTTAGTTCAATACACGAACTTTAATTATGCTGTATAAATAGACAAACGTTAAAGTTACTTTTATACATATATATATCTAGAATCGATATAATTTAATTTTTAATGTATAGAGAGTTGTATTAACTTGATTTTGTTAATATCATATTCTATTTATTTCCATAAATGCTCTTTTAAAGACAAAAAAGAAACAAAATTAGAGAGGGAAAATATGTTGAAAATATGTTACAGAATCGAAAAGATGTACAATATTTTATCATTAAAGTTTTCTATAGATTTTCTCTTTTGATTCCGATATTTCTTTTTTTAAAGATAGTCTAACCCCGTTTTTCTTTTATCCATCTTTGTTTTTTCAACGGTAATGTTATTTGAGAAAGCATAATAAACTAAAACAAAAAATACTTGTAAGGTCTTTGTTAAAAAGTTCTGGTAAATTAAGATATTATCTTGATTTGATACTTTACGAATTAATTTATTTAATTGTAATTAAATCAAATGATTAACTTTCTTTATTTTCATTATTCACAGGAGGTCGGCAGTATTATCGGCAAGGTACGTAAAGATTCTATGTTGTAATGTATATAGCTGTGGGGGCCTCTGTTTAAAGGAAAACATTGAAAAAGCATTATCAAACAGCAAACGGCCGCGTTTGATATGGGACTAAAATTCTTAAATAGTTTCCTACTCTGTGACTTGAAATTTAATCGTAAAACGAGTCTCGAACCTAGAGCTAAATTTTAAAGACGAAAAGGATATTTTACTTGTACTTTTTTGTTTATTCACATTGGGGGAAATTTAGAAATCTTGTAGGATAATCTTTCTCTAATGCAATATGCCGTTCTTAATTATTGATTTACACACTCAAGTAGGTAACTGCTGTTGTATTCTTCTTGGTACATTCTTTGCAATCTGTTCAATTTTGTAACGATTAACAGACATTTAACTTGCTATATTAATCAAGAAAATCTTTTTTTTTATTTTGCAAAATAAGCCCATATATGAAAAAGTTATAATTCTCCATAGTACGAGTATATGAAGAAGATCTTGTCAATTTTTTATTTTCCCTTATCCTTTGGCATAGGGGAATGAAAGAAAGTTAGTTATAGGAAAAATATTTCTTGATTGATAGAAGCCTGCGTGTACGTTTAAAAGGGAGTTTTGTAATTGCGTTTTTTTGTTGTTCCGTTAATGCGATCTTCTCAAACGAGAGGATCGATAGAATTTGAAGTAAATGACGTTGATTGCGTTTTCTCTATTAGATCTTAGTATCCCTCTCCTTTTATTCGCACACTAGGAAGCTTTCTATTATTTCTTCACCGAAAAACGCTCATATTTGTTAAAACAAAATTTCACAAACTTCCTTAAAAATTCTATTTCTTTCTCACTTTCCATCCTCTTTTTACTTATCTTTTCTTATAGGAGAGAGCCTCGAGCCAGAAAGTAATAAAGTATTATTTATTCATTATTTTTTTATTTATTTTTATAAAAAAAATTTATTCTTTTATTTAAAGAATAAAAGTTCGATGCTTTTCCTCTTCAATTTTTATCTTTAGTGTAGAACAACTATTTGATGCTTGGATTAATCGACCTATTAAGTATATATTTAATATTAAACTCAATGTTTTGTTAATTGTTTCATTTCATCGGTATAATTCTATTAAGTTGATAGTTATTTACGCAAAATGGATGGTAGCAACTGAAAGTTTACCAGTTAATATTATTTGTTTGAAAGTTATGAATATGAATGCTGTAGGTCTAAAGTTTTGTTTAACAATTTCTTTGATTCCACTTCAGAATGTTATGAAAATAGCTGGAAGGGAGAGTTATAAAAAATTTAGCCAAATCTTGTGAATATAATAAATGCTAACCATATTATATTGGAGTTTTATCGCCTAGATAATCGACACGCTTTCTTAATCTCATCATCTAAACTGTTCCGATTCTGACGATTAGTGAATCCTCGTCCTCCAAAACGTATTCCCCCTTCTCTTTCCATAACCCTTTACAACTTACCCAATATTAAGTAACGAATAGAGACATGTCGCTTTAGACGCCATATTTGCTCCGATTTGCAGCCTTAACGACCTGGAAGGCGTATGAAAGAAACGGCGATTAACTCAGCCTCTAGCTGCGTTAATTGAAGCGCGTTGAATTAATTCTAGCGTCTCTCGTCTCAGCCATCTTGTGAGTCACGTGCTCAGACAAGACTGAATTGTTTGATTTAAATTGTTTAAAACAAGAGGTCTATCCTATATTAACAATTAAATCTTGACATATTTACCATTGAAAGCATATTAAGTTGCCTCATTCTCGCAATATCGTGGTGAATAGTTGTTGTTTAATTGAGATTAGACACATGCAAAGGAAACATACTCTGAGTAATCGATTGAGGCTAAAGTAGAGATCAATACACATGAAAAAAGATGAGACGCTAGATGAAATTGACAGAGAGCTGGTTAGGGGATAGAATAGGAAGGGAGCTTTTTCATTGTTATATACTTATCTTACACTTTTCTCCACTATCCTGCTTACTAATGTAATAGGAACTTTAGTATCTTTCATAGTGCTTTATACAATATGTTTATTATTTCCCCGTCGCAGAAAGGCGATAACGTTAAGAAGTACAGGGAAGAGGTCAGTATAGAATTACAGTTTCTTTTAAAGTTCACTGTGTAAAATTTTTGATGGGTTGTTTGACGCAGAGTGGTGCCAAAATCAACATATCAGACGCCTCCTGCCCAGAACGGATCGTTACAGTTAGCGGCTCTTCTGAAGGGATTTACAAGGCTTTTACGATGATCTGCAAGAAGTTCGAAGAGGTTTGTTTATTTTTTTCATCCTAGACATTTCCATCCTATTTATTTTCCTTTTAACCGAAATAAGTAAGATAAATGGTCAACCAACGGAAAAAAATTTAAGATTTACTGTCAGAAAACTTAGTAGTTGTGTCTAAGAATTTTTTTTATAAGATTATTTTTCTGGTATTCCCATTTTTTAAGCTAACCTAGAATTTGTTGAGGCGCGTAAGTGGCATCATTATAAGTTTAGACATGGTCAAAATGGTAAATGAAACTTAAAACGAAAGAGAAAAAGCTGTTTTATCATTTAGTATATTCCTATTTTATTAATTTCTAGCTAATAAAAAGGAGAAAGAGTAGCTTATTCCATTTACAAATGTTAATAGTTTTATTGAGTTGTAAATAGCTGCGAAAGTAATCAATCCCTATGTAAAAAGAAAGAAAAAATTGAAAAAAGACCGGTCCCCTTTTTCTCTTTTCCGGATCGAAATAAGAGAATCGTGGTGGAGTGTATATGAAGCGATTAGATTCTAAAAATAAGGGAAACTTTAATAGCTATGTGAGTTCTTGTCGTTTCGTTATCAATTATTCAGAATTTGATAATCAAGCGAACCTTTGAAATGATATACTACAAACTACGTTTTGCGGTGAACATATAAATATTAAAGTTTATACAGAGAACATAAAAAAAAACACTATCTTGCAAATCTTAATTATTGCTTCGGTAATTACCAGGGCTTTTTTATTATTTAATAAGTCATAAATTTGTTTCAAGTTCATTTATCCTTAATATAAAATTCTTGTAAAATACGGAATTTTTCGCTTACTATAATTATTCTAGAATTATTCAGAGGATCAAAGAGCCATAGCCACTGACTTTTTATACATCTTTAATGAAAAGTATTAGTGTTAATAGTTATAGTTACAATTCCTAATGATATTTTTTTCAATTATTTTGTCAAAAGTTTATGTTATCTTGTACTGGAATTGAGCCGTATAGAAAGCCTACTTTTTATTCGTTAGACTTAGTTTATTTGTATTTATTTGATGGTACCTTCAGCTGTTTAAATAATCAAGATAAATGGAAAAAAACTATGATTATACGCAAATTGTATTTTTATTATACCCCACATCATACATAATATATTCTATATAAATATCACACGGATGATAGAGACGTATTTATCAGGTGTAAAATCATCTATAAATTCCTAATATGTAATAAATTTATTATATTATCAATTGCTTTAATCATTATTATTGTTATTATTAATATTATTATTGTAACTCTTTATTTATATAAAGTATCATTCATCTATATTTTTTCTTCATAGGATATCAACGCCCAGCACGGTCAAAGCGCTTTACCTAAACCTCCCGTAACGATAAGGCTAGTTGTCCCAGCTAGCCAATGCGGCTCCTTAATTGGAAAAGCTGGAGCCAAGATTAAAGAAATTCGTGACGTGAGTAATTTTGTTTATGGTACGAAGAAACACGTGTGTCGAAAAAAAGCGTGCGCTATATTCGTTAAAAAATAGAGTTTGGCAAGACTATACGTCGCTTATTAGCCGTCACGTGCCTAATATCGATTGTAATTAGAGGAGACGTCCTAGTCTATGATTTTTTTTCAGCCTATGACGGCACGGAGCCTGAATCACGACAGCTAGATGTACGTCTAGAAGCTAAAAATCTATCAATAAACGAACTAGCGAACGCACGAACGCATACACGCACATGCGTTGCGTATTATTTTTAATGTACTGTTTATATAATAGAAAAATCATTTGCATTCGACTATGTACCTTTATACATATACAGTATATACTGTAGATAGTTTATACGTATATATATATATATATATACTAACTGAATATAATAAGCAGGGTATATTTTCCCGCATAGTATTCCATCCCAATTGATCCAACCCGTCCGATTAATAGGCGAACAGAAAATAAAAGAGAAAAAAGAGTAGCGTATGATCGATTAGGCTTTTAAAAGATATATTGAAATATTAGTTAAAAATCAACAAAATTAATTCCTTTTTCTGTTCCTTTTTCAACAAAAGAATGAAAAAATTCGTTTTATTTAAAAATAAAAGAGAGAAGTTAAGGATAGGAAAAAGTCGATTTTTTAACGATTGACTATTTTTTTTTGCATATAAATCGGAAAAGAAACCGTAATAGGGGGAAAAAAGGGTACGGGGAGAGGTAGAAAGTTGAAAAGGGGAAAGAGGGGACAAGCAGGATGGTGGTTGGTTAAAATTAGATCAATATCGAGCGGTAGCTCAATTTTTGCGTTTTCAAATATATTGACGAATTAATCGGTTTGTAATGAGAGTACTATTGAGAGTTGCCTAAATGAAAACGGAAAGCGGATTTTTTTAATTGATTTTCTTTCCTTTCTTTAATTTTAAAGCCTAGCTTTTAATCGCTCTCAATTTACTTCTAAACCTTATTCATTCATTTGTTTCTTTTTCTATAAAAACTATAAAAATACAGGCTACCGGTGCTTCTATACAAGTCGCTAGCGAAATGCTACCAAATTCAACGGAGAGGGCCGTTACGATTTCCGGTTCTGCTGATCAGATTACGCAATGCATCTTTCATATCTGCGCTGTTATGCTAGAGGTTTGTTTAATATTTTTTAAGTTATTTGTAATTATTGCGAAATACTATTATAAATTAGTAATACTGCGTATTGTATTCTATATATACTATATATATATACAGTATATATAAAACATTGATATCACACGGAATGAGATAGAGGAAACAGGGAAAAAGAGGGAAAAGACTAAATGAATTTTCTTTGTACTCTAAATCTCTTTGTATAATGTAAGATTTACATGAGCTTTTCGTAAAATCAGTGTTTCGACTGATTTTCTTCTCTATTTCCTCCTATTGTATAGGGACTTTAATCAGAGAGAAGAAAAAATGATAAAAAAGACTCTTGATTTATAAATATCTATTTGGATAATTAGATCTACTGCTTCTAATTACGTAACTAGTATATTTATTTTACATATACAAAATAAAGATAGAAAAAGAAGATATGCTCTTTAATTCTTTTATATTACCAATCGCCCCAATAGTTTTGTTTAACGCTTTCTTTTCCTCTTCTTTTCATTTTAATGGCAAACATATAATGACTAGTAGAGGCTACTCTGAAGGGTTTATGTATACGTTTCTATGCATAGTAAACACTTAAACAATGTTTATTATCATAAAAAATCTGCTTATTATATAAGAGCATTGTCAATTTCTATTTTATATCTTTATCACAGATTTTTATATGTATCAAACTGCCTAAAAATGTAAATAATAGAAGAAATAAGATTTCTTTATGAGAGTAACTAAATCTCTTGTTACATCAAGTATATGAAATGAGAGAATTATCAATTAATGCTTGGATAAATTTCAAAGAGCAATTAACTTTCTAAATTTAGGTAATGGTTGTTAGATAAATACACTATACAAAGAGTGAAATAGTAGACATATATAGATATTTTGAAAATAAGCTGTTTTTATATATGTGTATGCTATATATATATTAGAATATATATATAAATACTGTATATATATTGTAATTTATAGCTATAATACAGGTATAGTGAAAAAACAGAAATATCGCAACAAAACAACTGTATCTATATTGAATATTTTTAATGAATCTCTCTTGTTCTCTATTCCTCTCTCTCTCTCTCTCTCCTCTGTCTGGAATTAGGATTTTGAGAGATTCCAGTAGAGTGTTTGCCAAATCACGGTCGCCATCTTGACCTGTAACCTTGTAGGCCTAACCTTTTCCGCATTGTGCGTTGTATCAAAAGAACAAAAGCACATGACTACTGCATTGACAATTGGACTGCATGATATAATTCTAAAGCTCTTGGAATCATTATTCGTTCGATCCACCGTTCCTCTCCTACTCCTGGCTGATTTTCGTTTGATACATGTACTTGCAAATAATCCAAGTTAGTAGGGGATTATATGATGTAGATGGCGCCACCCAAAACTAGATATCTTCTCTAATAATTTGCTCATTTAAAATTATGGTTATGATAAAAAGAATATGATTTTCAGCTCGAGGAATGTAATCTTCCAGTTATCAATGCTAAGAGTCATGCTTTTCATAACGATATAATACTTTTAATAATATAATTTAGCTATTAAAAGAGCATAATTGTACACATAACCCTCATATTAACACTGAAAACCTCATGTTCAGCTACCTTCTTACCGTTTTTATTACAGTCCCCTCCCAAGGGCGCCACAATACCTTACCGACCTAAACCTATTCTGCCTCCTGGCTTAATGGCGGTCGCCGCCGGAGGAGCACCCGCCGCCTCTTTTCTACCCGCTCCTTCTCCGACAGTCTTCTTCCCTCCATCGCCGGACGCCGCCCACCTGCACAAACTGGCCCTACAACCGCAGACGATGCTGCCACCTGGCGCCTTTCCGTTTATTGGTCAAAGCCTCCTACCAGGGGCAGCCACTTCCAGTAAGTATACCTAAATTACACAAAGAAGAATTAGTTTTAAGAAACGAAAGAATATAAGAATATAAAAATATTTATATTGGAGAGTATCTCACATAGTACTTATTCATATATGTGCTTTTTATATTGGAAGTGTGATTTAATCGCATATAATCTAATATAATCTCTCACCACTATCACAAATTTACAGTATGAAAAATTGTATATGAATCTATATGTAAAATACTAAATCATTACTTATATAAAAAAATATATATCAAGTACTATATACAAATATATTTATATTCATAGTATTTTCGCGTGCTCTGAGGGATTTACTATGCTCTGAATTTTTATGGCTCGACCATACCTTACCGGAAAATTTCATTAAATAGTTAAAAACATTAAATGTATCTTGAGGAAAAGCTAAAGTTCTATAGTACACCAATACTATATTTGTATTAAACTATTGATATCACTAATAGTTTTGCTTTTGCATAATTTATTTGATTAATATCAATATAAGAAGCTATAGTAATAATTTGAAGAGAAAGTAAATTAAAATATCTTTCGCACTATTATCCATTTAATTTAATGATGGAAATAATCAACAAAAAAAAGATATCTGTTATAAAAGTCAGGGTATATGAATTTATAATAGAGATTAAACTTTTCTTCTATTCAATTTTAAACAATTTAGCTATAATAAAACTCTTTTGGTCCAAAAAAAATATTAAAAGAGGAAGAGAATAAAAAAAAATAAGTTAATTCACTCGTCCACAGTTCAACCGGGAGTTATACAGTCAATTGGTTCGTATTTGTATTCTCCCTCTTATCCTCCCTGATAAACTCTCTTTGCATGAATATAATTACGTACTATAATTCGTAGTATATCGTATTAATTTATGACAAAAAATATCTAAAATTAACTAAAGTATTTCTTTTTTCCTTTTTCTCAACGTCTATCCTCCTTTTTTCTCCTATAGCAACCGGTTTACCCACCGGGAGTGTCTCGTTAAGACCAAACGCACCTATTCAGAATGGAGCTGCTCAAACTCATGAAATGACTATACCTAACGATCTGATTGGCTGTATAATAGGAAGAGGTGGTGCCAAGATAAACGAAATACGGTGAGATTTTTACCAATATTCATATTTACTTGAATATTGTTTACTCATTGCTTTTCTTTTACTATACAGACAATTGTCAGGCGCTCAAATTAAAATAGCGAACGCCGACGAAAGTTTAGGAGATAGAAAAGTGACGATTACGGGTACACCTGATACCGTACAGGCCGCTCAGTATTTGATAAATGCCAGGTAAGCTCATTAATGAAACGTCGGTCCGGTTTATGCGACTAAGAGATATTTTATTAGACAGAACTTTGCGCTTTAGCTGTTCATTTAAAAATATACATCTGAACAGCATGATAAAATATTAAAGAACATATCTCATACATCATATATTAATATTTTTGCAAATAAACATGTTCACATGGTATTTATTTACAAATACTAAATTATATATATATATATATATATACATATATATATATATATAAATTTATATACATTAATACACTTTATATATATATATATGCACACACATACTAATCTATACAATAAAAAGGTCCGTTTCTATTTGTTATCAATTATAATGTTATCGTATCACTTGCTGGTTTGCCTCTTTCCCTCGGGTTGGGATCCTCCGGGAAAAATTAGAAAGAAAGAAAATTGGGAAAAATTTTCATTATAAAATATAAGAATTATTACTGAGCTCTAAAATGAAAAATTTACAGAAAAGTATAAAAAATAAGAAAAAAAAACTTAATTTGTAGAAATTGTCTGACATTTTTGTTACCTGTTTTATTTTTTTTATAGCGTGTTTATCTTTTTTTGTTTCTTTTTTATATTAACGAATGGCTTAGTTTATTTTTTGTATACTTTATATAAAATTTATATTAGATAATATTAAAATATGTTTTTATTATCATTATACAAAATAATAGAACTTACAGCCATTCGGTAATTTTTGTATATTACATGGATATGACTTTTTCTTTAAATTGTATATTTACTAAACTTCAGATAAGTAGAATATTTAGGAAAAAGTAAACTTTGTTGTTAAGTTTTTGCTGCCCCACATATATATATATATATATATACATCTTTTTTTTTCCATTTGTTTAGAATGTCGTCCCGATATAGGCCGTTAAGTAACTAGTAACTCTCGTTAACAATTTAGAAAGGGTACTTTAGTACGGGAGAAGATAATCTTTATTAATTAAAAAAGAATTAGAATGAGGAGATTAGGTGATCTTTAGCAGTTAAGTTAGTCTTAGCGTAACTTGTTTTCTTCTTCAAAAAAAAAACGAAAACAACCTTTTTCTGAAAAAGTCACGTCACCATGTAATATTTAAGAAAATAATTCGTTTTTCTAATTGCTTGGCGCCGCAGACTTCTATGCTGTTAGCCGAGGGTTGGCGCTTTAACGGGTCTCTCGAATTTTGGTAAGCAAACAACAACCGAACCGACGCTGACTGTAGTGTTTTTTCTTTGTCAAACAATTTAAAGACGTTTATTTTTATTATGCGAACGCCCTCTAGCGTGTTTTTTCTTTAACCCCATATTTCGAGGGAAAATCGTCGCCGATTATTAAAAGTCACTTTTAATCTTTTTTCTGAAAAAAAAAATATTAAAAAGCTTAAAAAATTTAAAGATATTAAGAATCTTTTCAATTTTTAATAAGAGAGATGAATAAAGCGAGCTAGCTTTTCTACATTTCGTACTCTTAGTAAAACCTTTAATTAGGCAGACGACTAAGATAATATCTATAAATATTTTATCCTAGTGTATTTTATGGTTAAAATAAAGTAAAAAAAAACACAAATAACAAAAGAAAGATGGCGACGTATTTTTCCAAGTTTTTCTTATTAAAACGTGAATTTTTACAATATAAATTCTCGTCGTTTGCATTTCGTGTTATTTGGAAGAAAATCCCCTATTTTTTTAAATTTTGGTTAAAAAGTTTTTTTACTTATTACTTTCTTCTTTTTCTCTGTTTTTTTGCAATTTCTCGGGATGTTTTTTTTTAATAATATAACTCGTCATAATTGTGGTGATGCCCGTTTCTATAGTAATATTTACTAAACAAAACTTTTTTGCCTCGTCTTACAGCAAGTGGTACACACAAGTGCTGACAAACAAAGCAAAAAAAAAAAATCATTTTTTTTACTGCAGTTATACTTTTTTAACACTTTTTTTTTTGCATCCAATTCCCTATAGACGTGTGTGCGTTCTAACGGCGCATGGGTGAAGGAATACATGGACTCCTCCAAATATAAAAAAATATACAATTTTTTGTTTTTAGCCTATTTACTTTACATTAGAAATTTGCAGACAAAAAAAAACATCCAATATTTCTTTCTTTTCTATATTTCTAGTAACTTTTTTTGTCTTTACACTCTTCTTATTTTATTTTTTTTAGAAGAAAAGACTTGTATATGCAGTTTTTTTTTTCTTCTTTTTAACTTGAGGTTTATGTAACATATATATCTTCATAATTTACATTATTATTTCATTTTTCATAATTCAAAAACAAAAAAGATAAAAAGTTTTTCTAAACCATTTTGTCATTTCTTCATTTCAATTTATTGAAATAGATTTTTAAAAGAAAGGGGTGAGAAAATGTAAAAATATTGTCTTAATTGCGCCGTAGAAGGGAGTGGTGACCCATGTATTGCTTCATTCATGGAATGGCAAACTTTTTTCGAAAGCGCCCCGCGTTGTTTGTCAAATTGTTTTCTTCCTAAAAAAAATTTCGGAAGAGGAAAGGGTCGTTTTATTAAGTATCCAATTTTTAAATTCCAACAGCGTCGAGCTTCACGCCGTCGCTCAAGGCATTCAACATCAAATTTCAACAAGTTTTCCTACTCCTACTGAAGCCGTTTCCTCAGCCAACGATGCTATTACAACGACCAGTAATTCACAGGCCTTTACCGGTCTACCGGTAATAAGTCCTCAGCAATTTATGGCCTCTGCTGGATTGAGGCTACCCGTTATCGGTTTACCGGTTTCGGCTACGCCATTTGACCCTTCTTCAGCTGCTAAACTGACTGGTAAAGTAAAGCCTACTGTTGCAGCAGCCTCGAAGTTTACACCTTATTAGTGTCTGAACATTTCTCGGGAGAACAGGAAAATACGAAAAATAGGGGGAAAAAATCGAAATATTTTGAGATTTTTCTCATCAATCGAAATATCTTTCTCTAATTTAAAACAGATGAAATTTAATTGTCCAGGTAGTTGGAAATGTTTTCTGGCTGGTCTATTTGTGTTCATTCATATTCCTCTAAATATTCGAAAATTGGCGGTAACAAATGAAAATGAAATAATTTCAGTAAATTAATGAATTTTCTGGGTTATTTTTATAACCATCTTTTGAGGAATTAAATGATAAAATGGAAATAATAAAGCCAGAATTCATTTCCTCTTTACACCTCTGGCTAACTTGAGGACGTAAGATAAACGTGTTTTTTTTTTTTGTTATTAGGCTGACGTAAATTCGTGATACCTGAAAAACGCCGACCAGTTTTTTCTTGTTTACGAGTTATTGACAACTTACAAAACATATTGCTGATTTTTTGTGTTGTACATATTTAATGTTTAAGTATATACATACATCTTTATATAAAACGAGATAAAATTTTATGTGTGTATATGCTAATATTTCAGTATCGTCTACTCGTATATCATGCATTTTTTCATACATATATGTTATATATATATATATATGTATGTATATATATACACTATATATATATATTTATATATACTGACTGCCATAATATGGGTAACGTTTATTTTTATTTTTTGACATGACATTTATTTTTTTTTGTTCCAGTTTAATTTTTTTCTTCTCTTTGCTTACGAAAAAAGGAATGCTATATTTGTTTTTTTTTTCTTTCTGTACAAAGAAAAAATTGCTTATTAAAAACAAAAAGACGTGCTTATTTGTTTTTTTTTCTCTCTCTTTTTCTTTTTCTGAACGAAGATTGCTGCCAAAAAAAATGGAAACAAAATGTATTTCTTTATTACTTATCGTAAATGTATAGGGTAGAGCGTCAAAAACTGATCTCATACTGTTGCTCTAGGCGCTGAATTGTTTGTTTATTTTTTTTTTTCATGCAGTTTGTTTGTGGGCATATAATACAAATGTATATTTATATGTATATACAGTATATTTATGTATACATGTATATGCATATAATTATTTATATATATATATATATATATATATATATATATTTATATATATATATTTAAAATGTATTTATTAACAGTATTTAAGTTTGTTCCTTTTTTCGGCGTGTACAACTGCTGACAAAGAATTCGGTTATATTGTTTTTTTCGCAATGCCATGTTCTGTTTTGATTTTTTTCTCGTGTTCTGGTTTATTTATTTTTTTTCGTGTATTAAGAACAAATGAATATCAATGGGAAAAATTGTAGAATAATAGTAACATAACCAATGGATAAAATGAATTAAAATGGTTTTAAAAAAAAGACAAAACAAAAATCAAGGGAATATATTCTTTATATTACCTAACTTTCTCTCTTTTTTCAAATTATCTACAAGTTGTATTACTATTTTCTAATCAATTGATTATTTTTTCTTTTCTTCATTCGTTTAGTACTAGTGGTCATATCGAAGGAAAAAATATTTGTATATAATTTAAATATCCTTGTTGGAATTAGGAAACGTTGTGTTGATTATAAGATTTTGTGCAATATTTAAGTAAAAAAAAACATTGTGAGAGCGGTCACAATAGGCCTAATGGTTAATTTTGTTTATTTTCATTTTTTTTGCTAGTCACAAATTTTGTTGCTAGTCTTTTTATTATATGCGTTTCTTTTTCGAATACAATTCTACGCTTTCAAATAAATTTTTATTTCAATTTTCTTCCTTCTACAGTATATAATAGTATAAAGATCAGTATACAATAACATACTGTATATATATATTTATATATATATAAATATGAATCTGGTTTTGATAGCATTCCAAAATAAGTAAAAAGAGTAATATTTTAAACAAAATTCTTGACGTAATATTAGATCTATGGAAAGGGAGAGAGAGAGAGAAAGAGTGAATAACAGAAAGAGAGAGAGAAAAAAGTAAATTCATTATTTCTCTTTACTTTTTCAAATATTCAATTAAAATTAAAGCTTTTGCATTATCTGACTAAATCGTCAAAGTTATTTTGATACGTAACACTTTCAATAAGGAGAAAAATTAGAAAATAGGGCAATTAACGACTTCGAAATCTTGATATCAAATATTACAATTTGTCTTCTTTTTTTATATTTCATCTCATTGACTCTTTAAAGGATCCAGCTCATCGAGAGTAAAATCAGATCCGACAGTTAAGCCCTTTTTAAATCCGGCTTCCAAATCTATCATTTCGCTATCCGGTGAAAAGATTTCCATTCCAAATTCGTCGTAAGTCTTCTCTTTTTTAGCTTTTATTGTTAAGGGAAAAAAGAAGATAATAGAAAAAGATTGGTAATCCATAATAATTATGTTTCTTTTATATACAAACAAAAAGAAATAGGGAAAAAAAACATTCTTTTTCTCTCTTTAAGAGAAAAGTTAAAAAATATGATGATAATATTATTAATATAAATTAATTTACCGTAATCTCCTTCGAATGACGATGAATTGGGTAAATGGCTCCTACTCGGAACAGGTGGTGGTGGTGAAACTAAATTATTAAAAGATAAAGAAAACACGACAAAGGTAAGAAAGCAAACTTAATAGCTGAACATATATTTTATCTATTAATATTACTATATATATTGTATAGTTTAATCTCTACGCGATTTTCTATATATTTTTGTTAGTCAAGATATAATGAAAAATGTGGTATGGTCTCTAAAGCATAACATATTTAATTTCATACTTATTGGAGTTTCTGTTTCGAAAACTAATCCTTCTAATTTTCTTCCAACTGAAGGTTCTGCCATAGTAACAGTCTCATTTGATTCCTGTTAAGAGGGTTGACATTATTAGATTTATACAATTCATTTAGTTTATTTTAAGTTTACATATATATATAGCTTTCGTAGAAATTGATTAGGTAAAAAAGTTTATTAAGTTAATTAGTATGGCTAAATAGAGCTATATATTAAATCTTATGTAACTAACGTTTGGCTTTCTTCTATCGAATTCCTCTAACACAGATGGATTAATAATTCTTTCCAAATCGGCAACTCTCGCTTTCAGATGAAGATTTTCTTGTGTCAGTTGCTGAACCTTTTTCTGATGCAGTAAAAGTTGTTTTCTTATATCGACGCTATGATTATTCTTTTCTATAAATTTTTGATAGGCCAATTCGAAGGCTTGACCAATTGTTAAGGTTATTTCTTCAGCCTGTTTCAATATAAACAATAGAAGAAGAAGAAGAAAAGAAAAGGGATGAAAAGGAGAAATAAAACAATCGATAACTTTAATTAAATAATTAAAATAGAAGATAAAAGACGTACACATTTGTCCGAATCGAAGACGAAACATTCGTGCTTTTGCTGTTCAGGTATATGAGCTATAAAAGTTACAACTCGTTTGTCGCTTTTATCGTCAGCGCAATAAGAAATTTTGTGCAATGGAAATTGGTGCTGTATAACCTGTTTAATAATAAAATTATAGTTAATAATGATAGCAGTAATAGTAGTAATAATAAATTTACCTTATATTTAGGATCTTGAACTATAACTCCATCGACAGAAATAGACAATTCAACTTTTTGAGGTTTTAATCCTTCAGATTTTTTCAATTGTTTATTGAACTATAGAAAATTAAATTAAATCAGAATGCATTAGAAGACTAAAGGCGAATTAGCGATCTAAGTAATAAAATTAATTAAATTATCTAATTAAAATTCTATTAAAATTCCTTTGCAAAACAGACAAAAGAAGTCAACTTAGCAAGTAAAGATGAATAAAGAAAATATCTTTTCTTTACAAAAATATTCAAAAGCGTTTATATATATATTATATTTATAGGCTTACTTTCATTTTTCTAATAGCACCTTTCACTACTTCAACCCCTTTGGCCTCGTCGACGACCGTATGTCCCAGAAACTATTTTTTAAGATGAAACATACATGTTTCTTTTAATTATTCAAGACAATGAGAGAATATACTTTAATATTATACTAAATAGATTAGAGTTTAATAAAAATGACGTTATTTGAAGGATATAATTACATATAATTGTTTATAATATCATACTAACCTTTACATTGTAAGCAACGCGACTTCTCAAAATAGTATCAGAAGAATGAGGCCATTTGTTCTTTTTCGCTAATATTTAGATTGTAATTACATTAAAGAGATTGATACAGATCTATTGTACCATATATTTATATATATACTGTATATATACTGTATATATAAAATTTATATATATATAACATTAACCAAATTTATACTTACATCCATTCTTCTTACCGTTTGATGAAATTTGACGCTGCATTCCAACATGTATGTACTTCCGTTTGCCGAAACTGTTGTCGGATTGTAAACAAATATTATCAATCTCAGCTTCCCAATATGCTTGGGCAACCTTTAAGTTCATTTTGTTTGTAATTAAAAAACAAACAAACAAAAATGGGAGAGTTTAAAAATTAGCCCAACTAGATGAAGGTAGCGATAAAATGGAGAATACTCTTTTTTATATCTTTAATACAGATTGAACGGTTGCTATTATTATTGAATGGTAATAGTAAAGAGTATTTCCTGCAGTAGATATAGAATTATTCACTTTGATTCGTATGAGAGAATAATTGAACGAAATTGCTTCAGAAACTATATATAAATATATATATATCAGTTTCATGTTACAAATATTAAAAATAATTAGTCTTTCCTTTATAATTTACTTTATTCTAGTTCTTTACTCATCATCCATTTCCCACCAACTCTTCCCCTATTTTGCTTTGTTCGTTTTATAAAGAAAATATACATATCTACTACACTTATACAATATATACATTAAGTACTCTTTAATAACTAATAAAGTGTTTATCAACGTTAAATGAAAGATAAATAAAAATAATAATAATAATAACAATAACAAAAGAGTACCTTAAAACATTCTATATAGAATGTTCTGTCTTTTGTACTTAATATATGAGCAAACAAGTACATATATGTATATTGTTAAATGTATATTTTCTTATAAATGTCGGTATCCATACTCAAGTTAATATTATTTAAGAATTATTATTAATAATAGGCTTTTTAGTTTTTTTTTTAATAAAAAACAAATCCAATGGAAAAATTGACGAGAATAACAATAAACTGAGGTTTTATATTGTTTAGTGTTTTGTAAATTATTTATGAATCAACATTTTTAACTTCCTAAATAAAGGGTCAGGCTTGTCAATGGTTTTAGATTATAATAAATATATGTATGCTATACATATTATCTAATAACAAGCAGGATTCCATGCAGAAATAGGTCAAACCTGAATCTACTGTTCATCTTAGAACTGTAAAAAAGATTGATAATGTTTAAATAGATAGAATAACAGATAATCCTTGTCTTTTAAATTCAGTTACAAGGCTTATGATTCAACGATGAAGAATCACGATCTTATCTTGACTTTTACAATGCGATTAAAAGTAGTATAATAACTTACAGATAAATGATAAGATCCAATTATCGTTCGACGGCTGTTATCTATGGACCTTTTAAAAATTTGGAAGAAAATATCGATAAATGTTTAGGACGATAAAAAAGAAGTTGTTGATTACCTACAAAATGCTGATTGGGCCTGTGAATATTTTGTTTAGTCACCTGTAGCTTAGTTATAAAAAAAATATTATCCAGGTTCTATTGTACATCGTATGCATTTAATTGTTTACGCAAATAATGGAAGTAAGTGTAAGTGTTTTGTTTTGCCATAGAAATTAATAATTTAGCTTCAATAGTTTGTGTAAAGATATTTTAAAGTCAAGAAAAGTTAACCAATTCTAAACGTAAACTATAGAACCAGTTTTTCACAACCAGTACTTCTGTTTGAAAAAACACCAAGCAAATTTAGATAGGAACACCAATATTATTCGGATATGTAAAACGGGCAGTGATTCGCTAAATTCTCCTGCTATTTTTAAGTAACCAATCAACAATCGCCAAACATCCGCCATAGTCTGGTATAGAAGAGAGACCGATTTTATGTGTAATGTAAGCTTTACTTTTTCCTCTATAACTTTGTGCTAGGTGGAAAATTTCAGTTTTATTTTAATGATTACTAATACTTAATGCTATCTGTAAAAATATACCTTAAAAACAGTGATTTTGTAGAACTGAATTTTATAGATTAAAACGGTACACGTTTTTCCTGTTTGTCTGTTGTTCAGCAAAATAAGCTAGAGTGAAAACAAAGTTGTTACAAGCAAGTGCTGAACGAATTTTTATATTTACTTCAATGTGATTTATGCAATTCCATGAAAAAGAATGTTCAGTCAAATTATTTTCTCACAGGCCTAACTTGCATTTATGAATGAATTTACAAAGAAGATAGAGAAAAAAAGATGAATGCTGAAGTAAGTTTTTTTCTTTTACATATTTTTTAAGGCAAATCCTACTTTTTCGGAATAATTCGAATGTTCAAAGACCAATTCTCTATTTGTAAAATTCTCATCGGGAAACAAAGCAGAATTATTGCGAAAAAATCCCATTTCTATGAATATTTAAAGACACTTTGCCAAAGCTCTATTGTAGCAAATGAGTTTTTCTTAATTTACTTAGATATTTATAAATAAGTTTTTATTAGTGAAGGTGCAAAAATTAAGTTGTAGAGAGCTCGATGGACAGTTAAATGTGGTGTAGATAACTGACCGTCAAATATCTAAAGTTCTTAATTGATGTAATCCGATTGTGTTATTAATAGTGAATATAATTCAAATTAATCTTAAAACAAATCAATACGAATTTATTCCGCTTAAAACATTGATCATGGCACATGTGTCATATACACAGGCTGTGTAAAAAAACAGTTCTATTCTATGAACAATAGAGTGCGCTATTTACCATATTCGTGATCAGTTCCATAAAAAATTCCTTGAGAGGCGTCGTTTCGAAATGCCCTTTAGACTGCGAAATCGATTTCAACTTAATTTTAGTGTTAATCGTAAAAGAAATTCTCTTTCGACTCAGCATCAAAGAACTTGTCAAATTTTAAGGCAGATTTTAATACAGGTATATTTTTCTACTACAAAAATTATTATAGTTTTGGTTAAATAGGTCATGTTTTGTTTGAATAGTGATTAAAGTAAACTTTTTGATTTTTTCCATTTATTGATTTTTAAGGTACGATAAGTTTGCCTTAGAGAAAGAAAAAAAACTCAATATTTCCCCCAAACATTTTATTTATATTTCAATATGTCAAATAATTTATTTCAACAATAAAAAGTCAAGTTATCTAATGAAACAATAAAGAGAATAAAACACTTTTTATGTATATGTTGATTACGGTGGGCGTAAATTGATATTTCTTAGAACATTTAAGTTTTGAAGCCGCTGGTTCAACAGTTCGAAATATGATATTACAACATGTGTTATTGTATCTCGAAAGACAAACTGAAATATTTTTATTCATCTATCTACCATCTAAAAGCTAAAAGGCATAGATAAATGGGCTACTAATCGTATTTGATACCTTTCAAAATGTTACATTAAAGATGTTTTAGAATACTATCTCTCTATTTAATAAATAAAAGAGCAGTTAACCTAGAATTTAGTGTTCTGACTGACAGAAAGAAACTCTTTCACTATGTTAATCCAACCTATAACCTATTTAAATTTACTGAAATATTTTACTGTCATTAAATTTAATCCCATATCAATATTTCATTTGAAATTTTTCATTTAATATCAAATTCACCCTTGTAAAATATTAATTAGAGAGCTATTAATAATCTATGGAAATGTGATAGGCGTTCTCCTCGAGAAAATAAAGCATTTTCTTTCAATATTCTTTGTAAAATGTGCCATATTACTATTATTATTATGATAAGTTTTTATTAATTTTACGATATTTTCACCGCAAATCAATACATGTATTCAATTGTTATAGATCTTAACAAGAGACAATCCAATTCTTAAGAAAAAAATTAGGGTATAAGAAAGTACAACTTCTAGGATTATTTTTTGTTATTTTATTATTATTATTATTACAAGTATTTCTTATTGCCTCTTCACTAAAAGAGATTATACTAAAGAATATTCCTTTCTGCTTCAACTAGCATATTCTGTTTCACTCAATGACCCTAAAGTTTATTAAATATGTTATAGCACAGTTGGTTTGAATTTGATATTTAGGAAGTTTCCAACTGAATAGTTTGCATTTGAGTGCTTTTGTAGTTACTTTATACTTATGCATTTATAATGTTTTTCTCTCAATTGCTTTTTACAGAGTGATGTAAGTCACAAGGTTCTGCCTAGTGTAATAAAGGAAGGGAGTGATTTGGATAGTGAGAACGGTAGTTATAAATTAATGTTATTCTTTTTAAATCAGTTATATGATAGACTCGCGAATATTTTTTAAGCATATAATTAGTGCAGTTTATTTATAAAGTTGCACGGAAACGCTGTTTTTTTAAAACTGTAAGCAGAGGTATTAACACGTGGCATGATGCAGTGACATTTCTTCTGTTTATACAATTTATTTTTTATATATATATTACATAGGTAAACATGTATAAAACTATATACTTTGTTTTGTTAACTATTGTTGTGTTAATATTTTTTTCCAAACTGTTTCAACCATGCATATTCTCTGGCTATGAAAGGTGGAAGAGTCTCTAATTTATTTATATTTTCTGTCAAGGACTGCAAAGTAGATCATACCTGCACCAAAAACTTATTATTTTCAATGAATGGTTCAGTTTGCTACTTTGAATTTTTTTTCCAGACCAAAATTTGTTTTGGTCTTCCCAAAAAAAACATACATCTCATTTCAACGTCTTTTAATTAATGTTAATAACCGGTCTAGGATAATTGGTCTTATATTTTATATTCTTGCGCTCGTTTCAAAAATAAATATTAAGCAATCGAATAATTGTTTAACGATCTTCTTTGTTCAGACAAGTCAACATTAAATTGTGACCAGTTGACTTTTTATTGCAAAAGGTATTGAAGGATGTTTGTTAATTATTAATTTAATTATTGTTATAATCGTTGCTTTCGTTTATTTTTCTCATGCATGCTGCTACATTTTTATTTAGTTTAATCTGACAGAAAAATTTTTACTATTTTAATTGATTTAGAAAAAAAGAATAAGAAATTTTAACGTAGTTTTTTCTCAGTCGCAAAATCACAATGCTTATTTTTTTTAACACACCTCCCCCAGCTAAAGTTAATTATGGCAAAAACTGTTTTAATATTATTTAACAGATTTTGCTCTATAGTTTCGGCTTGGATTTTTTTTATTTTTTTTGGTGTTGTATTATTCTGATATCTAGACCAGTATTTGAGGGTTTTTACAATATTTCATTATTTGATATTATTTTTATCATTCGTCCATACTAAGAATTATATACGTAGATAAAACCCAATACCATATTGGTCTAGGTTCATGCAACAACCGCAAGGTGACGGCTTGTGAGCATACTGCTTTTTTAAATTTGCATACTAAACTAGTTTTACGGGTATAAATTTTGGACAATCTGCAGTGATAATGAAGATTGTTGCGGTAAGTTTTCATACCTGCATGAAGATTTTAATGCTACACAGATTTTTTGTGTGCGATATCTTTAAAAAAACAAACAAACAACTTTTGTAGTAGTTTTATTAATAGAGGGATTTGTGTTTCTTGTGGTCTTACTTTTATTATAGCATTTTCACATAGTTCGTTAATCGACTAACTGGTCTTCTAAAGAAAGTTTTGTCAAAGTTCAAATGAGATCTGATTGATTATGATAGAAAGCTTTTCCCACAAATTCTTTTTCAACAGTTTTTATTCACCAAGACTGATAATTCTCATTTTTTTATAGCTTTTTTTTTGCAATGAAAAATCATTTGAAATTTCAGACAAACTTTCTGTCTCTTAACCTGTGGTGTTTGTGAATGCTTAATCAAAAATCTAGTCGTTAACCCCTAATTGCCTTCCCTTTCCGCCTCTAATATGACTATAAATCCTTTTCGTTTATTACTTCGAGAGACAAGTGTTTGATACAATTTTGAAATTTAATAAGTTGAAAAATTTTCAGATCTAAAAGAGGTGAGATTAATATAATTTATGCCAAAATATCACTTTTAATCGTGTGTCGAATAATCAACTAATTCTCTCTTTATAAACAATCAACACATCCCCATTAACAATCTTGCCATTTTTAGTTCTGTAACGCTTTCTGTCATTACTTTTTCAAATCTGCATGATAAGCTTTCTGAATATGGATGAACCTGCTTTTGGCAAAAATGTTGTACTCTTTAGATAGTCATGAATATTAAATTTCACTTGTAACTTCACCCAACTAGAAGTAATTCTATAAAATTGTGTTACTTCAAACTACAATTTTCTTAGGTAATTTAATTGATTTAAAGATGGAAAATTTATCATATCTTTCGATTTAACACTTAGATCTGGAGATTCTCGTAGACTTAAAATTTCTCGTTTCATTTTAAAAAACAAAAATATGAAACCCTACAAAACTGCGACCATAAAAACAATAGCAACGCCTGTTTCCTATAACATATAGACAAAATGTACGCTTTTGGGATATAAAAGATTGATAGTTGTTCGACTATCTAGAGAAAAACATTTTTGTACTTGCTTTTCAAGTTAACAATAAAGAGAAATAAAAAAGAGCGTCGGTGACAGGCGATTATGTTATTTAATTTTTTTTTTCAAAAATTTTCCATTTTTGTAATGTAGGGTGAACAACGAAACGTGTAGATGCTCATGAAGGTATATATACACCGCTGAATGCACTTTTTTGATTAGTGTTGTGTTCTGGTGCAAACAATTCTACCTATCTGGCGCCATTTTGTCGTCTTTTTCTCAAAATGCTTGCTAATTTTAATTAAAAAGACTTGCATAAATTGGTTTTTATTTTTTAAATATTTTACCTTAGCTAAATGAATTTGTATGTAGTTTTTATTATTAATGCACATTATTCCTTCCTACTTATTATACATTAATTTCTGCACTTATCTTACAACTCAGAACCCAAGTAGAGCCCTCTTGCTTGGCTTTCGAGTACAAACTTTATTTCCGTTAAATCGTCCCTATCACTAACAGGTTATGTTTATTTATTTTGCTAAAATACTTTTGGTTCCAAGGTGATGGTTTCTTTATTCCCATCAGTGAGATATCATTTGCTACGAAATGAGGAATAGGAAGTTTTCTCTCTGTCCTCATGTTTTATCTATACATATATACGAAAACTACTTTTATATGTATTCTGTATATATCTCTTAATGTAGCTTTGAGCAATCTGTCTTTCGATTTCGACCGAGCTCAGACAGTATGTTGCTTTCAAAATTTGATTTATTTAAGGATTTGGTAAAGAAAGAGAGCACCTGATAAAAGCAGTAGGCGTATCTGAAAAAGGTATGAGAACGTAGCCATATCCTCTAACTTTCTGATTTAATAGCGATAACAGCTAGATTTACTTATTCCTGCTTTCGACTTTATTTATTCAGTTAAAGTTTCATTCAGGGCAAGAAGGAACAGAGTCTGATATTAAAGTTAGTTATTGTTGAACAGTAACAGACAGCTTTACCTGTAACTGACAAAGATTAACATTATCTGCACGCTTCTTGATTATACCATTCTCGTTCATATTCGTTATATTCGCGATCATTCACCAATTAACCACAAGAAATAGTTATCTGTTTCCCATAATTTATAAATTTTGCTTTTCTTGTATATCTCACTGATCATTTTTATGACCCTTTTTTTACCAGTTGCGTATAACTCTGTCGCTGTTCGTAGTTTCTTGGTTTATTTTTCGAAAATATCTGTCGTGTTTCTTTTGTCTAACTTCTTGTACAGGTAAACTTAAATAATATCATGCATTTCACAGAAAAACGGTAGTGTTAATTTTATTCTGCAAATGATAAAATTTAAAGATCGAATAGTGTAGATTAGGTGATTTAGAACTAATTGCATTGATTTTTCTTCTTTCCAGATGCGTCGTAAACTAGACAGAGTATGTTATATATGTATCGTGCCTTTATTTTTTTATTTGCGAGCAATTATATTGTGTTCTATTATTTTTTCGGCCGATGCATCTGTTTTTTAAACAACGTGCTTTGTTCTAGTTAGACTTTTTTTAACTGCATAAGCTTTTTCCTATCTAGGTAATAATTAAAACGTAGCTGAGATTTTCTTTCATTTCTCGAAATGTTTGTATTAGTCCGTAATCCTCAAAGAATTGTCCACTCAATAGCAGAAATGAATTACACAATGAAGCCAATCAACTAAGATTGGAAATCTCAGCTACGCGTTTTTTTTTCTAATTTAAGAATTCCAATGATTTTAGAGCTATGTCATTATTTTTTTTCGAGTTATTCTTTTTTATTTTTGACACTTCAAAAAGCAAAAATTTGGAGTTTATAATGTTGGCGCACTAATAACGCAGATAACTTCTATTTTCGCTTCCTGAGAATGCGTTCTCAATAAGTCAAACGCAGCAATTTACAACAGTGGCTCGTATACGTATACAATATTATGTATGCGTATCAGTAACAATAGAAATAAACGCCTGGTAGGTGATTAGCGCGGTGACTTAAGAAAATGGTTCTACATAAGGGTAAATTAGTACTGTTGTGTAGACTTGTTTTAAGAAACCTTTTAAAATAAACTTCTTTGTATGAAAATTGTCATATAAAGAAATGTTATTTTAAGAGAGCTTTACGTTATTCAACGAAACGTTCTAAAGAGATCCATTTTGAAATATCATTTAAAATATGTTTTGGAAACGTTCCATAAAAAAAACATGTAATCATCTTGCATATAACAGTACTGATTTATCTTAATTGTTCTAATTAATATGTTTTTTTATATAGCCTAATTTATTTTATGGACGTAATTCTTGATGAGTCGTTGATTAGAATACGCGTTAGGAACTAGAAATTTATTTAAATAAGTTAATAAATATTCTTCGTTCTTACAGATGATTCCGGTGACCGATCAGTTAAAGGAGATTCGGAGAAAGAGGTAAATATTGTCTGTATAAATTCTTATATTTTATAACTTGTAAAGAAAATACTTTCTTTTTCTGCTATAACTGTACCCATAGTTTTTACTCTCGGATAAAATAGTTTATCAGTTTTCTTTTACTTTGATTTATAATTGAGGCTAATGCATTCTATTTCTTACAGGCAAAAGACAATGATCCTTCAAAGTCACCGCAGTACAATTGCGATTTGTGTAAAACACAGTACAAAAGTTGTTCAGAATATGACAATCACGTAAAGTCAGCAGATCATGTTCACAAGAAAGTAAGATATTTCGTTGTAATATATTAAGTTAGCGTTAATTCTTAAAATATATTATATTATCTCCGAATTCTCAATTTTCGACTTATTAAATCTATTTGAAACAAAATATGATAATCTGTTAAGTAGTATAGAAATATTATGTTTCCTTATGTAAATATGCAGACGTGAAAGTTTATTTTATTATAAAAGGATCAGGAAAGGACCTTGGCATGGGTCTATACAAGACCTTAAATAGGGCTATTTATATACAGTGGTGTGTAAAAATTAATATTAAGTTTGCTGATGTCTGTTCATTATTTTTACACCGAAAGTTGATATTTTTTGCACAAGAAGTTTTCTTTTTAGTTATTAAGATATTACAATATGCTATTTACAGAAAAATGAAGATGCTAGAACTCGCTCGCTCGCTCAAATAGTTAAAGCAAAAGACGAAAAGAAAAGCGAAAAAGAACTCCAACGATTGTTGAAATACGCCGACGATAAGTAAGATCATTGTTAATTTTTTAAGCAATTTGCCATTTACGCATATTTCGTTCTTCCAGGCAGAGACAAGCCCAAGAGAGAATACCCTATTATGAAACGGCCTCGAAAGGCCAACTGACTCAAACCTCGGGAAAACTATCTTTCAATTTACAAAAGAAATCTACTACGTTATCAACCATTTCTTCAATTGTTTTCTCAACAAAAACACCACGAATTGATAAACTAGATAATAATAAAGACAGTTCGCTCAAGAAAACCGATGATTCAGAGTCTAGCTCAACGGAGATGGATAAAAAGCCTAAAAAAGAGGAGGTATTTATTTATGCTCCAGATGATCAAACATACTTGATGGTTGAGCTGTTAGATCATAAAAATAAATTTATTAAGTGGCCTAAAGATATGTGTAAGAGTACGGAATCTGAGCCGAAATTAATATATAGTGAATATAGTGAATTTGATGGCTGCAAAGATGTTTATATGTGTGCAGAAGATATGTCATCTACAGAAAAAGTTAGAACTGACTCTGATAAAAGCTGTAATTTATACGAAGAAGACGATTTAGATTTCGAACCCGACTCTGATAGAGATGAAAGTGATGGAAAACTTATTGGAGAAGACAAGCAACCAAACCTTACACCTCTTCCCAATATTCCTCAGAATAAACTACCCGAAGATTTAGATGAAGATGACGCGGATCATCCTAACTTCTTACAGTTTCAACCAAGACCTGTGAAACTAGGAAAGAAAGAAAAGGAAAAGGATAAGAAATTGAGGAGAGATAATGCAAAGAAGAAAAAGAGGAAGAGGGATAAAAGCTCCGATAGCGAAAATTCAGAAGATAAGAAGAAAAAGAAGAAAAAGAAACATAAACGTGAAAAAGACCATAACGATAAGAAAGAAAAAATAAAGAAAGATAAAGAGAAAGACAAAGATAAAACTAAAGACAAGATTTCTGAAGAGAAAGAGAACGAAGAAGAGATAAAAGATAATTCTGAAGCTGAAGTGTCTAAAATTGAAAAAGATACATCAAATTCTGAAGGAAAGAAGACACCTGAAACAAAAATCTTCAAGTTAGTTGAAACTATAACTACAAGACGGAGTTGCGATGATGAGAATCTTGAAAATATTGATCAAGAGACGAAAACGAGTGACAAGCTGGAAGGTGTTTTAGATGAAGAGGTCAAAGAAAGTCCTATCAAAGTGGAATTAGGATCTGATGTTGATGAAAAAGACGGCGAAGAAAATTTAAACCCCTTGGAAACAAATAAGATAGAAGTAGATCTCGAGACCGATAAATTAGATTCTGGTAGGAAAAGGCAATTATCTCCTGGAATATCAAACAACAGTAAACGTTCAAAAGTAGAGACGAAAAAGCTTGAAGGAGTTGTAAAAGAAACTGTTGCCAGCACATGCAAATCGAAATGGGATACGTCCAGCTCAGAAAGTGAAAACGAACACATTGAAAAAAAGAAAGAACTAATCAATAATCGCTTGGAGACAATTGCCAAGACCAGCTATTCAAAGAGTGGTCGCATAAAACGATTTACAAAGTCCCCAAGTTCATCGAGATCTAGATCTCGCTCCAGGTCTAGATCTAGCTCAAGATCTAGATCCAGGTATAGATCAAAATCGAGATATGCAAGTAGATCCCGATCTAAGTCCAGATATGGGGGATATAAACCAAGAAGGTCTCGCAGGAGCTATTCGAGAAGCCCATCCAACAAAAAGAAGTCCAGTCGATACCGCAGAAGTAGAAGATATTCTAGAAGTTACTCAGAATCTAGGTCCAGATCAAGATCCAGGTCTTATACAAGATCTTCAAGTCGTAGTAGTCGATCTTATAGGTGATAATATTGAACACTGTTAATTAACGTTTAACTGTTTTTCTTTGTTTCTTTGCAGCTCTTACACTCCATCCTCCTATAGCAGGTCTTACTCAAGATCGTACTCAAGATCATATTCTAGATCTAGGTCTCACTCAAGGGGAAGAGGGCGGAGGAGAAGACGCTCATCATCTTATTACAGATACAGCTCCAGCTCAAGGTAGTACCAACGTCCATTATCATCAAAAAATAAATTTTTGCTGTTTCAGAAGCTATAGCTACTCCTCTGATTTCTCTAGAAGTCGTTCAAGGTCTTACTCTTACTCTAGATCGAGATCGCATAGTGCGCGTTCCCTTTTGAAGAAAAGTCCTGATGAAAAATATAGCTCATTGTTGCCTAAAAAGAATGAGACTAAAAAGAGAAAAGAAAAAGCTGGTAAAAAGACACGCATTGGAGTAAATGTAAGAAAAATATATTATTTTCGTAATTAAGTAGTTTTAAATGTATATTTAATTTTAGAATACCAGCTCCAGTAAGCTGCCTTTTATTGGAAAGAAGAAAGCTTTAATAAAATCAGATGCACAGCGTAATAGCCTTGATTCTGACGATGAAGAAAGCACGAAATTTAGGAAAACAGTATCACAAAAACTTTTTAAGCATATAGAAGAAAAGGAAGTCAAAGAATTAAATGAGGAAAAATCTGATAAAGACATTGATACGGACAGGGAAAAAAGGGTGGAAAAAGATGATATTCCTCTTCCTGAGATACCTCCCGAAGCAGGAAGTACATTAACCGTTTCAAATTCTAGGGAACCCGATAAAGAGGAATCCCACGGACAACATCTTTTTGGTGCATACACAAGTTATGCCAATCAGCAACAACAGCAACAGCAGGCGGCTTATATTCTTCCATACATGTATGACAATAATGCCTATCCCATCACGTCTTCCGCATGTTCAGCTCAACCGGAAGCATCAACAGCTCAAGAAGCTGAATTAACCAATTTTATTGGCCCCAAACTGCCTCTAAATCATCCTCTGGTTAAGAGTGGCCAAGTACCGCCTCCCCCTCCTCCGCCCGAAGAGGAAGTAGAGCCGAGAGGTATGGAGAATGTTATACCACCAGAGAAAGCTGCCGAGTACGCTGCTCTGCAAGCTCAAGCTCAAAAGCATGCCTTGAGGAATAATGGTCAACTGGTTGAGGAAGAGGAAGAACCGCCTATGGAAGCTACGCCATGTTCTACACAAATGATGGTACCTCAAGCTGCTGCTGCTGCTGCTGCTGCCGCTGCTGCTACACCAATATTATTACAAGCACCCACCAATATGTCATCTTCCAATTCTCTTTATTTACCCTTTCAGTCGATACCTCAAGCTGGTACTCCTGTTGTTCTACCACCGAATGTACAATTTGCTTCAGGTCTGCAAGGTTTGCAAGGAGCATACTCTGTTCATCATTCCCTCTTGCTTGCTAGGCAACAGCAAGCTTTTCTCCAACAGCAGGCCGTCCTTCAACAAGCTGCCGTTGCTCAACACCATGCAGTGCAACAAGCTCAAGCAGCAGCAGCTGCTCAGAGTGCGGCCCTACAGCATGGTACAGGATTAATAGCAACGCCCAGCGGACATATGTTTGTCTCGTTGCCACAAGGTGTTCAAAACGTTCCAACTACTCTCCCTCTAGTTGTAACGGGGGGACATCATCTTATACCAAGTAGATTCGCAAGACCGTTTATGTGAAAAAAACTGGGAATAATGACAAATACAATGCTTGATAATATTCTCTAGACAATTTCTGTTTTAAAATATATGCAAGTCTATGTTCTTTATCGCTCTGCATGCTTAATTTATTTGTACAGCGCTGCATTGCAATGTTTCCTCTCTTTTTTGAATGTATTACACAGTTACAGAGCACAACACTTGCTTCATTATTGTTAGTAAATACTATTGAATCGTAAATTGATAATGAAATTGCTTTAAGAGATATTTGAAAAAAAAATTGTTCAACTTAAAATTATAATAATTGTAATATTTATTTAGATCAGACACTTAAAAACATTAAAGAGATTTCTTTACTAAATCTATACTGGTGCTTAACAGACGTAGAGGGTAATTTGTAGATATCGATTATAACGTGTAAGTCGTCAGCTTGGGGTAGAAGGTGTTCTTAAGCTACAACGAAAGTATAGGAAGAAGCGTCAATTCACCATATAATAATTATCGGCTAATAAACAAAGTCTAATGTGAAGTAATTGGACAATCCAGTTTATTTACACTCATTCACATGGTTTTCATATTCTTTTTGGCTGACGTTATCCATTAAATTTGAACAAACTGGACAATATTTTTCTAGGTTGTGAGACTCAACATGTGTTATCAAATCGCTTGTAGACAAAAAGGTATGATTACAAACTGGACACAAAAGCTGAGGCTCTCCGACAGCATCCTGTTTAAATAAATAGAATTAAGGTATGAAATTATAGCGTTTTGCTTTAATACTTGAAATCTGTCATCATCGTGATCGTTCAATTCAGGTATAATATTTCCTGTAACGGGATAAGGGGGCCCGCTGTTGCAAGGATATACCCAGGTTGATTCTGGTGGTGAAACTGGTAACAGAACACATGAATTATTAATTTCTTTCGACAAAGATAAAAAATAATTATATCAATTTACATGTTCCTTTGACTGCTGCTGTTTTTGCGGTATGTAATTTTACTGGTTCGAGGGGTTCTGGTAAACCACTAACACCACGATATTCTGTAACGGGTATTCTCACTGCAAAACTTTTTTCTTTCTTTTCAACCATTTCAATATTTTCCTCAAGCTGTTTGTCGATAACCTTATTACGTAATTCATCAACTTCAGCACATTTTTTCAAATATATTTTTTTCATTTCTTCCAATTCATTGTTTAACTTTTCAATTGTTGATTGACTTTCTGCTGCTTGAACTTTTACTCTCTACGAAAAGAAGATGTTTTAAAAGATGTCAAATACAATTTCTATGCAAGACAATACCTCAAGATGTCTGTCAGTATGTTCTTGTTGTTGCAAAAGTTCTTTTATTTTATTATGTAGCTCAATTTCATGTACTTCAGCCTCATTTGTCTGACAGACGCTATCCGATGAACATACGTAAGCTTCACAAGTAACGTCATTCGATCCAACATTTCCTTTTATCATTGAATCAGTTAAATCAGCTGTAAAATGCAATTATATTATTTTAAATAAAATACGCTTAATAGACAAAGTATTGAATAATATTATACCTTTTCTTTCAAGTTTAGTGCATTGCTTCTGTAGTTTCATACATTCAACATATTTTGTTCGATATTCTTCGCCTGCCATTTGTAATCTTCTCTTTAAATCCTCATTCTCTTTCATCAAGTGTTCCTCTCTTTGTTCGTAATCCTTATTCAAATTTTCGATATCAGTCAAAAGCCTTTTCAAGTCAACATTTTCTTTTTGAAATTTGCTGAATCTACTGCGAACTTCATCATAGGCTGTTTGTAAAGCCATTCTAGAACCGTCGGCAACCATATCTTTACTTTCGGTTTTAAGTTTATCATATAAACTCTTTATCGAACGATACTTTTCTCTTTCTTCCTCAACAGCTCTATTTGTCTCTTTCGATTGATCCTGTAGCAGCGTTTCCAATTCTGATAGCCTCATTTTTAAATTTGCATTTTCAGATGTACTATGCTAGTTAATAAATGAAATATATATAAAATGATCAATAAAATAGGTAATCACACTAACTTCAAACTTTTGATTTAGCTTAGCGTTGAATTCTTTAATCGATGATAGTTCTTTTCTCATAATTGATTTTGACTCTTCACCCGCTGATAACTTATCTTCGTAGTTTGTTAAGCGTTCACTTAAAGTAGATATATCATCCTATCATTTGAAAGATGATAAGTTTAAAAATTATCTTTTTCTTTATCTTAGAGTTCTTACTTTATAATGTTTAGAGATAGCAATTTCACCCTTCAAACGTATTAAAGTATCATCGTACGTTTTTTGCAATGCCGAGTGCTTAACTTCAAGATTACCCAACATCGTTTTCATTTCCGTAAATCTTTTCATGTAGCACTCTTCCTTTTGCGATCTTTCAGCTAATGCGCTCTGTATGGTATTGAAGATAAATGAAATATATACACATATAGTGACAAATACAAAAATGTATGCTATGTGATAATATGTTCTTACGTCTAAGAGTTCAATTTTTTCATTAAGATTTTTATTCTCTCCTTGAACTTTATCAGTTTGTCTTAGCATTTCTATTTCTTTCTTTGATATCATACCAAGCTCTCTCTCTAATACAGCAACTTGATTTTTCAATTCTTCTTCAACTGTTAGTGCCAAATCTAAGGCAACTGTTTTTTCTTTTAAGCTTTGACGGCATTTATCCAGGTTTTCCTCTAGAGCATCTCTCTCACCACGTAATAATTTTGTCTGTGATTCTAATTCTGTTTCGATATGAGTTATCTCTCCTTCCAGTTCAATTATTTTCTTCTCATTTTGAAAATTTTGCTGCCGAGTCTCTTCTAATTGATTATATATAACTTCCTTTTCTTTCATTACTTTACTTAATTGCTCCTCGAGGACATTTGTACGTTTCTTAACAATCAATAAACCCGTGTCATCCTCAACCTGTACTAGTTCTTCAGGAATAAAACTTCGAAACTGGAATGGCATGGATGCTCCTCGCATGCCACCCGTGCTCGTGATATAGCAAAATTGATAAATTTCAGTATCGTCATTTGGAATGCATGTAGCTGTTGTACAGCAAGAGAATAAATTAATGAATTTTGTGGATAGTGAATCTAATTACCGGGAAAGGTTACATCAGCTTCCAATTTTTCATTTGGTTCTTTTGCCCAAACATAGTGAATATATTCATTAGCACTACTCCATCCAACCTAAAATACCCAATGAATAATTAATATTTATAAAATAAAATATTAATAGCTAAACACTTTTTCAGCCAGGAACATTATGAACAGAACAATCAGAAATATATTAATATTTTTAATAACCTTCTCAAGGTCAATTATTCTAATATATAGTCTACACGATATGACAATCAATCAACCATTGATAGATTGCTAGAACACTTGACTATGATTAAGGGAAAAATATTACGTAATCTGTAAGGAAATCTTTTAGAAACGAAAAATACTTACTTTATACAATCCAACCCAATCCCTTGAATTGTACTGCATTGCGCTACTGAACGAGTATTTACAATCAAAGTTTAATCCAGTCTGGTAACTTTCTTGAATATTTTGAAATATGACTTGGGCGAAATTCATTTTTTCCTCTGTTATTGTTTGCTGGGGGATTTTCTCAAAAGTTTCAAAGTCCGTCATTTTTCTTAGCCTTTTAAAACCTTCAGTTTTCGCTTATTCTTTCTCTTTAAGATTACAAAATTGTAGTGAGCAATTGTCATCACTAAAATGTATTAATAAGTTATTTTAACCAAATGACTCATTTAAGAGATCAATATCTATTGACAATGGCTCATGAAAGTAGGCCAAAAATAGTGTCTTTCTTTTTCATTGGGAATTAATATAGTAAAACGCAATTTCCTTAATACAAAATATTTGACTTTATTTAGGGTTCAAGGCTAATTATTAACGCTTTTCGTGAATTTTATACAATTTTACATACCGTGGCAACCCAGTAGACAGTGATATCAAACGTTATTTAAAACGATTTCGTAAACAAATGGGTTTGTGGGATTTGTTATGGTGGACGAACTATTTATGCCCAGTTTATTTATATGGGTATACCTAAATGATATATTTCACAGATAAGTAAAAAATTACCTAATTTTTTCGTAATACGATTATGAATCATTTCTCTCATATAGTTTTAATATAAGGATATCTTTGAAAAATTAATAATATATTTCCCCACTTGCTAATATCTCTTAAGAAAAAACGTTCTATTAAGAACTTTATCGTTAACCATCTTAATTATTACAAGAATAAGTTTATAAATATCAAACTATATACCAAGATATAATAAAAATAGAGTGTTATAATTTCCTGTACAGAATACTGTCCAATTTTAAAAAAGAGTACTAATAAACAATGGTTTCTCCAAAAGAGCTACGAAAAGAAATTTTCGTTTAAAACACTAACTATTATGAACAACTAGAGATAATATTTAACAATTAATCTCCTAATATACGAAAGCATAAGTAAGAGAGAAATTTGATATATTTACCTGATATTAAAAGTTGCTGTTAGGAACCAGCTTGTGAAATGAATGAGCAAATTTTTATCGAATAACTATCCACCAGTCGTCTGCCTTTTAGTCAGTCTCGAATGAAACTCAAGGGATCTTGGGACGTTTCCCCTGTATAGACGAAAATTATATGAAATTTCAGAAATCTTATTCCCTTCAATACACAATATTTATTATTAATTTCTTATATTGAAGTCATTCACCAAAATATTACAAGATAATTATCTCTATTGGATGATTTGTCTCGCTGATCAGCACCATTAATTCGTGATTTTGGCTTATTTTTGATTCGAACTTTATATTCGTGGAAATGTCGGCTTTAAGTTGGACTTTTCGAAAGCTTTTCTCTGTTGTTTGTTTATTATTGTCTTTCATAAAGGCTATATTAAGTAGGATAATATGTAGAAGTAGACGTCATAGGAAAAATTCGGGTAGTTTACTACCTTTTATTGATCCTCAAGCAAATGCCCCCCAAATGGACATTCCTCCTCAGCCATTATTAAATAATGAGGTTGCTTTCTTTTGAGCACAAAAATAATGTGCTATTTAATCTAATATTAATTAATATGTTTATAGGTGGAACTTCAATCTTGGGAATCTTGGGGGAATGACAGTTCTCCTGCAAACTCTGCTAAAGTTCCACAAAATCCTGTAAAGCCGAATAAAATAAGACCAACAGTCTTTAGCAAAGCAAGAGATGTTGAACCAGAACCGGAGCCGGATTACTTTGTCGATATGAAACCTGATGTTCGTAAAAATGCAAAGGTAAGAGAGACAATAAATAAAGAATAAGAAGCTGACGAGAACATTTACTTTATAATTTTTAATAGATTGTCATAAAGAAAAAGGAAAATTTCGATGGAATTTCAAATAGATTAGCTATGTCAAATGATTTTGGTAATCAGGTTTGTTTTTCATGAAGCATATTAAACAGATTTTGGCATTTTAAATATATACTTATGTTTGAAAAGGGAGCAGAACTTGGTTCATGGGACGAGTATACTGCCGATTCAATGGCTAGTGGTTGGGGTCAAGAAGACTTGAGTGAAGAAGCAGAGGAAGTTTTAAAAGAACAAAAAAGAATTGAAAGAGAAAGGAGGCATCAAGAACAATTAAGGAAAAAGGCGGAGCGAGAAGCTAAACGAACAGCAAAATTAAAATAATAGATACTAAAAAATTATCAACAAAAGAGATAACAAACTGAACAAATAATTCTGTTTTATTTATCTTTAGGCTGATGAATCTTTCTTCTTCTTCTTGTCTTTCTCTATCATTTATTCATTATATCCTATAAAAAAGTTATGTTCCATTCAAAATTAAAAAGAAAAATGAGACTTTTGATAGAGCTAAGAAAAAGGTAAAAAATAATTAAACTTGACAAACTTTCTGACTTCAAATCTAATAGAATCAATAAGCAAAAAAGCCTTTTTTTTAGTTTTAATCTTTATTTATATATAAAATATTAAATAGTTTAAATAATAATATGCAAAAAATAAATAAATTTGGAAGTTGCTTGTTTAAAAATGTATATTCATTTGTTTTTTTGTTTTAATTAAAATATTCTATAGTTTCAATTGGAGTAGAAAATAATTAATTATAATTTTTAAATTAACATTACTCTTGTTTTTTAACCAAACATTGAATTGTGAAGAGTTTCTAGCTCGTATTCTCTTTGTTTTTTTCTTGCCTTCTGCCTTTTATAGTTTTCGTATTCTTCGTCGTCAGTCTCCAATTCAAAACGACATACGGGGCAGCTATTTGTTTTTTCAAGCCAAGTTTTAAGACATTTTGGATGAAAATTGTGTTTGCAAGGCATAATCAGAACTATATCATCGCTTTCAAAGGTTCCCAAACAGATTGAACAAGTTTTGTCTGGGGCATCTTGAGCGTGTGCTGTTTTTAGATCCTGTACGGCTTTCTTTGATGCAGGAGGTGGCGGTGCTTCTCCCATAAGTTGAGTGTACAATGTGTCCCATGGATTAGACCAACCTAAGAAAAATTCTCATTTAAATAGTAAACACAATTCACCTATATATCTAATCAACGCTACGCTTTTTATATCTTTGGTAATTAGGTCAAAATATCTAAAAATCGTGTACAAATACAATCTGAAATTGACAACATATTGATTTTTTACATCAAAATCGAATAAAAAATTTAATCCATCAATTATAATGCAGATCTACAAGGTAAAATAAATATAAACAATGCGGTCATGACATTATCATACCTCCATCAAGGAGCAATCGGGCCAGATGCAAAGTGTGGTTGGGGGCCTCTCCTTCCTCTAGTGGCTTACAATCGTGTTCTTCAAAATAAGAAGCCATAATAATAGGCGATTGATGTGAAAATGGTATAATTTTATAATTTCAAACTGCGAAGTCACTACCGGAAGATGTAAATCTTTTTCATAACTGGTAGACATACTAATTATAGTATGTTTCGGTAAAGCAGTTTTTTTTACGCTTAAAATTTTTGTATTTATATCAAGTGTTACAACATCAGCAAACAATGAGAAGAAACATTTTCTGATTATAGTTAAACGAATAACATAGTGTATAAATAAATTTATTATAACCTATTTCCCTTCATTTTATTTTAGCTTTGAAGGACTTTTGCGGAATAACGGAATTTCTTCTCTTCTTTTTAGTGCAATTTCGAATACCATATTTAATATTCGGTATCATATGTTTTTTAATCTGAAATCTTATTCCAGCTATATCTAATAAGACTAATATTAACATTTCACCAAAAACAACACTCAAAGAAATAAGACCAATGAGTTTTGAATTGTGAGCATCAACCGGTTTCTCTTTTTCATAAGAAGGGAATGGTTTTATAAAATCATCTGTATTGAAATCAAGCGCTTCGTCTTCGCCTGTAGATATAAATATTTTCGATACTGTAATACTTTCATATAGTCAAATAGAACTGATAAACTAACCTACCAAACCCCATATTACAATTAGATCCGCCTCCAACATATCTGAGTTTGTTATATATATATATATATATATATATTTATACATAAATATATTGATATTAAACATATATACACTTTTCAATACCTTTTCCTTTGCATACTTTATCCGAAGAACAAAAGAAAAAAGTAGGTAGTTGTAGATTTCTTTCAAAATTACATGCTCCATCCCTATGATCATTGTCAGCTATAAATATCCAACCGGACATTGTATCGCAATCCCCCGCATCTTTCCATATTAACCATCGTCTAGAGAACTGATAGTATGGTATATTTGAAACAAATCTAAAATAAATGTAATCATACTTATTAAAGAATAAATTTAAGAGAAATATGAATATTAATTAGACCCTTTAATGCTAAAATATAGAAAAGAATTTTTTGTATCAACAAATGATGAATTGATTAGATTTTCATTATCGAACCAGTTAATTTTATTTGTGTTTTTGCCATTGAAAGTAAAGAAGACACTTTCTTTATTGTCTTTAAAGAAACTTAGCCGAATCTGAAAAAGGAAATAGATTGATATATTTAAATTCAACTGTAAAAGTACTAGATGAATATAAATACAAATTGAATGAGTATTTATTTCAAGTATTCATTAGTTCACTGAATTGAAATATATATTGCACATGTGACAAAATTTTCAATAGAGCATCATCCTTTACATGTATATACAGTATATATATATATGTATCTATATATATATATCAATATATATCTGTATATATATATATATATATATATATATATATATTTATATATAGATACACATATTTATACTTGATTGTGTTGTAATAATACATCAGTATTAAATTACGAATTTGTTAGAATTTCACCTTCGAAATTTCTATACAATCTTTACAATTTCAAATAGATATAAACATATCTATAAGATGTTTATTGTAATTAAATCTTACTATCGATATCTGTCTCCAATCTGTATCAACAATAGCACTTTTAAATGTTCCTTTAACCTGACTATTAACGGCCAGATACTTGTAATTTTTCAATAAACTTTCTTCGTTAAACGTTAAATTTGATTTCCATAATTTATATAGAGTTGTTTCATTACTTAAACGATCAAATTTTGATGATCTAAACAAGACTTTCCAATCTGAAAATAGTAGGGAAAAAAGAAACCGAAAAGGGAGAATTAACAGTTGGCTTACCTGAATAAATTGTTGAACATTTTAAAAATGACATTATAAGGATAAATATGAATTTCATTCTTTAAGAGGCAAAATACCTGTTCAATTCTTAAGCTAAGTATAAAAATTTGTCCTGTAAAATACGCCAATATATATTCTCTCTGTAATACCATATGCATTTTTCTCTAGTCCAATAATTGGCTTGACAAACAAACCCTTATCGAACATCAATAAATTTAATGAATAGAATCTTCGAAATATGTAAGATAGTCTATTAATAAACTTGAGAATTGATAGAACTTTTACGCTCAGATTGGTACATTTAACAATTGTTTTATATGTAAAACGATTTAAAACAAGCTAATTTCTTTTTGTTTTATAATTGCAATATCATTTCATTTTTGAAATATGTAAAATAAATACAATTGTATCGTACATGCATATTTTAGACTACAGTAGGTTTCCTTCTGCGAAGTGTATCTATTAAATGTATATATATATATGTATTCTAATTCTATCATTCCAGAAATTATGAAGTAGTAACGTTCTACTTAAAATCATAAAAAGAGACAAGACATCAGTTCTTTTTTTCAACAGTAGATATTATATTCCTCTTTTTAAGCATGCCACAAATAGCTAAGTAATAATAGTTTTCTTATTAACAAGTATGTTTTCATATTAATAATGTAATAGTGTCAGAATATTAAAATACATATGTTGAAAAATCTCCTTCACTTTTTAACAGTGTCGTTCAGCGAATACAAAGACGGATTTCAATAGTATTTATTATATAACAATAGTTAATCAAGAATATATGAAACCATATGCCATGTTGTCTTATTATAATATATATATATATGTATATATATACAGATATATATATATATGCATATTTATATAATAATCATGAATGAAAAATTAGGAATAAAAGAAATAATATACCTACCAGTTGATTTGCCGTTAAAAAAATTGAATGGAAACGGTATAAATATAAAGAAACTTGGCGTTTAAGATCACTCACATTTCTATAAAAGTATTCAAGGAAGAGAATATTCATTATTCCGATTTCTGTTCATGATGAAACTACATCTCTTAATAATCTTCTCTTCACTTATCATTAGTATTTCTGCTATGATTTTTACTAAAACAAGAGAGTCTAGTGTACCGAGAATGGGTAAGAAGTCGGTACCTATTAAACCTCTTGCAGAAAGTAGAGAAAATCTAAAGAATAACCCATTTATTAATGGCTTTCTCCCTGTTAAAGACATTCAAAGTGAGTAGCTCAATTGGTTATTTTTTTTGCTTATTTTTACACTTTTGTATCAATTTATGTGTTTATTTCTATATATAAATATATAACTTTTTCAGCAGATGACGACTCAATGTTCTCAACTTCAGAACTAAAAGAAAAGTCTCGAAAGTACAATGTGATTAAGAACATTAAATATGTCTATACAATGTTAAAGAAATATGCAACTGTTCAATGAAAGTATTATTGTTTTTCGTTAAAAAGGAAAGCAATAGAGAAATAACAAATGATTATATCATTTCATTTTACTTTTCTTTTTAAAGTGGTCATTTTGTAGGTTTATCTTCAATATATAGAGTAATAACATGTTCCAAAACAGCCTTATCCCTCTAAAAAATTTTTCATTTTTAGTAAAAATGTAGTTGAATATGTTGTTTATATTAACCAATTATGAGCTTTGCGACAAGACATATTGTTGATATATATATATATATATATATATATATATGTATACTGTATATATTAATATAACAAGTATGTATATACATATAAACAAATAAAAAACGTTTTTGTACATTTCGGTCTTAATCTCACACAGACATTTACGTTATAAATTACATTGAATAAATCTTAGTTGATTAATGAGTTAACTATTTTCGTTAAATTTCTCATAGTTAATCTTTAACTGAATAAAGATTTTTAATACAATCATCTAAACAAATTCAAATTTCTTTATTATTATACTTTTACATTAAAATATTATTTATATAGAAATGTGCAATTAATAATTTTCTCTTCATAACAAAAGTTAGGTATCGTATTATACAAAAGCAGAGAGTTCTGATCGTAAACAGCCAATTCATTTACTTCGCTAGCTATGATTTATTTATATAATTTATTAATGCTAATTATTAATATATCTTTCAAAAAACATTCGGAATTTATTATTTATACAAGTTCTTTGATCATTTCTAAATCAAAATCCCATTCCCTACCATTTATTTATATGACTATCAAATTCTCTTCTTAGCTGGTCATTTATAAGCTTTTGTCTTTATTATAATACTTCTTTTAGTCTATAATCCTAAAAAGATACTTACCCAACTAACTATTTTATAGTCCATATTATCCCTAAATACATTGCTAAATGGTTAGCAAATTGAAATGTTTTAGTATTTATATTAGTAAGAGGATAATTTACGCATTACTTCGTTTGTCATAGTTGTAATCCCTCTATGAGGTATTAGATTTAATTATTATATTGAATGTTGAAGTCTCATTACGTTTCCTTTTGTTATTTCATACTTTCCCCAAAAAAAATGGTCATCCCATATATACTTTTAATCGGTTCATAGACAACTGAAAATTATGCAATAGAGAGATAGAGAGATAAAGAGAAAGAGAGAGAGAGAGAGGGTTTCTAAAGACATACGTATGTAAAGATGTCAAAATAACAATCGTAATTTTTTGCTTCGTGACTAATTAATAAATCTTCCAATAGATGAAAATAATGAATAAGCAAATTTCTCCTTTCTCATCATAACAATTTATAGAAGATATCCTTCTTGTTTACCCTCATATTAATTGAAAGTTAAAATAACTTATAATATTTAGGCATATTGTATTGCTTCCATATACGGTATAATAGTCTTATAACTTTATTCAATAAATAAGTAAATTTATAAGGGATTAAGTTAATTATAGAATGGTCTTTTCTTGTACGAACTTCTACAAACAGGACAATTCTTTTGGCCATCTGAAAATGATTCGAAAGCTCCAAGACAAGTAAAATGGAAAACGTGGGAACATGACAGTAGTAAAGTTTTTTTATCACACAATTTCGTAAGACAGATAGGACAATCAGTTTCTTTTCTCTCTAAGGCTTTTACTTGAATTATATTCCACTCTTCGTCAGTTGCTCCGTAAACAGCTCGATCGAATTGTTGAAATATTGAACGGCTTTGAGAAAGGTTTTCATCAATTTCATTCAATAAAGAATTAGTGGCCCTGGAATCTATTTCATTAACAACATTTCGAGTTAACTCGCTTAGCTTATCTTCAAAAAACTTCTTTCTTAATACTGTATCTTTTGGCGGAATTGATTCTCTCAATTTCCTGTACCACCTCCTTACTTTGTACATTTTCCACGTTGCTTGAATTCTAAAGTTGAAATTAAAAACACGATCAAATATCAATAAGTAAGCGTTGTTAAAGAATATTTTTCAGTTAATAATAGTAACAGAAATCTTAGTAATAAAAGACATATATATTACTTTGTTGCTGAAAAGTGACGATGATATCTAGCTCCTTCATAAATAACTCTTTTCTGATATTTCTCTTTTCTACACATTGGGCAGCATTGCTTTCCCGAAAATCTTTCAAATGCCGTTAAACATTGCTAGAAGTCAAATTGATTAATTTAAGGTCATCATTTTAATATTATAAGTGTCAATTATTTTTGCTTACTCGGTGAAAAACATGAGAACAAGATAATAATACTTGCTCTCTTTCGCAATCAAAATTCTCTTTACAAATAGGACAGCCTTGCTTATGGTCCTCTCTTTCGTTTGATTTACCTTTTACTTGTTCCCAATCTTTTTCGGTAAGGTAATTTGTTTCATATTCAATTAAGCCTAGTTTCTGAGCTATTTTCATAAGATAATAAATATATTGATATATTCTATATTAAATTATATTCAACCTAGTGTTGGTGCTTGAGGTTTAGCATCGATTACGTACTCTTTCTCCTTTTCTTTTGGTATAGCTTGTTGTTTTTTCTCTATTTTAGAAAGAAAGATTTAAAGGTATTGTTTCTCCTTAGGAAAAAAGTGTTTATATTACTTAAACCAGTATCTACGACAGCTTCAATTTTCTTTTTTTTCGTCTTATTTGGAACTGTAAATCTCTTACGATCTACTTTATTACCAATCGTCATATTCTTTAAAATGTGATCTTGAAATGCAACTGCGGCTAATGCCATACTACTTTGCTATTTTAAATTGTGAAAACATAAATACTTTAATAATAAATTAGTAAAGTCTCTTACTGATTTGTTGGCTTTTGAATTCATACTTTTATTTGGCACAGAATTTAGATAATAGATTATAATTATGTAATTTGGGAACAAAAATAAAAATTATCTGTCGTCTGCTATTTGTTTATTTCGAGCGCCATCTGTTCCTCTAAGCAACCACTTCCGGGTTCTGTAAAGAAATTCATTATTGCAACCGGTATTTACTGCTCTAGCTTTGCTGATAGAATAAGGCAGAATGTCTTACCAAATACCGCAAATGTTTTCCTCGTTCCAAGATGTAATAGACCAAGAGCAGATTATTCGCGAAGTAATAATATCTAGTATAATTTAAGACGTTTATTCACTTTCAAAGAAATCTTTTTTTTCGTAGAGTGTAAAGAGCTCTGTTCAAAATCTTGAACAGACATCCCGAACAATATTAGCGCTTATTCAAACAATTCATCAAGAAAATGGTGTAAAAACTGGTTTGTAAGGAAAATAAAATATATAAATTAAAAAGAGATGTTATTGAAAAAAACAATAGCAAAAGAGGTTGCACAAAAAGCCAGAGAAATGTTTACCACTGTCCGCAAATACTACGAAGAACTTGCTTCTAAAATACCAAGCGAACAATACTACAAGTTAGCATTCTCTTATAAAATATTAGATTGTTGCCTACTAAACAAGTTGAATAAAAATGTCATATATTTTAGGTATCACGATCATTGGCGATTTGTAACACAAAGAATCTGTTTTTTAGCAGCTTTTACGACTTTTATTCAAGACGGTCGATTAATTTCAAAATCGGAAGTTGCTGAAATGTTAAATGGTTAGAAAAATAATTAAGTAGAATTTAATGTAAAAAGAAGGGAAAAGTCTTAATAAGCTTGTGTTTACTATAAGTCTTTTATATTCTCAATTCTATCTATTTAAAGAAGAATAACTTTAATACTGTATAGAAGGAGTTTATATATTCAGCAAATATATCCTTTTTTTTAGGTTTTACATGTGTTGTTGTCATGAAATTGGATTTATTGAAATGTTTTTAGTATAAGAATCTTTTTAAGTGTTCTCTTCTCTTTTCAAGTTAAATCAGAAAGAACTAAGGACTCTTTCCATTTGGATTTGGAAGATTATTTAATGGGTGTTCTGCAAATGGCATCTGAATTGGTTTGTATGAAATAACATTGACACTGACTCTTTCAAATAGGATAGATTATACTGGAAGCTTTTTCGTAAACAGTCACGTTTCGCCGTTAACTCTGTGACAGCTGGAGATTATGAAACACCCTGTAAGATATCTAATTTTATGTCGGAGTTGGATGGAGGATTTAGGCTCTTAAACTTAAAGAATGACTCGCTAAGGAAAAAATTCGATGGTTTAAAGTATGATATACGTAAAGTAGAAGAAGTTGTCTACGATATAAGAATTAGAAATTTAAGTACGAAGAAGTAAATCAATCATTCAGCGAAACTGGTGTCAGTGTTTTTCTGTATTTTTCAATTATCGTTTTTATACATAAGAACGATATTTGAATCTATAAAGAGTTAAATTCCAGTTTTTCCCATCTTTTAATAAAGTTATTATCTTTCCTCGAAAATACATCTCATTCTGGATAGAGTATATGTATCACACATATATATATACAGTATATATAATATTTCTGTATATTCAATAGGAACATTTTAAATGAGAACAACCTATCATTTTTTATCATTTAGAAAATTGCTGGTACACCAATTACAAATGCTCTCTGATTCCATTTAAATCTATTTTATTTATGATATTTAGAAAGTGATGCTTTCTGGAGAAGGTCAAGGTAAAATTCTTACAAATTTTTAAATATCCATTAATAAAAAGTATTGTACTTTCTAAGTGCCAGCATACACTTTTACCATAATATATATATTAGAGTTGCTGTAATTTTTCTCAGTAATTTCCAAATTAGGTCAAAAGATGATTTAACCCTGAATTTCTTTTTCGTTTTTTGCTTTTTTTTTCTATAAAAACGCTCATATTCTGTTGGATTTTTGCGAGATTCACTAAAAGAAATTATTTTTGCTGACTCAGTTAATACAAAAACGATTGTGAGAGAAATGAAAGAAAACTTTTATTCATGTTATTAGTAATTAATAGGCTATGTAAGCTTATATTTATTACCAAACATTTATTAATATACATTGTAAGTTAATATATTCATACATATTCACATATACATTACTGCAATTGTCATAATATATGCAAGAAAAATGATTAAACAAATTAGTAATTGTATAAAAGGAAGATTTGGAAAAGCAATCTACTGCAATTGAATATCAGACAGAATGAATTCAAACAGTATGGAAAAATAGAAAAAAAAAACAAAAGAGTCATGGGAAATATTCAAAGGAAACTTATTGTAATTTTAGCTTTTCAATAATAAATATACGTTTAATATATAAAATAATAAAAAAAAATGATGTGCACTTGTTAATTCTAATATTTCTTTACTTATAATACAGTATTTATGCTTATTAACAAGATCTGAAAATCTACCGAGTTTATTTAACAAAGATAATATATGAGTCTACTCATAATCATACGCTTTTCCATTATCCGTACAAATAAATTGTATTGTGGGGTACGTACTTAGACGTATTTACTCGGAAGAATGCATAAATATTCAAAGAAGAGGGTAGATTCGTAAGTGAGGCAATACATAGATATCTGCCTGTGTACAACATTTACCACTAAGCTCTATAAAAAATACATTGTATGAAAAAGAGACAATGTCTCTTAAGCTTTACACAATTTCTTAAAGACTGCTAAGTATATAATTTCAAGAAACACGCGTCTTCAATTTTACCTCTCATTTATTATTATGCAATACTATAAATCATCAATTGAAGTGTCCTATAGCGGGGATGAAAGGTAAAGAAGTAAAGCTATTTATCCACTACACACAACTAACAGTACTAGGTAGTTTGTAAGTTAAAGTGTACAATCGTCTTTCGACTCCGTGTTAGAGATCTTTTATTTCAATAGGGAAAACAGTACTTTTCGTAGTGTTTATATAATATACTACCATATAGAGTGTCGTAGACAGCATATATTTAAATATATATGTATATATATGAGTGTGTGTTATATGTATATATTAATATGTTACCGCATATATATTAGTATATATTCAATTTGCTAACATAACAATACTTCATGTTTAGAAATAATACTTGCTTATTTATTCACATTTTCAGACCGCCTCCCTAATTGACGTCACCAATACGAAAAGTGTGTAAGGCATTCTGACTTTGGTTCTGGTTCGAGAAGCTCCTTTCCTAATATAGTAAGCAATTTTAACTTATTTCTTTAATTCTAATATATCAAATTCTTAGACTAAAATAATATAAATATAGTATAACAGAAAAGTCTTTGAAATTTAAATTAAAATATAAATATATACAATATATATATATATATATATATATACATTTATATAATTATACATATATATTATTACTTACGTTACAGTAATACAGTTTACCACGCATATTTGGAAATTATCGTTTTCTAAAGGGGTATAAAAGTTGTTTTTTCAGTAAATTGCAGATATTTTTATCATTCAATTATTACTATATATATTTATATTTATATATAAGTCATGGTATTAAAAAAGTACACATATTACATATATTATATATACATATACAGTATATATATATTTATAGACAAGTTGAAGAATATAGTGTTATTAACTTTTACACTAATTGTTCAGTTATTTCACATACTCTTTCTGATGATCAAGTTCATTGAGAAATATTCTACGAAAACTTATATTAAACTTGACATATTTTAAAGAAACAAGTCCGTGTAATTTATTATCAAATCTTTGAAAATGCAGAGCTCTTATAGTTTCTGTATAGGCCATTGCTTAGAATTTAAACTTATGTCTTTAATGAATATTCACTAGAAAGAAATAATTATATTTTTCCAAAAGGTTCTATATATATCATCATTTATTGGTTATATGAACTTGATTAACCTTTTAATAATGGAATTTTCCCGAAATAATATTATACTAAGAGGAAATTTATGGATTTAATTTGTTAAGGAAATCTTCCATAGCCTTTACATCGCCTTTTTGAATGCTAAATAAGTACAAACCACTCTTTTCTTTAACTTTTCTTGACCTCGAAATTCCAACTAATCCATTAATACAAGTACTTAGTAATTATTTATAAATTCCATATAATCTTTTGATTACAATTAATAAGACAAAAACTTTAAACAGATTATCATGAAGTCGTTCGTATCGTTGGTCTTGTTGGGTATTTTGGCATTGGTTGCTTTAGGTTTGTAATACTAAAGTAATGTTTAATTTTCAGTAGCGTCTAAAAGAATATTAATACCCAAAAGCTATAAAGTATAAATAGCCATGTTTATTAACAATAATTTGTTAACTCTTTTCCTCAATTTCGATGTTTTATCTAATAACGTCTAAAAAAAAGGGAAAGAAAAACTGGTATCGATTTTTATTTCTTCTCCCAATAGTTTCCCTTTTCTTTGCTAGTTTTCTTATATAATAATTATTAAAATATGTTACTCCTAGTCATCTTCTTCGGCATTAAGCTCTAACTTTTGAATTTGATAGATTAAACTGAGAGAAAAATAGAGGAAAAATTACAAGTAAACAATCAGTCTCTTTATTTTTATACTCAGATATTAAAATGTATAGAAAGAAGTTTATTTAGACAATTTCTCTTCTCTTCTTTTTCTTGTATATATGTGTAAGAGAGAAATAACTTCCTTCAAGGTACTTAAAATGAAAAGGAGAAAGTAATATCTATTGTCTCTTCTCTCAAGACTTTCTTTAGCTTACTTTTCTCAACTTTCCTTCTAAACTAAAACTATTAATGAATAGACTTTTTAAGTCTTGATGAATACCTTGGCAATAGAATTTGTAACGATAACAAAGTTCTTATTTTATTGAAGATATAGAATGCACGATCTTTTACTTTTCCATTATAATATCGCGGAGGCGAACAAATAGCTTAATTGGAGATAAAATTGAGAGTGGCTCGTTTTCGATTCTATATAAATTTATAAGTATATCCAGCCACTTAGCTGCCTCGCTTAATTTTCTCTTCCATGCTCAATATTTCGTCCTTATTATTCACATTTATATATATATATATATACTAATATATTCTAATATATATATATATATATATATATATATATATATATATATATATATATATATATATATATTAACAGCCCACCAAATGGAGGATCATCCCCCCGCGGATAGCGGTTTATTCTTTGGAAAAAGAGCTAACCCTAATATGAACAATCTACTTTTTGGTCGTCGTAGTTCTCTGGATCCAAGAAAGGTCGTTCAAGCTACAGATGAATTCTGCAGAAATGCAGTAACAGCTTGTTCAAATTGGGCTGATAAAATGAATGAATATAGACATTAATTTTTGTATAATATCTGCAATGAATAATTATTTTTTAATAGATACAAAAATTTTAAGATTATAAGTGAATAAAAGAAATCAGAAAGGGATCAACTACTTGTAATGAAAGTATTCCTCCCATCTTAAGAGAATTCCAATACAAAATATACATTCTGAGCAATTTAAATATTAAGTTATATGTATTATAGTAAGAATGTTCTCCTCATTATTATGATATTTAGAAATATAAGAACGTATATATCACATATACTAATTTACGTCTAATGAATAATACTATTCCAAGATTCTATAATCGTTCCAAAAAGTAAAATATCTGTATTCTAGTATACTAAGGATCTATATTTCTATATTTCTATGTTAAAAGAATAAGGTTAATTGTGTTCATTTACTAGAAATATTTTGTTGAAATAACAAAGGTTGAATATCATTATATTTTTATTTTTCAATGATAAGAATTAACTATATAAAATTTTTAAATAAACCGGAAATACTATGGCGGATTATATTGTAAAATAATATAAATACCATTATAGAAAAGAGTTTTTCAACAGATTTGTCAAAAATCTAAAAATAAAAAGAGGAAAGTTTCCCTTCAGAATATTTAGAATGAGAATGCTTAAACGTGAAAAGCTACGGACATGACTACCGCATTAGAGGACGTAGATGAAAGGAATTCTGGAAGAAGAGTTGAAAAATAGGACGGAAGCTGCATCCCTCTTTTATTCTCCTTCTCCTATACCCTTTAACCACCCACTTTTTTATTTTGAAGAGGCGTTCTATCTTCGTCAAAGTCGATTGTCGTTTTTTTAAGTTCTTTTTTACTTACTTGTTAAGTTGAGGACGTCTAATTTCTTTTATATAAAAATTATAGGTTTTTAAAATCGAGACAACATTCATTTTTCAATTGAAAGTTATAAGAAAAAAAAAGGACTTAAAACTTTGAAAGAATATAAAAGTAAAGAGAAAATTATGATCAAATCAAATTTCATTACTAAAAGGCCTACGCAAAAGATTTATTTAGCTAGGAGTGTTACATTTAAAAAGAGAGAGAAAAAGGAATAGAATATGCGTGCGTGTGTGTGTGTGAGTTGGCAAAGAAATGAAAAGAAAGTATAATTTAACAAACACATTGAAATAATCTATTCATATTTAATTACTATTTTATATAGTTTCGCATAAATGTCAAGAATATATTTAGCGTCCTTCGTCGTATCCAGGGTTTTAGAATAAAGAAGAATTTTCCAGAGACTACATCCTATATTTTTGCTTATAATATAAAGTATATAATTATTTATGTACATGAAAGTTATTTAAGTAATGATCAAGTAGATGTTTCATAAATATTTTAATAAGATTCACTGTATGTTTACTTGATGAAATTATGTTAATAAATATTAACTTTATAAAGCAATTATCATCAAAATCTATTTTAATAATTAAAGTTTCAATTAGGGATTGTTTTTTTATTATATAAGACTGTTTATAGCTAAAATTTAATCTTTATTACCACGTATAGATGGAGAAAGTTATATGAAGATCATTAACGACCGTAATCGGTAAAATAGTGAAAAATTACCCCAAGTCATTATTACATAGTACTTACTGTATGCTATTCTTAAATGATAGGTTTTTAAGCTTAATTGTAAGATAGATTTTTTCAATAAAGTTCTACCATTTCTTATCATCATCATTTAAATATTTCTTTTCTCTCTGGAATAAGATAAGGAGGAATTTTATTAAGATTATATTTACGTTATGCATAAATATTAATTAATATCTTTGGTATTGTCTTATGTAGTTTCCTAAATTCTTATAAAAGAGAAAACTTAAATTGTGTCTCCGATATATTCCAATTTATATTTTGGCTTGTCAAGAATGAAGATAATATAATTTCTCAGAGAATAAAGAAGAGAAGCTAATATACAAAATGACAGATGTAATCTCAATAAAAATACATAAATCTCACGACATAATGTATCTGTACTCGTCTACTATACATTTATTAGTCATTTAAATCACTGTAGATTTGAATTGACTAAAATATGCAGATTCTAGTAATATATTCATATTACTAGTACACGATTTATATGTTTACATTTTCCTAATCATACCTGTCTAAGGATATGTTTTACGGATAATGGATTACTAATGTATAATCAAATATAAGAATCCCTTTATTTTTGAAATCTTTGTTTGTAATCAGAGAATTTAGACCACTGTACTATCCAATTTTCTCCCTCAACTCTCCCTAAATAAATGAAAACAAACTGCTACACCATTCAGGAAGTCTTCAACACGTTTTCCATTAGCAAATGTTGTTTTCATGTCAAGATTGTTGGATATTTTTCTCACTTAAATTTGTCTCTGAACATTATATGATTATAAGTCTTTTATGATCTTTTTCCTACATCATATCCATCATTTTTTACTAGTCTCATATCAAGCCTCCGTACGCTACCTTATTTAGTAAACAAATTAATATAGTTTACAATATAATGTTTTCTATTTAGGACACATGATTTAAATAATCAAAACAACTGTTTATCACCTTTTAAATTCACTTAATTAAATTAAAACTTAGTTATTTCCGTTTAATTTTACTTAAATATTTAATTAAATTCTAGTATTTAGTGTCTTCTTTAAGTTATAATTGTTTAATGAAAATTAAACTAGCTATGGTATTGAAAAAAGCATTCTCTCTCTCTCTTATATATCAAAATTTTGTCAGCGATGGAAAATTTGGGTTTGTCAATGTTTGACAATAGTAAATATTAAATATTAAAAATCTTTATATTTAAATAGAATATAGTACACTTTCAGTTTGTTTCAAATATCTACCAAATATACTCTTTTAGATCTTTCATTTGCCATTTGTCAGCAAATTTTCCTCTCAATATTTGGTAATGTACAACGTTTTCCAGTCCAGCTACCTATAGTATATAAAGTATATAAATTTTATGTATAAATAGTTACGTGTCTATTTTGTCAACAGTTAACTGGAAAAAGGAGGAAGAATGATAGAAATAATAATGTTATCTTTTTAAAATAGTCTCTTTCATCTATTGTACGACTATTCTTGTATAATAAAACCTATTTACATTGACCTTAACCTTAATCTATTTTAAATTGAAGTGAACACAAATGATATATAAAAGACGGTGTGATGTAATAAATTCTTATTAATAAATTAATTTATTACGTAGTATCACGTTTATTTTAAAATGGCACCTTCATTATGTAAAAATACAAGTATTCGCATACATTTACATACCGTGGGCAATAAATTAAAGTTGTTTTATCATCTTTTACTCTTATCTTATGGAAATTAATTGAGATAAAAAGGAGTTTTTTAATATTTTGTGAGAAATGAAGAAAAAACCTGAAAATCTTTTTAACAAATGCATAAAGTTAATAGTTTTTAGAATATAAATGATCATTTTTATAGTACTTAATAACCTTAGTTATATGTATGCGTTTTTATAGCATTATACTAAAGTAATCTTATTATTCAGTACCTAGTTTTTATATCTTTTTTTTATAATATTGTGTTTCATACGGAAATTTCTCATGAATAAATATGAGTGTAAAATTGAACTAATACTTTTTTATCTATTAGATTTGTTTACTTTGAAAAGGTTAGAAATTTGTTTGAAAATCGTCTTGACTTATATAAGTGCTTTAGTAAACAAATCGTATAAAATTTATAGTTAATACTATTTCAGTAATACATTAAAGCTGAAATAGAAAGGATGTCGAAACGATATACACAAGAATTAAATCGGTTAGTAAATTCTCTATTCATCCCTTTAATATATAGTATATAGAGATATATATTTATTTAAATTGCTCATAATTTCGTTAATTATTTACGAAAATATCTTTTTTTAAAAATTAATGAACCCATACAAATTTATTTCATTCACGTTCTCCAATAGCTATTGATGGTTTTTATATCGATTAGGCCTATATAGTTTTAGAATATATTTTTCCATCGCAAACTAAACAAAGTATTGGTAAAGGAAGAGCAGAAATTAAACTTTTTGATAAATAAAGAAGAAATTAAAATATATTCTGTACCAGTTTAAATTATCTACTTTATTATTGTTATTATATATTCTTTCTTACTTTCTAGTTCGAAACAACGTGCCGGAATGGCTCAAGCAAAAGTTGGACATAAAATAGATTTAACGAAATTACACGAAATCACTGATGAACAAGTTCTACATAGAATGGTTTGTTGTAATATTTAGTATCAAAGAAAGAAAAAAAAACAGTCTTTAGTTGATTTATACGCAATTGTACAGGCCTATTAGTAGATATATTATTTCTACAGTTTGTTAAAAAATTATTCTCATGTTCACCTAATCAAAACTTGTTTATAGCATACTTTATTCATATATACACTTGAATTTTATATAGATTAAACGAGAATTACGTGTTTTATCATTATTTATATAGAGATATTATCATCAATTATAAAATGTTAATTCCATTTGTTTTTTATCTTTAAACCAATTATAAATCGTTAAATTACTTTTTATTCTTACCCCCGTAGATTCACGATACCAATGACAATGATCTAAGGATAGAGATAAGAGCAAGATTAAGAGAAATAAGGGAAAAGAAAAATGGTTTGTTTATAATACTACTAAATGTTTTTCGAATAGCTCATTTTTAACTATTAAAAAATAAAATGTAGGTCAAATATTCATTTATTTATTTTAAATTGACAATTTTTATGTTAACCTACAAAGTATTTCGCATAAAATCTATACCGTTTTGACCCAGCAGTTGGCACGAATGGACAAAAAAAAAGCCTCAGATTTCTTCTTGTTTTTTTTTTTTATCTAAAACATCAATACATTGTATCTACAGTATAAATATTATATAAATCAGTATATACTGTTGTTTATACTGTATATAGAGTATATTCACTAGAACTTTAAAATGCTTTAAATTACCAATTACGTTGCTAATTTAAGAACTCTTCGCTATTAGCTGATACGGATAAAAAGAATAAAGTTAGGGAAGAGGCTCTAGAGAATTTGCTAAAAGAGAAAAAGAGACTTGCCGAAGAAGAAAAGGTTAAAAAGTTACAAGAATGTTTGGAAAGGGTTAAAGCAGATGATAAACAAGCCTCCGTAGGTAAAGTTGACTTGGAAACTGTTAAACCTTCAACTTCATCTGACCTTTCTACAAAAGGTATTTCTTAATCTTTCAATTCTATTCAATAAATGATCATTTAGTGGTCGTCTTCTGCTAGTAGATTCGCAAATTTCAAGTACAAAGTTGTTCAAGGGAGCTGCCTCAACATCAGGGAGTAAGGTAACAAAAAACCCTATGCCAATCACCTCTCAAACAAAAGGTTAGAGTTACGCCATCTAACGGTCTAATACGCTTTTTTTAAGAGATTGTCCTACGAAACAAACTAGGATATAATTAGTTTGTCAATATACAGATGACAAACCGATAGTTGGTTCGAAGCAGACTAAACAAATCAGCCGAGTAGGAATAATGAGCGGTTCAGGATACAAATTAACAAAAACTCAAACATCAGGTTTGTATTTTGTGTAAGTTTTCCAAATAAAAAATCGCTCTTATCTAAAGTTTAATAGAATTCCTTATATTCATATTTTAATATAATTTCTATATATGATAAAGTCAAAAATGTTCTGATTAGTTGTTTAATAATAGATACTCAATTTCTTAATACAAGATATATTGATATATTGATATCAAAAATTGTTTTTAAATAGGATCGGCGTCTAATCGACCTATGCTGCAAAGATCCGCAAGTACAATTAAGCAAATGCTGTTGGAATGGTGTAAAATTATGACAAAAGATTATAATGTGGAGATTAGAAATTTCTCCACAAGCTGGAATGATGGAATAGCATTTTGCGCTTTAATACACAACTTTCGACCTTATGCGTTCGATTTCAGTAAACTTAAACCTGAAAATAGAAGAGCTAACTTTACATTGGCCTTTGAAGTTGCCGAAAAAGAGGCTGATATTGCACCACTATTGGAAGTAGATGATATGGTAAAAATGATGAATCCAGATTGGAAGTGTGTATTTACATACGTTCAAAGCTTCTATAGACGTTTCAGAAACTGGGAGAAGGATGATGAAGAAAAAGAAACAAAGAAGAAAACTTAAAAATAGAAATATTTTATTTAAAAGATTGATGACAAATTTCTTTATACAAAAAGTCAAACAGAAAAGTAATTGTTGGAAAGGACGAACGAATGATTGGATTTATTAAAAAAAAAGCATTTTATTAGCCTATTTGTGTTTATGTTCAAAATTAACCATCTAAGAAACTACATAGACAAACTAAAGAATGTTATTACTGCTATTCATATAGCTTTCTTGTGAAGACCACTAATATTTATATATTGTGTTATGTAACAAACAGTATATCATACGATATATAAGAAATATATAAAGTTAATATTGTTTTATTGAATTATATTATATTTAGATAACAATCGAAAAGTTGACAATAAATCATATTTATACATACACATGTATGTTATACTTTAAATATTTTTGATTTAACTTCTCTTTAATGCTATTGAACTATTGAGAAAAGAGTGTATTATATTCACTTTCTTCCTTATTCGTTTTACTATATCTTTCCTTTTTTTATTAAAGTTTTGAAGCTTGTTTAACAAATGGTCGGATATGCTTGAAATAAGATTCATGTACCTGGCGATAAAATCAATTATATAATTTTACAATTTTCAGTCTCTTTTTAATTTACCTGGGTTTTGTTCAATTCATCTTTCATAGCCCATTCAAGCATGTTTTCGTAAACTCTACCATCGTATCTACCAAGAACACTATCCAAAACCTAGTATGAGAAAAATAGATAAGTTTTTTCTTATATATTATTGAGATAGTAAATTTTACTTTATCAGGAAATTCGAAGGCGTCAACCAGACCAACAGCATCTGGTCTTAGACTCTTTAAAGCGTATAGGAAACCATTATAAATGAAAGATTTTTGTTGTTTACTCAAATAGTTTTCCTGTATATATGAAATTAAGTATTATTAATATTGCATCGACATAATATCAAACTGGAAAACAATTCTACGTACGCTCATAAAGTCACCAGAATTTTCAAGTATTCCGTGAAGGGCGTATAATTTACCTAATAAAGTCAATACTCCTATAACTGAAGCCGGAACCTGTTTCAAAGAAACGGTTTAAGAAAAAATGAAGCAAATTAAAAGAGATAAAAAACCTGATTGTTAGTTAAAGTTTCCAGTTTTTTAGCAAAGGCCTCAACTACAACGTAATGACCATAGGCTTTAGCAGCCATAACCAAAGCTACTGCGCATTCATTCCAAGCGTCATACGATGCCATACCATTTTTGATTTCTCTATCCAATTCGAAACTGGCCATGTGAACTAGGCTAAAATAATCAACGAATTTGATTATTATATGCTATTCAATTAAAAACTGATATATTTTATTACGACTTACTAATAAGCTCTAGCTCTATAGGCTTCAACTAAATCAACCATATTTACATCCTCCGTAATGGAAGATTTTGGAGCGGGCTTTTTATTGAGAAAAGCGACTGATCCTGGCAATTGGTCTCCTCGTTTAGCCATGTTAACACATTTTACCAAATATCTTGCAGCTTGTAGATACATAACAGTATTTTCACCCTCATATGTAACTCCTGGTAAAGCGTTTACGTAGATTTTTGGGATACCGCTACAGTGGGAGAAACCATGACCTCCGCAGGATCTTCGGCAAATTTCCATTCCAACAACAGCCCAATCAGTTGTGAAAGCTTTCAACGCAGAAGACAGACCATGCAACTAAAGGAAAGAAATGCTTTATATTCTATCAAAAATAGAATTAGGAAAACAAAAAAAGCTTACTTCGGGTAGCCTGTCTATTTCTCCTCTATCAATCTCGCTGTTAACAGAAAAGTATATATTTTCCATTTCTTGAGCAACAAAGAGGAAAGCGTAGGCAGTAGCCAGTTGTGGAAATAATTTTGCCTGTTGGGCTCTATAATCCATAACTTTTGGTTCACCAGCACCAGGTTTAATTTCCGATTGCCTTCTAACGCAACTGTATCTTATCGCTATGGTAGCACATTGAGCAAGAGACAAAGCAGCCACATCTCTAATTAGTACTGATCTAACAAAAACCATAGTACCATATGTCAATTTGGAATTTTTGGCTTTTATGTAAGTTCCATCAGGCTCAACTCTGGAATGTTTCATTAACATATTTTCACGTGGAATTCTTACGTGGTCAAATTGCATAAATCCATTATCATTAGCATCGTAGCCAAACTTTGGTCCAATATCACCAAGAGTCACGCCTGGTTGAGGCATATGATTCTCCAAACTTCTGATTTGTACAATAAAAGGATGAGGACCATAATTCTGTCCTTTAACGATCAATTGAGCCATAACAATCGCATGGTTTGTACTCTTTCCAACTATAATGATATTTTTATATAATTAATTATATTGTTAAAATAGGTTAAATAGCGAAAAAAAATAACGTACGATTTCCAGGCCACCACTTAAGAGAAGTTCTTGTTGGCGAGTGAATTACGAACTCTTCTGTTTTCTCATCATATGTAGCAGTTGTTTCCAAACCTCTGATAAAGGTTCCTGAGCGAAATTTAGAACATACATATATATATATATATATATATATATATATATATACAAAAGAATAATAAATAGAAAAGAATAAGGAGCTATCAATTAATGTAAAAGAATTCTAAGAGAACAGAGCTTGCATTACCATGTCCCAATTCAGTTTGAGCGTAAGTGCCCCAAATTTTATATTGTGTTCCCAAAGGTAGCCATTTTTCCCTCTGCTCTGGAGACATTTGGTAGCGAAGAGTATACATGAACATGCTATCATGCAGACCGTTACTACGTGAAACATGGGGGAAAGCGTGGCTGAAAATTAGAACTTTTAGTCTTTTGTTCTCTTGAACATGATTTTTCTCTGGCATATGTAAATCTTCAAAAGAAATTTTTCAATACAAAAGTTATACACTTTCTAAAAGTCTAATTTTTTATATCTGTTCTGTTTTTAGCTTTGGTTTCCATTTAATAGGAACAAATTTGTAATGCAAGCATTATTCTTACAATTAGAAAAATGGACATTTTGTTGTCAGTTTTCTTACCATGCCCTAGTTCAGTTTGAGCGTATGTGCCAATAATTTGCAAGGTTAAAGCCTTTGGAAGCCATTTGGATTGCTGTTTTGGGGAAGCTTGACCCATCAGTGTGGGTATAAACATATCTGCGTGTAAGGTGAAGCTGGTCGACTCATTGGGAAATATGTGGCTTTAAGAGAATGATAAGTTGATATAAATTAATTATTGAATAACAAATGAATATTATATATACAGTATATGCTAATATATATATATATACTTAGGTTTCACTATAGATTAATTTTATGACTGATTTCAATGATGGAGCTGACAATAAATGAAAATATCTCCCAACTGTTCTCAACACTTAAAAGAGCTCATAACTATTTGTTACAATTGGGATGTTTTGGTAATGCATATTCTGACTCATTACTTCTTTAATATCCTGCTCACCGTGTCCCAATTCCGTTTGAGCATATGTACCAAATATTTCATATTTTAAAGCTTTTGTCAACCATTTTTCATTTTGTTTCTGGGATGCTAATCCCCTTAGAGCTGGAATAAACACTCCATCATGTAAACCCCAGCTTGATGCCTGACTCGGAAAGAGGGAACTAACAAATTATAAATATGTCACTAATTATTATTGCTGATAAGAAATTAATGTATTCTGTCCTAACAGATGTAATACTACTAAATTTGATTAGGGAACATTATTAACTGATAATCAATGCTTAATGCTATAAACTTATTATCAATAAAGATTTTGATATCATAAAAAAAAAATAAATACAAGAAAAAAGAATACTGATAAGGGTCAATTTCTAGGTTAAATGACCTTAAACTCTTAAACTTTAACCAAGTGTCAAAATATTGGATACACGTACTCTATTCTAAAAAGTATGATCAAGCTAAAGATAGCATTTATGATGGGGTAAGAAAGAGATAGAGAGGTTGCATACAAAGATAGATGTATGTATATATAAGTATTAATAATAGAATGTACCTTGATAGATAGATAGATAGACAGTTAGATAGATATATAGAAAGAGATAAAATGATGTAGCTAATTAGTGAGGCATCCAGACATTTGTAAAATTATCACAGTTCAGTTGAATAAAGCAAAATTTTAGTTGTAGAGTAATGGAACCTCAGCTAAACATTTATACTATGCTGTCTTATATAAAGAAATACTATTCGATTCGTTTTAATTTACTTTATATATCTTTTCTTTTAAAATTTGTTTTGATTGAAATTTTAGTGAAACCCAGATTATAATACTTAATTTCTTCCTTAATTACCTTCTATAGATGTATAAATCAGTAGGATCAGTTATTCCTAACTTTCCTATTTTTTTTATCATTTTAACTGTTTTTTCCACAGCTGCTCCATATTTCTCACTTCTTGACAAGAAGTTGTACGATGTCATGTCGAAATCAGGATCATTCAATGCCAAATTAGCTGAAAAATTGAAACTTTAAATATGAATCCTACTTTTTAACCTTTGAAAGAGAATAATTGAAAGTGATAAAAGCATCTAATTCAAATAAGAAATTTATTTATTTATACTATATACCATATTTTCTTCTTTTCTCCGTCTTTTCCGGCGTGCCATCGATAGCGTTAGTCAATGCTTCTTGTTCAAAACTAATTCTATCGCGCTCAGCTTGCAAATCTGGATTTACAGTACCCGCCATTTTTATCGTCTGCTAGTTCAGAATAAACTGACTGTGTTCTTGTTTTACTTTGGTATCACGCATGCGCATTTAAGTAAAATCTACAAAAAACTTATCTAAAGCGTTTAATTTTAACACGCCACAGGTTATAAATGTTAGGTCATTTACTACGGCGCTCTAAATTGTTATATAAAACTTATTATACATATTTTCAATCAATATTGAGTTAACAAGAGTTTTTAACCTATAACTTATTTTTTTTGACAGATAAGCAAACTTTAATTCGAAGAATTACTTCGTTTCCCGAGATAGATTTATATTATCTTTGTAAAATAATCTTTGTAGATGTTTTAGTATTAAATCAAAGCTATCCATAAAGTTTGTAATTATACAGTAAAATAAATAATACAAATATACAATAAATATATTAAATATACAGAAACTTATTTAGAGTATAAGCTTATTTACTTTAGTTTATTATGCAAAGGAATCTCTTTAGTTTCATTTCAGAAATTTTAGGAAATTCAATTGAAGATTAAGGTCAATATATATGCCAGATTTTAAAAGTTGATTTTCATTAGCTTTTTCAATATATTTTTTGTTAAAGTGAAGCTATTAAATATTTTATACTATACTCTATGATTAAGGTCTTATTTGTATCTTATAAAATTGCATGAAGTATATGAAATACTATTTTAAAGCAAATAGAGAAAGAATCAAATTTATACGAAAATAACCATGTCATATTTTTTATATTTATAACAATATATCATTTCAAAATCCATAAAAATTATTATGCGGTTTTGATTTTAGTAAATATTTGAGTTATATATAGAATATGTAAGAATATAATGTTCAATGCAAAAATAATGTTATTGCTACGAAAATACACATTATTGTTTCCGTTTTCCGGTCGGAGTCTGATAATACAGGATCGAAAACAAGAAAATTATTTTAAACCTTGATTTCATCCTCAGACAATGAAAGATGAAGACGATAATAAACCTCTTATAGTTAAAACAGAGTCTAGCCGCGATAGTGAGAATTGTTCGGCAAAACAATCTCATTCAAGAAATTGCAGTAGTTGTAGTCAGCGAGTTTGTCATACAATGCAGTCATCGGGAGACTTCAGATTAAGCGATCTTTCTTGGAAGGATATATGCAAAATTGTTCTAGATCTGCTGAAAATCTATGCTAAGAACTCTTGGAAATTGTTAAGTCTAGCCCTATTGGGTGTAGTATTAATTTACATGCTTGTTGGTGGACTGTTAACTTTCTTTGCTGTTGTTTTAGGAATAATAGGTTAAGTTAAAAGTTATATTATAAAACATGGATATCTAATTCACCATTTAACTATTCACAGCCAAATTCTATTATGTTCAAGATAATTTACTGTATCATCCAAACATGCCTAGTAATTCTCGTTTGTTCTCGCATACACCTGAGACTTTCTATTTACCAGGTGTAGATGAGACTGAAAATTTAATGATTACTACTAAGGATAATGTTAAAATACATATTGAAATTTTAATGCAAAGTGTGGAAAAGCGAGCTCAAGCTCCTACCATTGTTTTCTTTCATGGTAATGCCGGAAATATTGGTCACAGACTCCCAAATGCTTTTGCCATGTTTGTGCACTTGGGAGCTAATGTTGTTCTTGTTGAATATAGAGGCTATGGAAGGAGTAGCGGTACTCCCTCTGAATACGGTATTATACACGTATTGTTTAGAACTAAAAAACAGATTTTAATGGATTAAATTTCATATTTTATAGGCCTTTACTATGATGCTGAAAGTGCTTTAGACTTTGTCTTAAACCATCCAAAGTTGGGAAGGTATAAACACATCTTCCTCTAGCAAATTGCATAATCATTTGGTACTTTCCTTCTTAAATTAAATTTTTTCTTTCATAGCTCTGGTGTAATAGTGTTTGGAAGATCTCTAGGTGGTGCCATAGCTATTTATTTGGCAAGTCATCCTCAGTATTCACAAAAGATATTTGCGTTGGTAGTAGAAAATACTTTTACCACTTTACCAAAGATTGGGAAATACTTGTTCAATATACCTTTGGTCCAATATTTACCGTCAATCTGCTTTCGAAATAAAGTGAATCTATCTATTATTTTTTTGCTTAAAGGGAATTGGTTTTTTGATTTTAATCATTTATTTTCAGTATTCTTCCTTGTCTAGAATAAAACACATAAGTGTACCTTCTCTATTCATTTCTGGACAAGCCGATACTCTAGTACCTAAGGAAATGATGAATACTCTATATGAGGTAGATATTTGCTTACAGATGGCGTTAGTTGAAACTGGTACAGTAATTTTTGTTTCTAGTCTTGTGGAAGCGTTTTAAAACGTCTCTCAAGAATCGAAAATGGTACTCATAATGAAACTTGGCTTTGTCAGGGATATTTTGAAGTTATAGGTCATTTTATAAATGAGGTGCAGAATAGAATTTTTAATTTTTTTGATTTTTCGTTCGACTAGGCCCATAACGATTATTTTACTTTTCATTTAGGTTCGCAATCTTAAAAACAATCCATCAACACCACCTACAAGGATATATGATGTACCAGCATCACTAAATGACGATGCTTTTCAGGAAGTTCGAGTTTCTTGATGAGAAAATGAATTTTGCTTTCTTTTTTTGCAAACGGAAAAAAAATGACAAAAATGATGACATAAACCGAGATAAACAAAATATTGAATACATTCTAAACGTCACGAGCATCAGAGACACCAGCTGGTACTTCTATTTCCCATCCATTCATTTCTTTTGTAACGAATACCTGGCACCCAAGTCTTGATCTGAATATGAAAGTTGATAAATATTGTTATGAATAATAGTATTCATTTATAAAGTATCTAATTTATAAATATATCAAGGAATTATTTAATTAGTAATAAGTATAGTAATAGTTTGAGAGAAAAACACTTTTATCACATCTTTCTGGTTTGTGGAAGGTATATTTCTTTATTTTTTTTTGTTGCCCACATTTTTAATTTATTAAATTCAGTTATGAGCTTATTTTAATATATCTGCTATCTCTTCTTTTTGTTTTTACTTTCAAAGAGTTTCTGTTACTCAGGGAAGAATAAAATGAGAAGATAAAAATTTTGTTTTTATAATTATTACCAAAAGTTAAATAAATAAAAAAAGAAACAAGTGAAAATAGGTTAAATAAAGGTAAATATTTATCAGGTAAAAGAAAAAAATTAAGCTACTTACGTGTCTACAAGATCGTAAGCCAAATCTAACATATCTAATTCTTCATCCGTTGGCTTTGTACCAATTATTTTAAATTGTTCATCGGTGAATATGAGATGACATGTTGAGCAAGATAATGTACCTTCACATGCTCCTAATTAAAAGTTTCCAGTATTAGTAAATTTAATTCTCTTCTTGGCAGGATACTTACCAAATCCATCTAAATCTATGTCATTGTCTATTACTACATCTAATAAATGATCTCCAACTTTTGCTTTTGCTGGAATTTTTGATCCATTTTTCATAAAATTGATTGTAATTCTTAAATGTTGAATTAATATTAATAAAAGGATTTGAATTAAAAAATGTGTTGAACTCACGTTTCTTTCTGAGCTTTAGGCTGTAGAATTTCAGTACTAAAGGTCTTCAAGGGCAGATCTTTCAAATTCTTCCTAACTAAAAGTGCTCTTGATGCACTTGTGAATAGTTTTTTACAAGCAAAGTTCATCTTCCTAAGTTGACAAATTAGAGTAACCTTCTTCAAGAGCAAGTAAGATTGTAATAAATTGTCATCTGCTTACGACCTTGAACCTTGAACGGTGTGGTGAAGACTTCTCGCGAGAATCTACGTGCATGGCAACCGTTGCTAACTCAGCCATTGTAAACATAAAATATGCGCTAATCAAACCTTAGCCATAAACAAAAGAGAATTTTGGAGTAATTTGTTGTTGATTTCGATTGAGATTTTATTGAAAATTAAATATGGCATCAGTTCTACCACCTCAAAAAGCCCAAGAGACTTATACGTTCTCAAGTCAGCCTAAAGCAGTTAGGGAAAGAAAGAAGTATAGGGATCCGTATCAGGACGAGTAAGTCTGCAACAAACATCTCTAATAAATATTATAACTTACAAAATTTTTCTATTTTCCAGGAATCAACCAGCCGCATATGGAAATATTATGTATGATAAGAGAGTTATTAGAGGGAATACTTATGCTCTTCAGCATTTACCAGCCGTAAGTTATAACAGTTTATTAGTTTGTTGTTAGGAATTTGATCGCTAAGGCTTGACAACTGTATGTTCAAGTATGTTTAATTTTATTTAATTTTAGAAATAAATCAACTTTAAGTTTACTTATTGAAATATAGCGTAATGAATATTCATATTGTTAATAATCTTTATGATTCTTGTATATTTTATATCATATAAAGAGGAATAATTTACTTTTTAGACTTCCCAACCGGATCCAGTAGAAGTTCAGAGACAGAATGAGGCAAAGAAACGCGCAAGAGCTAGAGCAAGGGCGAAACAACAACTACGTCCTAGGACTCCTGACGCAGTTGAAGGAAGGAAACACATGGATGTTCAGACAGAACTTTATTTGGAAGAAATTAGCGATAGGGTTGAAGAGGCCGATCAAGAAGTACAAACCGATGCTTTCTTAGATAGACCGCCAACTCCTTTGTTTGTACCAGCTAAAACTGGTAAAGATGTTGCTACTCAAATATTAGAAGGAGAAGTAAGTAGTACAATTTTCTCTAATTACACTAAGTAAGTGATACTGATATTGATTTTTTTCTTTCTTTTTGCACTTAGTTGTTCGACTTTGATATTGAAGTACAGCCAATTCTTGAAGTTCTTGTTGGAAAAACAGTTGAACAGTCCCTGTTAGAGGTGTTGGAAGAAGAAGAATTGGCATCCCTCAGAGAGCAACAGAGAGCTTTTGAGGAATTGCGTAATGCTGAATTAGTTGAGCAACAGAGATTAGAAGAGCAAGAGAGAAGGCATAGAGAGGAAAAAGAACGTAGAATGAAACAACAACGTGAAATACTTCGTAAAGAAAAGGAAACTGCCGACAAAATTGCAGCAAGAGCTTTTGCTCAAAGTTATTTGGCCGATTTGATACCATCCGTTTTTGGTACTTTGGCCGATAATGGATACTTTTATGATCCGATTGAGAGAGATGTTGAACAAGGCTTCTTGCCTTGGCTTATGGATAGAGTGGCAGAAAAAATGGACAACTCAACACATTCCCGAATGGTGTTGGATGGTCTTGTCAGAGAAGTTGTTAGGAATAGAGTTCAAGCATTCAAAAAATTGGATGACTCCAAAAAAGCAGCGAAAGCACCTCTTGTTCCTAAAGAGGCTGAAGGAGAAGCTGATGAACCCGTAGCAGAAGTTGCTCCGGCAGCGGAACCTCAGGTAAACTAAGCTGAAATTTTCGCTTAAACAAGAAAAGAAAATCTAAAACAAAATTCTTTTTATTATCAATTTTTAGGAAGCGGCACCAACTGAAGCCGCACCGGAAGAAGAAACTACAGGCCCAGTTGAAGAGGACCAACAGGAGGAGGAAGAAGCGGAAGCTGAGCAGGAATAGACATTATTATTTTTAATCGCCTAGTTTGTCCTTTTATCATTTTTCTTTCTCGTCTGCAGTTTAATATTATTATGAAAATACGATTAGCCTTAAATCTGAGAAAACTGCAAAATTGAGGATTGACTTTTGAATAAAAAAAGTATTATTAAAAATAGTTTCGTCTTGCATATATTAAAGATGGAATAACACTAATCATCAGAATATGATGGCATCAGAAATTAAATAGATAAGTCATCTTTATTAAGACTATCTCGGTTCTCTATTAATTTTTTAAATATATCATTTGAAATCACTAGAACAGATTTAATATTACCCCAATTAAGGGAAGATGAAACAAGTTCATTTTTTGATGTCATTTCTAGAAATTTGATGAATAAAACTGATATCACTTTTTTATATTCTAAATGTTAAAGAAGAAGATTAATATTGAAAGTCACATAGATATTTGCATAGTCGTATATTACTAATATATTCTTATACAATATGATCATTTCGTAAATGACTATTAGTTAATTGTTAATAATTGCCTTAAGTTTTACTGAATACTGTATAAAAGCATGAAAATGTGCATTGAATTTGCTATTTATCCCATACCAAGTATACTATTATGTTACTTTTCCTCTTCCTAATTACCTGTATTCCTCTTTTACACCTCGCTTCTAGATATAAGAGAATGTTTATACACAAGTGTTTTAGTAGACTATATGATATCTTTTCTAACTTGAATCGTCTTGTTTTGCAAAAATATTGAAGCAGAGTTTTTTCATTATAAGAATAACAAGACATAAAGACGACAAGCGTACAATCGTATACAAATGTGCATATATATAAACATACTGTATATAATTTATATACACTGTATATGTATAAATATAAAAGCAAACAATGAATAGGTAGGTTTCCTATCACTTCCTCTATCTATAAGCATCTCGTTATTACTTTCTTTCAATTCTCTTATTCTCTATTTGCTACATGGCATCTCCAAATATTAACTTTTTAAAAAAAGCTCTTTCTCAGGTTTTTAATCTAATTAGTATTTGCAAACATAATTTACGTAGTTTATTACTAAATCAAGAGAATGGGAAACAATAATGTAAAGAGTTATTATTAAAAAAGAGTAAAATAAACAAAAAAGAAAACTTATAAACGCGTAAAGCTTTACGATATGTTTCTCTATGGAAGAGAGTTTTTTCCTTTAGGATAATGAAATGATTCATGTATGTAGACTTTAGGTTTTATTTTAACCTCGTCTATTTTTCCCTCCTTTCCGGTACAATGTTTAAAGTATAAGTTTTTGTTGTTACACTTAAACAAGCAACATCTATTTTTAGATATTTGTCGTGTTCTCGTTAAGGATATATATATGAACGTTTACAGAGAAATAGAATGGAACAAATCAAGTAACTTTATACAAATAATTGTGTAAAAGCACATTAAAGGATATAAATAATTTTAACTATTAAGATTGTTTAAAAATCTTTGATTCAGCATTTCTGTTAGAAAATAGATGGTGAAATAGGAGTAGGATACGTGGGGAAGTAAAGAAATAAGAGATATTTCTATTTCTATGTTCTTTTATTATTATATTCGAAAAAAAGATGGATAAGCTATAATAATCTGACTTTGAGATTAGTAGTTAGGAACAAAATGATTGTTATTTATTATACTAAAATTGTAAGACTTTTAAAGTCGTACAAGAAATATTCCAAGAATTTGTTAGATAAGCGTAAAAGAATAGACACTTATTTATTTGATACTGACGTTTATGCATTTACTTGCAACTTTTTAATTTAAAAGCGTTTCTTTATAATCCAAAAAACTAAATTGTAATTAATGAATAACAATCAACAAGAAGGAATTTAATATGCAGTGTAAACAATAAATGGGCGACAGATTAATTACAAACAGATTGAGAGGAATTAAAAGCCTACTGAAAATTTATTAATCAGTGTTACTAATAATATTCCATAAAATATATTACTAGATAAATCACGTGTCACGTGATAAATTTGTCGACCAATAGAAAAGGTAGTTTGAGGATTACTTGATTCGTAGTTTTTCCATTGAGAGCGAAGGGTAAGTTTTATTTTACTACTTTTTCCCTTTGTAATGTTTTCAAAAGTTTTAAAAATCTTTTACCATTGAGAAGAGAAGTAAATAAATAATAAGGTATCATTTTCTTCTTTTATTATATACAGCAAAAAGTTTGGTTGAGGCAAGAACACAAGGTTAAAAGAACAATTTGCAATGGCTAAGAATTGTACAATTATGATCTACTTTCTATTATTTACCGCAATTTTTAGTTTGGCATCTGTCCAGGGCATGAGCATATCGGAAGACGATCGTCGAATCATTTGCAATTTCATTGTCGAATTTGAAACGAATGACAAAATGTGTGGTGTTAAAGGAAACGAAGATTTATGTCTAGCTCTCAGCGATAAGAGAGCAAGACATCTAGCAAAGGAAACTTTACAATGCAATTCATTAAGGAAGATGCTTTGAATCAGTTAATTTTTTATTAACGAAGAAAATTTCAAATCAACACAATTTTTATGAATGTAAATTAAAAGAGAGAGAGAAAGGGAGCATAAATGAAAAATATAAAAATAAACCGAATGAAAATTTCAATAATCTCTTCTCTTAGTTTTATTATTTAAAATTCATTTTAAAGTAAAAATAGAGGAAAAAATACAAAAGAGCGCATGACAAAACACAGAGTTCGGCCTCTTTCTCCACTCTTATCTCATATATATGTGTGTATGCATACATATATTGTATATGATCAATTTGTGATTTATCTATCAGTCAATAGGTTTAAGTGTCGCCCAGAATCGTTAATCGAGATGAATGACCCCGTTCCCCTATTGTTTTAATGCGTATTTCTTGTTAGTGTTTATTAAGATTTAGTTACAAATGTAAAATATCAATCTAAAAATACAAAATAGATATGACATAGATAGAAATTTACTATTGATTTATTAAGAGTCCATGATATTTCTCTCATCTTTGTTTACTATTCTTTAGGTTTCTCACTATTTTAAAGAATTCTTCTGATTTTAAAGGTTATCCTATTCTTCAAGTTTATTTGGAGATAATTCCAAGCCATAAGTCTCTTACACCCACGCAATAATTTCTTTTCCATAGTTTCGTGCTAGTTGTATTTATTGTTTATTCTCAACATTGAGTTTTTTAATTTCTATTTGATTCCATTTCTTAACAGAACAGGCATTCTTGTCAAGAAAATGGAATATGTCGTTTACTAAGTTTATTAAGCGGAAGAAGTCAAGGAAGGTAGGAGAGAGAGGAAGAGTAAAAATAAAAGAACTTACTATATTTAGTCATGATTTTACTCGATAAAAATTTCTCTAATGAATAGAGATACTAAACAGAATACTGTATAAAATAACTAGAAAGGCTTGTAGATAATTATTACGCATCTTAGAGTTAACATTCTTTACTTCTTGATATTAATAGCTCATTACTTAATAGCTGCTTCTATTTCCTGGAAATATATTAATTGTTGACAGAAACATGTTTCCATTTCTTTCCAGTTAATTGTTATGTAATTTCTTATTCTTATACTAAGTCGAAGATTAATTTAAATGTGCAGCTGACAATGTAAATTTTATATATGACTTATATTATATAAAAGAAGAATATACACTTAAGAAGTGTGGAAATACTTATATGATATACTGTGTATGTTCCATAAAAAAGCGTTTAGTATTCCTTTAATAGTATCGCTGTTTTGTAATTAAATTAATCAAAGTCAACTATAAATTATAGAAATAATAGTCAATCAAGTAGAAGATGGAATTGCTATAACTAAACATGGCGGATATAATAATTTGTAGATTGTACTACTACATAATTAAGAGGATACTCTATTTTCTCTTTTTCTAAGTCGTTCTTTATAATATCGTTAAACTATATAGTTGTTCTATAAATATTAAGTACAAAAATAGAACTAAAAAGCTTTTAAAAGTCAAAGTTTTTGTTAAAAACTTTCTCTATATTGCAATGTCAATGGTATTAATCAATAGTTTTTTAATTTGCAAATGAATACCTGGTGAAAATTGGATGTTATTTAATAAAAATTGTTGATTTTCTTAAAAACCATTTTCCGCTGTGGATCTATCCTTTAAATGCCTATTTTAGGCTTTGGATATTCCGAAATAACGTTTAAAAACATATCAACAATAGTTTCTTCGATATGTGAACCTAGAAATCCTAATAGATATGATCCTCTTCCAACAACATATCTATATTTAGGTATTTTAGCTGTTACAGCATGAACGTAGCAATCAACTAAAAAACCAAGATCAGTAGTGCAGTCCTTCTCGCAGCTTTTTTGAAAGGAGTCAAGAACTAGGGAAAGAAAAGCAAATAAATTGAATAGAGTAGTCACCTAATGTATCTTATATATGATAATAATTTATCAAATAACTAAACTATATTTACATTTTTCCTGATATTCTTTTCCATAATGTTTATGCAAGTGTGATGATAATTTTGAGAATCTTTCAAGTAGTTTATGTTGTATGTTTAGTATCGATGTCTTAAAGGCACCTGGTTCAATAATATGAACACTAACTCCCCAGTCTTTCATTTCTCTTCTATGATTATTTTTAGAACAAAAATTACTATTACTATTAACTATTATTGAATAAATTTTTAGATGAAAATACGAGTACAAACCGCAAACAATCTGAAAATCCTTCGACTGCATGCTTCGAAGAACTATAAGGTCCTGTAAAGGGTAGGGCACATCTACCAGCGCAGCTTGATACATTAATTATTCTTCCCTTATCTTTTTTTATTAAATGAAGAAATTTTAAGGACGTTTGAATGAGTCCAAAAGTATTTACTTCAAAAACGTCTCTATAATCATTAATATTTAACCAATCCGTATGACCCATTGGATCTAGTATTCCAGCATTATTAATTAATGACCATAGCCCTCTGTTACTTGGTAAAAGATTTTCAACATATTTAACAGCATCGTCTACACTCTTTCCATCACGAACATCAATAATAATTGATTTTATGCCATTTTTTATCATACAGTTCTTTCCTTCTTCCGTAAGACATCCAGCAATCACTTGGATATTCATTGAATGAAATTTTAAAGCAGATACTCTACCAAAACCACTATCACAACCAGTAATGAATATATAACGTTCATTCAACTTTGTTAAAGGTTTTGAGCCATAATAAGCATAAATTTTCTTTACAATCCAATATATTGATATCAAAACAATTAAAAAGGATAAAACTGCACAATTTAACATTTTGTCATTTATTTTCGTCCTCGCAAAAGCTACGAATAATGGTAGACAAAGATTTTGTATAATATTTAGACAATACTCTTCTTTTCTATATTTAAAACATTCGGGTTAATGTCAGTGACACTACTAGGTGAAGTTCAAGAAAAAATTAAACAGCTATAGGGTCAAGCCTAGTACCTCTTTCAAGTGGAGCCATCTATCGAGTGATTCAGAAAACTATTTTTTCCCTTTTTACAATAATACACTATTGAATTATGCGGAAAGTATATCAACTTGAAACTTCAGAGACATGTAAAATACCAGTACTAATATTAACACAGCAATTCTATAAAGATAACTGATTAAGTATTTTATATAATATTGATATAATTAGTATGTTGCTGTTTACATTCATTCTATAATTCTTAGTATTTTGACTTCTTTTCGGGAAAAAAATGGTAAATTTCATCAGCTATTAATTAATTGTAACACCTTTATGATAGCTTCATAGTAATGAGTTATACCATCTAAAAATAGTTCCCTTGTCGAAAAATGTTCTTTTGCTTTCGTTTCTTTTCAATAAGAATTTAGAATATCGACATTTTTTTGCGTATGTCTTTCCCACAACGTCTTATCGGGAGGAGTGAGATTAGAATTTCTGAATAATTCATTAAGACCTGATTCAAGTATTCAAAAAAGTAGTATACAAATATTCATATGCATAGCTTGAACTACTATTAAGGGTATCAACAATAAATTTAAAACAATTAGATCACTAAAACACTTTATATAGGGCTGATATCATTAGCTGGGTAGAAACGAACGTTAAAACAAAATAGTAGATCTTCTCCGAACAGAAGGCAAATTAAAGAGAAACACTACAGCTTTGCAATGGAATATTGAAAAAGAGTCAAAACTAATGGGAGATGGAAATATTAGTGATGAAATTATATTAAGTGGTCAGTTGTAACGCGTAAACGATTCTAAATTCAATGTCAAAATCACATCATTTTTCACATCAACTGATTCTGCAACTGTCTAGATGGGAAAAAGGATTGAACGTTGTAAGTTTCTTAAAAAAAACCAATTTTACTATGGGAGCTTAAAATAAACACTTTATGAGGCATCACTTGTCACTGAACCAGTGAAAGGTATAAAGAAGATTATTCACCTCCTAATACTTCTCCTGATGAGTTCAGTCCAATGGTTAGGATAAATCCCGAGTGTCGCTCAAACCCTAAGATAATTGATAGCTGTTTGAGGTTCTCCTCTAAATAAAATCCTTGATTTTGCTTATTATTCTTATTTATTTCCTTTCAATAAAAGCAAAGCAATTATTCAAATGAGAATGTAAGAAACTTGGAATATTTCTATACTGATGAAATGATAAGCTATTTATATATTTCAATTAAAAATTATTTATTTTATATATAATTATGTTTATGAGAAAATTTCTATATAAAAATATAATAAAATCTATTGGAATTTATGTTGAATATTGACGATTTTTCTTGGTAAAACTTTATTAAATCGACATTTTTATTGAATCTATGAGAGTGAGTGGAGATGATTGAATAGAATTTAAATATTTTAGCAATGAGATCGATTCGAAAGCCTAACAGTATTTTCTATATTCTTCTTATTTGATTAATTTTATGTGCAGACAGCCGAATAATTGAAAATCTTGGTAAATCAAAATTTACAAGATCAATTTTGTATAAAAAGCATCATTAGCATTCGTCCGGAAGGATAAGCGTTAAAATTAGAGTTTTTCAATCAGATGATTCCGATATGATAAATATTTAAACAAAATGTTTTTGAATAGCAAAAAAGTGCAAATCTTACGAAATATGATATTGTATCAACTTGTATAGTATATATAGAGAACTAGTACAAAGGTAATGTAATAAAATAGCCTTGTATCACCGGCAATGGACAAATTAATTGTAATTTGAAACAATTAATCATATTTCTTTCAAAACAAAGCTAATCGTCTTGTACTTTATATGAAAATTAATTTATTTTCAAGGAAACCTTTGAAAGATCCTCCTTCTCGTCATAGAAGCAGAAATGATGTTGGGAATATTATATTTAAGGTTTCGTTTCTATAACAACTAATCCTACACATAGATTAACCATTTTTAATATTTGAACTATTGAACAGTTGTATGTTCTTTTGAATTTTACCTTTTCAAAATTATTTTAGTATGATTATAGACTAGTTTATATCCTCAATAGAGGAGAGGAAGATATGAAGTCCCATAAGTTTTAATTTCGCAATATTCCACCTAGTGGTTATTAGCTGAGAGCAGATATCTAAACCATTTTTTGAAAAACCTTCTAGTCCTATCATAACACTTAGTATTAATTTAATAATAAACATGATGTACTCTGTAAACGTATGTACATATACACAATGTGTCTGCTAGTCAACTAAAGAGAGTGATTAACTTTTAGTCTATATAGAATAGCAGCCAATTGAGAAATATCCCTTTATATAATCTAATGTATATATTAGATATGTTTCATTATCTTTTCTCTATCTATTAAATTCTTATAATTCTCTATTATAAATCAGAGTAATAAGAAATTTTAAAAAAGAAATGAACATAATTTATAATCAACGATTAGAATACCCATTTTAGGTTTTATATAATATTAAAGAGCGAAAATTTAACAAAGAACAGGCACGATGGGGAATATTTCAACTGCCATTATATATTAAGTAGGCTTTTTTATGGTCTAAAGCCAGTTATAGTGTTATTCATTAAGAAATAAAAGATCAAAGAGTTTTACGGAGAAATTTGTTGATTTTTGTTGTCTATTATACCCCATTAATCATTTTCCAATTAGTGAATGTCTAACTGATAAATGGAAATCATTTTTTTGTAAATGTCTTCTCGTGTCAAGATATTACAAATTATCCTTTGGATGTGAAAAGATTTAGGTCTCGTAGGCAATATATCTTCTTTGGTTCTTCGACTAGGGTCGTTTATATCTACTTAAATGCTTTAGAGTTAGGAATTATCATTTATCTTTTCATCATTGCCTCTACTGGCACATTACAAAAATAATTATATCCAAAAAGATACAACATGGAATAGATAGTATTGTATATATTCTCTAGTAAGGCTATTTTCTAATCTCAGATCTGCTGAGCTTTTTCTATCTGCGAGATGAAGCTGTATAATTTTAATGGGAACTTTGACATTTATGACTTTATAGTCAATTAGCGTAGTAACCACATTACTACATTAGTAAGAATAGTGAAATTAGGTGAAGAGTAGAGAGAATTGTTTATTTTTTCATTGTTTTAATGAATGTTAAGGGAATAGAGTTCTCATTCATTGCCGTTAGCTTTGAAAGACAACCTTTCTGTACAACAGAATAGAATCTTAAAATGCACACGTATCTTGTATTATTAAAGATATAACTTTCAGTCATTTATTCAAGTACTGTATGATAAAAGTAATCCTAAGGAGTTCATCTTCAGTTTTGAACAGCATTAATCTAAAAATTATCAACTATTCATATTATTTGTAAACAATGAACACTGTTAAAAATGTCTTATGAGAAATTTAAAATTGTTCAACACTAAGAATGTCAAGAAAGCGATTATGTTTATTCAGATATGTGGTTTTTCTATATAATGAATAGAAGATATTTGAAGTACTAGCGCATTTTTAAATTGGATGAACTTTGTGAAAAAAAATAATAAAACACTATTAATTTTTAATATTATATGTATAAAAAATTAGCTGCTTTCTTGTATCCGTTCTTTTTATTAGCTTACTTACGTCATAGACTTTTAATTTCCTGTTTTAGTTTTCTTTATAAAAATTGTTAATATTATAAATATAAGGATACTTAAAAAGGAAGAAAGTTTATTTTATCCTCCTTCTACATTTTCTTCTTTTAATATCATTTCATTTTTGAGGGTAAAAATATTTTTATTAAAAAATATATATTAATTGTTTATTTTCAAAAAAAGGAATTAATTTGAAAAGGAAATGAAACTATTTAATAAAATATTTGAGAAATAAAAGCTCTTTTTTATACTTCAAGGGTAGTTTCAAAAAGAAAATAAATAAAAAAAGAGTTTTTTGAGGAGGGGAATTTTAAGATTTTGAGATTTATTATTACTAAACAAGTATGATTCTTAACAATATCATTTTTAAAGATATTTGGGTTAAATAAACTGTTCTCTTTTCATTGACATTGACCGCTAGATGACTCTACTATAGGCAACAAACGTAATTATAATATCTTAGGTAATACGTAATACTTCTGAGGTACATTCTATAAATACCAACATAAATATATATATATATATATATATATATATATATAAAGAGAACTTTAAACATATTTTAGTACTTTTTCAAACAACCTTATTAAGAGCAACAGACTCTCTTTTTCAAATTCTATAATACATCTACATTCGAGAGATGAATAATCCAGAGAAGACTGCTAATTTCTTATCAAAGTTTACATTATGGTTTGTAGAAATAAAAAAGAAAAAACCCATAAAAAAAACTTTATCTTCTTCTTTATCTTGTTTTTAAAGGTGGATGAACGATTTCCTAAAAGTTTGTCGTACTAAAGAAATTGAACAGAATGAATTATACGATTTAAATCCTAATGAAACATCTAATTACCTACATAGGATTTTACTAAAGTAACAGAAATTTATTATTATTGTTTAAAGTTAGGGTTAAACATTCTTTTAATGAACAAAAATAATGACAGGAACTTGGATAAATGCTTGGAAATGAAACCAATAAGTTCTCTTAAATTTTTTTATTATGTCATTGTTAAAACTTTTAAAAATGATTATATTCTTATGTTATCCACTTGTGCTTTGGCGGTAAATATATTTATTTATTATATATTGTTAATAATAACCTTATTAACAACAGGAGATATTTAGAACATCGACACCTGTTCTCCTATCAATATTAATCAGTTATTTTGAAGATGAGCCAAAAGTTAATAAGACTATGTCCTATTTAGTTGCGATTGGATTGTTTCTTGTGAATATAGTATTTGGTCAAATGAATGGATGGTACTTTCATCTAGCTGGTATAAACGCCATGAAAGTTAGATCTGCTTTTACTACAGTAATCTATGAAAAGGTTGGACTTTCTTTTTTTTGATCAAATGAATAATATTTACATATTAATTAATTTCTATATAGATTTTGAAGACGAAAAATGACAGTATACTTCAGTTGACTTCTGGTAGAATTATTAATCATATTTCTACTGATATTGAGATTTTAACTAAAGGATTAGTGGGTGGTTGCTTTCTTATTCTGTCTCCAATATTTTCGGCTATTCTGCTCATATTAATAATATACGAAACTGGTTCATTCGCCTTTTCTCTCATTGGTGCTATAGCCGCAATTACAATTTTTCAATCGCTTCTTTCAATGAAAGGTAGTTCAATAAGAGTAAAGATTGGTAACGAAACTGACAAAAGAGTAAAATTTATGAATGAGATAATTGTTGGTATAAAAGTTATTAAAATGTACACGTGGGAAAAACCGTTTATGAACATAATCAAGTTGTTTAGGAAAACAGAAGCAAACTTAATAAAAAGTGCATTACGTTTTAGATTCTTCTCTCTTAGTTTCTTTACTTTATACCAGCCACTTATGGTAGCAACACTTCTACACGTTGGAAATGGACTAAATTTAAAAACAAATTGGCCATTAACTTCCTTCTTTCGAGTATTCTCCTATTTACAAGTTTTACAAGTTCATTGCGGGTTTTACTTACCTTTTGCGTTGTTTGAATTTCCAACTGCAATAAAATCTCTTAGAAGAATTAAAGTAAGCAATTATATACAGCTTATATATAATGGACAATTGTTAGTGCTATGAACTTGCTTACTTTTTAAGGAGTTCTTAGAAGAAGCCGATTTAAAAAAATTTTATAAAGAGGAAGAAAACATTACGGATGAAACGATCGATAATTCAGTTATTGAAATTGCCGACTTAAAAGGATATCGAAATTATAGAGAAGGAAACATTTCGGGCAAAGATAAAGTAAGAAGATAAACTTTTAAATAAAGATTATGTTATATTGGTTCCTTTTTACATTTCCCATTAGATCTATAAGAAAAATGAAAAAAATTTAATCCTCCAGGGAATAACATTTCAAATTGAAAGAGGGCAATTATTATTCGTTATCGGGCATGTCGGAGCTGGAAAGGTTTCTTGCTAAATTCAATCGAAATACTAATAATTTTACTCTTTCTCATTGCTCTCTCCCTTCTTTTTTCTTCTTCTATGAATCACTCAGACGACATTAATGGATGCTTTATTAAAAGAAATTGATATTGAGTATTCGAAGAGAATAATTGGAGGAAATATATCATATAGCTCTCAAGAACCTTGGATATTTAATGGTTCGATTAGAGATAATATTTTATTAGAAGAAGAGTACTTTGAATTAAAATATAATACCATTTTATCATCTTGCTGTTTGAATGTTGTAAGTACTTTACTGAATCTTGACAAACTAATTATTGAATAATTATTTTGCGCTATTTCTATTGAAATATTAATCATTGTTCAATCTATTACAATAGGATATAAGTAACCTAACAGATGGAGATGCTACTTTAGTTGGGGAAAGAGGATTAATGCTTAGCGGGGGCCAGAAGGCAAGAATAAATCTTGCTAGGTAAACAAACTACAGTAACTTAATTATTAATTGTCGTTATACTATATTTTTTTATTCAATAGATCATTATATAAAGAAGCTGACGTCTACATTTTAGACGATCCATTAAGTGCCTTAGATGCTAGGGTTTGTCAACAAGTTTACCAAAAAGCTATTAAAACCTTTCTAGCCGAAAAGGCTGTTATTTTGGTTACACATCGTTTGAATTTAATTAGAAATAAGGATAGGGTTCTCTTCCTTGAAAATGGCCGTCAGAAGTTTATAGGAGAATATGACGATTTTAAAAAAACAGCAGTCAGTCTTAATCAACCAGAAGTAGTAAATTCAGTCTCAACAAAGAGTCTATTGTCAAAGAAGACAAAATCAGAAGCAAAATTGAAAGAGGAAAATATAAAATACGGAAAAGTTGGAATAGATGTTTACTGGGTTTATTTGAAAAGTGGTAGGGCTCTAATTGCTATGCTTGCTTCAATCCTACTTTTGACCGGCTTTTCTTACAACACCTACAACAATTATAGCTTATTAGAAATAGTCAGAAAATCAAATTCCACTAAGGGATTGGATATGAATAAAGCCTATTTGTTTCTAGGAAACATTTTTGTTATTTGGCTAACCTTCGCCCTTGGCCTAATTTCAATGTCAAACTTTACAACTACGGCCTCTAGAAATTTACATAATAAACTCTTCCAAAAGATAATGATGGCTCCTTGCCGTATCTTTGATGAAAATTCCACTGGTCAAATAGTTAATAGATTTTCTCGAGACATCGGATTTATAGACAATCTCCTACCAGTCATTGTCTATGATATAAATACAGTGTTTATGGGAATTATTACGGCTATAGGCTTTACTTTTTATGTCATCCCATACGTGGTTATTGTTAGTGTTTTCCTATGCCTAATATTGGCGTACGTCATATACTATGTTATAAGAACGTCGAGGCATGCTAGAAGATTGGAAGCTGCAGCTAGAAGTCCACTTTATTCCGCCATTTCTGATACTTTACCTGGCTTAAGAACTATTAGAACTTTAGGCGTTTCTGATAAGTATTTAGCAAAGGTTCAAAGACTTTCTGAAGAGCATACGAAAGCATGGTACATGTTCATCTGTTCGTTTAGGTGGATGGGTTTTCGGCTTTCGTGGATTATATCACTTTTCCTCTTTTTGTCTAATATTTTGTGTATAGCATTAAGTTCAACTATAAGTCCTTCGCTTATGGGTTTAGCAGTCATAAATATTCTAAATATCCTAGAACCCTTTGAATTCTTCTTTAGAATGTTAACTGAATTGGAGAATGCTGTAAGTAGCCTACGATCCCATATATATATATATTTTTTACCGAAAACCTAATACAATTTAAAACTATTTTTAAAAACGAAAGATGACTTCCGTTGAAAGAATCAATGAATATACGAAAATTGAAAGCGAACATAGCCTTCATGGTAAACCAGAACTCGAACCGCCAAAAGATTGGCCTTCAACGGGAAAATTGCAATTTGAAAATGTAGTGTTGCAGTATATTCCAGAGAAATCTCCAGTTCTCAATGATATTTCATTTACGTTCGAAAATGGCGAAAAGGTACAATATAATCAAGATGATTTATTAAAATAACAAAACAATTTCCTCTTAAAAAAATTATAGATTGGTGTTGTTGGTAGAACTGGAGCTGGTAAGAGTTCTCTGCTGGTTGCAATGTTAAGGCTAGCCAAAACATCAGGAAAAATGATTCTTGATGGCATTGACATGACTAAATTATGTTTAGAGGCAACTCGCAAGCATTTTTCGGTAATACCCCAAGATCCGGTAATATTTGGTACAACGTTACGAAAAAACTTGGATCCTTTTAACGAGCATAAAGATACTGACATTTGGTTAGCATTAGAAAGAACTCAATTATCTCCCAAATTTGTAAAAGGCGTAGAGGGTTTAAATGTAGAATTAACTGAGTCAGGTGCAAACTTAAGCTATGGCGAAAAGCAATTAGTATGCTTGGCTAGAGCTTTATTAAAGAAAACTAAGATATTAATTTTAGACGAGGCTACCGCTAACGTTGACGAAGAGACTGATGAAATTATTCAAAAAGTACTTAGAGACGCTTTCTATCAATGTACAGTTATTACTATAGCCCATCGTCTAAATACAATTGTGAATTGCGGAAGGGTTTTAGTTATTGGAAATGGCAAAATAATTGAGGATGGTGATCCTTTGAACTTGCTAAAAATCAATAGTGAATTTAGACGTTTAGCTGAATACGACGGTTCGTCTAACGTAGATAAATTATTAAAGATGGGGGAAGAACTGAGGAACGATAATGGAACAGAATTGCTCAAGGACTCAATTAGCAACAACCACAATTCCGACGTAGTTGACGATACAATCTTGTAATATTTCCTAAGTCATTAAAGAAGTTATTCTGTTAGAACCTATTTATTGGGCAAACAAGATAGAGACATTATCATTGCTCATAAAATTTAAAAGCAAAATATCGGAAAAAAAGGCACGTTTTTCTTTCTCTTATTCACTTGAAAAATTGATAAAATGATCTATATGAATCATGTTTTATTCATATTTTTGCATAGGTTATTCACCAAATTATTGAATTTTATTACTTTTCAATATATATTTTTATTACTTTGCAACTAAATCTTCCCTCTAGGTTAATACATAAAAACAAAATACATATATAGAGGTTTTATTCTCTAAATAAAATTGTTAAAATTATCCTTTCGACTCTGTTACCAATATTTAACTTAACTGTATACCATATTACACTTGAAACGTGGTAGAAAACAACAATAATCACGTGAAAATCAATAAAGTATGAATGCGCTTGGCCTGCGTAGAACAAGATCCAGCCTGCGTCTATCACTATTTGGGATTAATCTCATTAGGTATTGTTCACTTTATTTTTATAAGAAACTATTTTAAGTGTTTCTAACTTTAAAACCAATAGTTGTTTGTTTAAGGAATATTGTTAATCATTTTGTCAAAAACAAGTTGAACTATGGCGGAAAAATTACAACAATCCGACCCTGAAGTGGAAAGAAATTGTCAAAAATTAATAAATGTTATGAGAGTGTGTAAAATATCGGAAGCAGACAAAGTAAAAAGAGATTGCTTTAGTGTATTAGAATTATTTTATAATAAAAAAACAATTGATGAGAAACGAGCTATTTGCGAAAAATTAGTTGAAGAAGGATGTTCTAAACCTTTGGTTGATTGGTATGATTTGTTGGAAAAGAATTTACAAGACAAAAATGCTAAATTGTGTTTCGAAAAGGTTAATAGGATAGTAATAGAATTTTCTTCATCCAGTTTTGGTTTTGGAGTTGCTGTTTTTAAAGCTGGACTTGTGGATTTTGTATTATCGGTTATGGATAGATTTAAAGAAACCTATAAAAAAGATAAGGTGTATTTTTTATTCAACTGCCATTTTCTTTTTTATGCATAATTAAACGCTACACTTTCTTGAAGAGTAATTTTCGTATTTTGATTCAAAACATACATAAATATTATATATAAATAAAGAAAACCTCAATAAACAAATGTCAGGATTGCTTAAAACTTTAAACATATCAGGCCTTTATACACAATATTGTAATATATGCATATATATAATTTTATATATTCAGTATGAGGGTTATATTATGTTGACTTTATCTATTCACAAAACATTATTAATAATGTATTCATTACTAAACAGTTTCAAGAAAGATCTGTTATGGACTCTTTAGCTATTTTAATGCATCTTGCAACAATTGTATCTATACGTGATGGATTGCAAGAAAAGTATTGCGAAAAGAAGGACCTATTCGAGTTTTATAAAGATCCAAAACAAAATACAAAAACTACTTCCATTCTAACATTATCAATAATCAGTAGGCTTGCTGATGCATCTAATGAAGACGAAATTAAAGCAGATCATTCAATAATGGATTTCTTTAAAGAATTAGTTGAGAATGCTATCTCCTCGAAAGATAAAGTTGTCAAACGAAATGACATTGAATTTAGTCTTGAGAATCTTCTATTTACAATGGAGTTATTAGCCTACAACGCTGAAAATTCAAAGTATATGCTTAAAAAGAAATTGGGACCGATTATCTTTAAAGCCCTTAAATTCAATAGTCAATTAAAGCGAGAATCTGAAACTAAATGCTGTCTCTCTACCCTTATGATTTTCTTGGAACTTGTAAATGAATTAGACGAGGGAGAAGTAGTCTTAGGTTGTCCAGGGCTGACTGATTTTCTTCTGGAATTAAAGAGTCAAGGTCAAAGTTACGATATCGCCGAACTAATTGATGAAATTTTAGGATCAATCAAATCGTCGTGTGATTACGTTTACGAATGTAGAGAATTCTTTAATAGTCTAAATATACCTGGTAAGAAAGATATTTTGTTATAACCATATATTCTCAACTATTATACGATACATATACAGTATATATTTATATATACTAATGTATATGTAGTGTATGTATCCTATATTGTATTGGTATAATACAGTATAATAATAGAGTATAAATGAATAATTAATTCTGTTCAATAGAGGAATATTTGGACGAGACACATAACGAATGCTATTGTAGCGTTTGCCATAAATCAAGAAAACAACCGGATTTTTATGAGAGGGGAGAGCCGCCTAAATTTTATTCCCTTCCTATTGGATGGTATAGATTTGGTCTTAAGGTTCCGGCAAAGACAATTGCTCAAAGAGCTTTTGATAAATGGCATAGAGCCTTTCACGGTACTCAAACAGATAGAATTGTTAAAATTCTACAGCACGGTGATTTGCTAATGCCTGGCGATAGAACAGCAGAGGGAGATCAACTGAGAGAGTTGGATGGGCACTATAACGACAAAACAAAACCGAAAGGTTTTAATACTAAGCAAGTATTTGTATCGCCAACAATAAAATATGCTGGTTTAGATTCATACGCAAAGCCTTACAAGTTGGTTAAATATAAAACAAAATATATTCGATACTACATCAAAAATTAAAATCGAACAATTTTCAGATGGAAAACAGATGGGAAGAAAGCAAGAGTCGCCTTTCAGGTTCTCATCCAACCAGATTCTTTCATTGTTGGAAAAGAAACGATAGGAGTAAAGCATCGCTTGGATTCTAAGTAATAAACTTTCTGACAACTAATAATAATAATGATTATTAATAATTCATTTTAAAACAATTTTACACAGGTATACTAATAAGGAACTGGAATGGTCAACAGATAGGAGAGGTGTTGTTATCTTATACGGTATCCTCGTAAAAATCGAAAAGAAGTGATAAAGATAAGCTTGACAACTTTCTTTTGACTTTTAGCTGTTATCTTTGAATGATATAATTAAAATATGTACCTATGTAATAAAATAATTAAAACTATTAAGGATATTTATGTGAATAAACTGGAAATTTATTTTATATTCATTAATCTCTAATTTGGCAAGATCTTATAGCGTTTAATCTTTCCTCCTTTAAAATAATGAAAATAGAAAGGTTACTTTTTTCTTTTTCTCTTTACTCTGTTTTTGTTATCTAATGCCCCTTTTATATATTTTTTTGAGACTTTTAGGTAGAAAATGATGGCAGTTTATTATTAGAATATGAAGATTGTTATTTTCCTGCTCCTCTAATTTATATCTTGTCTAAGGAATACTTAGATTTTTGGCCTATATTGTAGGAAGAGTGAAGGGTTATTAGAGCTGTGAACCGCATCCTCTTTCCTCTAACCTTTGAGTTCTTACGGTTGAATACATTCCCTAATTGGAAGTTCTTGTGGTTTTCGTGGTGGTTAAAATGGAACGTGGAAGGGGATAGAAGGGAATAAGGAAGTAAGAAAGAGACAGACAGACAGACAGAGAGAGAGAGAGAGAGAGAGAAAATGAGAGCGAGAAGGAGAAATTAAAAGAGAGTAAAGGAGAGGATAAATAATTAAAACAAAGAAAATCTTTCGAGTTTTACGTATTAAGATACACTTATGTATTAAACTGCAAAAAGATGTATTATGTAAATCTTATGATATACATATGAACCAATTATACGACCTGTTTTAAATATCTAATAAAGTGAAAATACAAGGAAAACAGAGTTAATAAAGAGAAAAAGTTATTCGAATGTTCTCCCACAAACCAATAGGTTTACTCTTGTTTAATTCTTCATGATTTCCTAGAATTCTTGGATTTCTTTTCAAGGAATTCAATTATCTTCTTTTTTGGCAAGATAGTTTTCAAATAGGTTTCCGGTTTAGATTTGATCCAACTATGTTGAAGGCATTCAGCTGTAGAAGGTCTATTCCTATAAGAAATTACGTAATGGTAAATTATGCAGAAGGACGGACGTAGAATAAATAAACTGATAAAAAATATAAATTTATTAATGAAATATTTACATTGGATCCAATTGAAGGCATTTAGTCCAGAAATCTCTACAGTATTCTGAAACTCCTAAATCTTCACCCTTCTTTTCCCAATGGCCATAAATTAATGTAAAAGTTAGAGCACCGACACTCCAAACATCATTTTTTAAACTTATCTTGTATTCTTTGATTTCCGGTGCCGAGAATTCATCTTTATCGATATGAGCATTAAGATTATCATTGATTTTTTCATTAGAAATTGTTGATAAAGTAAAATCAATTAGCTTTAAATTATTCGATTCCAGCAATATATTTTCCGGTCTTATACTTAAGTGTATAATATTTAAATTATGTAAATATCCAAGGGCTTGAAGTAGTTGTTGAATATAAATTAACGTATGAAATTCCGTATAGTCTTCTTTACTGTTGCAGATTTCATCAATAAGAGTTTTCCACTTTAAACTAGGATGATAATAAGAAAAATGAAAGTTGAAGTTATTGTTATTATTATATATAACACTATTTATAGGTTATATTTATTATTACTTTTGCATAACAATTATAAAATAATTGTTCCATTCATATAATCCATAGACAGTTGGAAAGTAGTCGTTATGTAATATTTTTAATGTTTCATATTCATTTCGTGCCAATTCATTTGTCCTAAAGATTTTCGCTGAAAAACTTTCAGAATTCTTACTACACTGCCGTATTTCGGCGAAATTTCCTCTAGAGAGAGTCTTTCCTAATGAATAGCCAAAGAAATTGTTATTTTTTCGATCTTGATAGATGAATGAAACGTAAACAAGTATTTAATTAAATGTGAAAAAATACAGGTTTATTTAAGCCTACTTTGGATAATTAAGTTAGCAGTGCTTGTAAAACTTCCGACCGAATTCGTTGCTGTGCAGGAATATTGACCCATATGATTAGATTTCACATTAAATATCTGCAAAAAGTTAGGGAGGTTTCAGACCAATGGGGTATTAGTTAAAACAGTGCGTAAAACAGGTCAACAAACGGATAATGTTGCTTCTCCGTCATCTTCTATGTTTATTTTTAGGTTTTCGGAATCCTCTAAAACCTGTTGGTCTGTACCGAACCACATTAAATTGGGTCTAGGTCGACCACATACTCTGCAGGTGAAAACAGCCGTTGAACCTTCCTCAGCGGTTACATCTTGGAGATGGGGCGAAAAAACCGGCGCGACCTCGTAGATGCTTTCGGGTTTATTGGTGGGTTTAGGGGGGTGCTCCAAAATGAAGTTGGACTTTTTCTCCCTCCGAAAACTGGGACGTTTAAGCTTTAGAGCTTCCGTCCAAGAAAGTTTTGTTTCACCGTCCTGCGGCTTTTTAAAATATGGTTTATCAATCATGATAAAAACTAAAGTTAATGATTGATATTCGTTGAGAGAAGACACCTAGAAAAGGAATCAATTAACTTACAACAGATAAAGTAAGACTATTATGATCATCTTCGGGCGATCTTCTTGGCCTAAAGGACGCTCTAAATCCATCGAAAAAAGTCTTCTTCGACTTCGGGCTGGCAGACAGCTTTCGCTCTATTTCCTTCGTGACGACGTCCTCCATACTCTCCTTTTTCCTGCTGTTGACGGCTGGACTTGACGCTGCCTTAACTGCATTACTCTGCGGCGTTGAATGTGTCTTCCTCAGTGAATTGCTGCACGACAAACTTCCGATCTCGGGGGCCGATCTGTCAGAATGCATTCTGGAATTAAACGAATCCGGAATTCTGTGCGGAAAACAAAAAATGCTTCGGTAACATACGTTGGCGAGTGTTGCAGGGAGACCAGACAACAATGCAGTTCTTTCCTGGACATCTAGGTTAATGCCTTTTGTCTATGTGACAGTAATTTTGTTTGTTTGTTTGTTTGTTTGTCTAGTATTATGTATTTTTTTTTAATCAACCATCTGATTATCTTATGATATTTATTATTTCAAGCCATATTTAAATAAATTTTATATTTATATAAGTTGTTTACATTGTATTAGACATTTTAATTAACCATATTAATGTTAATTTTTCGGTTTAACGTCTTCTTTTTTTACGCTACAAACGGAAAGTAGTAGCAGGGAAAAAAAGGAATAATTTGGATGGTTGAAGACTTATTATCAGATAAATATTTGAAACAGACTTTTTTCTCTTTGCGGAAAGAAAAGCGATAAAAAAGAACCAAAAGAGAAAAACGTAAAAACAAAAATTCGTTTTAAGTCAAAGGTGTTTAAAATAAATTCAGTTTGAGGAGGGGAAAGTAGGAGGGTTAGGAAAAATGAGAGCGCGAGAAACGGAGAGAATGAAAGTATGCATATGTGTGTATAGGATGGGGGAGGGGAAAGGGAAGGGTTGGTAGAATGAAGGTGATAAAAGACTTAGGAGAATTAAAACTAGAGAAATGTATATGAGAGATTGGGGATAATGAAAATGAGAAGATTGGTATATAAGCGATGATACTCTAAAAGGGTAGGAATTGGGAAAGAGAAGGATAATTTTCCTAAGAAAAAAAATGTGAAAAGATAAAAAAAATTGAAAAAAATTGGTTTTAAAAAATTAGCATTAACCAAGATGGCAAAAATACGACGATAAAACGAGTGTCGAGTAACTCTGAATCCATATTTTTTTTTTGCAGATTTTGTTTGTTTTGACAAAATTAAAAATAGTTTTCTTTTTTTTTTTTAAAAAAAAAATTTTAGAAAAAAAAAATACTTGTTCATAGGAAAAAAGGAGGGAATAAAAAATTCTTCTGCCGCCATTTTTTCTCTCAATAAGATATGAAACAACATTAAAAAAGAGAGGTTAGTCGAGACGCGGTGCACAAAGAATTGACAAAATAGAATTTCTCAACAACGGAGTATCATTCGTTTGTATTGTCGCCGACATTGAACACACCCTTCATAAGAATTTTATCATGCAGGGAGAAACGCCTAGTAACATTTTCTCTTACAATGAATTAATTTTTTTTCTACATTATTCTTCACAAATCGAGAAAAAAAGAAAAAAAAAACAATAGAAAACGAGTATATACAACTAAAGTTATGAATAAATAACCAGCTCTCTTTTTTGCATTGTATGTACAATTATTCGTTTCGTAATAAACTAAAGCGAATGCATGAGCTTAAACAAGAACTGTATAAACAGTACGGCTCTGTAAAACAGTTTGTCAATACCCGGTCACTAATAGATGGCGTTATTATTAATAATTTATTTTTATTCCACTACCGCTACAAAAGATGGGTAGTTCTTTTCTTAAATAAATAAATGCACTAGTAGTTTACTTGTTAACAGTCTCGTTTTTCCAGTTTGCATAAAAAATAGGAAGAAGCAAAGATTTTTGCGAGAAAAATGAGATGTTAAGTAAATCTGTATAGCCAAAAGAAAAAAAAACTTGTATATACTGTATACATATATACACTTCATGAGTGAAAAGCTGCTAAAGTTCATAGAAATAATACAATTTCGGTTATTCGTATAAATAAAAAAAAAAGAAAAAAAGTAGATTATAAGGGAGAATAGTAAAGTTGTTTAAATTACTTTTTCTTCTTTGCAAACTTAAACTCAAAGAGTAGTGAGAAATTTTGCGAAACAAGAAAAAAGTAATTCTCAAAATGTTGCTTTTTTCGTTTTTTTTTCTAAAGCTGTACTGTTTATGCATTTCTTGGCATAGATCTAAAAAGCCTAAGATAATAATTCGCCCTTCTTGCCAACGTCCTTTTCTGGCAAAGAAAATCAAGTGACGATATACGAGAAGAGGACAAACAACGGAGACGAATCACTGTTTTATAGCCTATAACTCACAGTTCTTTGGTTAATTCCTTCTGGTAGGAAATCGGGCATTGTAAAGCGTCTAAGATTCGTTTTTGAACATCCAACATCTTGAGAATCTCATTGATCCATAGTTCTTTTACCTGCTCTTTTGACATAGGATCCTCTCCTTCTTTCGTATCTACTCTATCGACGCAACAGACATATTTGGAATCCGAGCCTGGACTTACATCTTCTAATGTAAAACAAACGGATGGATCTGAGACTGATTGGGCAGCAATTCCTGTTGGGGGTCTAGTCTCCAATTTCATATTGTTAGCCTGAAAGGAAATACTGCACTTAAGAACACTTCTGTTAAATTTACGAGAACAAAAAACGTAAGAAAACGGAGAAAAATTAAACAAAATACTTGTATATTTTAAAAACCACTTTATATAATAAATTAACAAACCTTGACGCTATTGATATAAGTTAACCTCGGAGCTGATAATTTGCTACGTTTATTCTCCGTTTCAACACTAAATATTACAATTTGCTCAAAAAGGAAGATTTTCAATTCTCTCGTCTTTCCTTGTTCACGTTTATTTGCTACTTTCGAGTTTATTTCATAAACTTGGAAGAAGCCTTGCAATAGCAATTTACCTTGAGCAGTGATTTTACCCTGAAAATATTAAATCATTGATATTTAAGAACAGTTAAATACTAAAGATATTATAAATAATTAATAAAAGTTATACATCGAATCCTTCAAGTCTTCCTAAAGTCATCATATCGTTTGCTGCTTTTGGTACTACTTTCATAACCTGCAGTGCTTTATGCAAATTTTCGCTGCGTTCGCCCAGTTTTTCAGTTTGTTTTATAATATCTTTTAATAGCAATTGATATTTCATTATCCTTTGAACGGGCTTGATGAGCAAGTCTGTTATTCCTAATCGATGTTTGAGAACTTCCCTCGTTTTCTATTTTTAAAACAAAGTAATGAATATAAAATAGTTGTCATTAAGTTGAAAATCAATTCAAATCATATTTCATACAAATTAATTAGACAAGAAAGAGATAAATTTAGTATACAGCTCAAGGTTATTTATTATCCATTTTTTTTCCCTTTTCAATCATCTCTCTCCCCTATTCCACTATTGTTTTATTGTTATTTATTAAATCAGATAAGTCCTATATAACATTTAATAATGATTATATAATATTTTACTCCCATGATAAATATTTCGAGAAAGGCGAAAAGAAAGCGTAATTGATCGTTCGATCAAAATCATAACAGCAATCAATCAAGATAACCGAAAAGATCGATTGTGGTTTTTTTTTCCTTCTACACTTCTCTTTTGTTAATGTCATCTTTCTTCCCTTTTTACAAATTTTTCCCTTCTACTACACGTTTTCTATCTCTACAATCGTTTTTTGTCGACAATTTTCAACCGATTTCGAATATATTCTATCTACCCTTACTTAATGATCAGTCTCAGAAGGAAACCCTAAAACTGCACGCAGAATCAAAGACTAGGCGCACAAAATGTAAGTATTTATCCGTCGAAGGAAACAGAATTGAGCCTGCAGCGACGGAATGGTAATTATTCAAGTTAAAGGTTGTTTTTTGCAACAGTGGCCTACAGGCAACTAGATGGAGAACGAAAGAGGTTATAGTTTATCATATCCTTATCAATAAACCCGTTTATCAGCAAACAAAAAGTATATACATAGACAAGGATTAAGAAGTCGGAAGTCGAAAAACTTACGTCAAAATAATCGCTATATTCGGCAACAATATATTCACTTTTCGGCTTATTTTGACAATATTTTACATAAATTCCATACATTCTCTTTTCCTGTAAAACGAAGAGAATACAATTAATTTTTACTTCTCTTTGAATTGAAAAACACCTACATATTTCACAAACATCCAACCAACTTTTTCGGGATCTTCAATATTCTTTGAGATTTCTTGCAAAAAGGTTCTACAAGATGAAATAACATTTGTTAACCCTAAGTGGAATTGCGCTATTTTTATACAAACTGCAAATGCCATTCGTATATGTGCTGAATATTGCCGAACACAATTTTATCCTTGCCTTCCATACCTTCGGGCAAAGGATTTTCTTTCATGTAAACCATGTAGCCTTTCGTCAACTTTTCCAGATCATTTACGTAATCTTTCTCAGTCTCCATCAATTCGTAGAGTATATACCTAATTTAAATAAAAATACATATATTAGTATATCCTGTAAACTGTTTAAATACAATAAGGAAAATCAAAAGTTGATAATTAATAAAGAAAGAAGCTAAAAATAAGTACAATAATTGTACAAATGCAATAAAATTATGTAATTGACACCTAGTCTTATTAGGGTTTTATAGGTTTTCCGTTTTTTATTCAATAAAGTTTAATTAAAACGAAAGAAAGAATTGTAAAAAGTGTAAATTGCGACATTTTAATTTATTTATGGTCTACTTTATATTTATTCATAACAGGTCAATTCAGAACAGATTTCGAATCTCGATGAAGGAAAAATTTTTCAACCGGAAAGAAGTAAATAGAAAGGAGATGTGAGAGTGGCGGAAAGAAAAGAGAGATGGAGGAGAGGAAGACGAACAATTATGTAAGACATGTATAAGAAATTATCCAGAAAGGAACATATTTAAATATTTAAATATTCTCTTTCAATAGTTTACAAAGAGAATTTCTAATAACTTTAGACAGGAAATTCGCTCTTTAAGAGTTGAACTTTTTCAAAGGGAAAACTTGTAAAAATATTGATTATTTGATCAGTTAACAACTTTTATAAGTAATAAAATTAGTTTCCATATAAACGGATAGGTTGTTCCTTTCCTTTTTTTTTATAAAGGTTAATAAGGGAAACTATGTAAATAAATAAAGAGAAATATCGCTATTATACTGATATATATACTGTATATACAGTATAATAAAAAAAAATAACTAACTTTCTCTTAGTCCTCACTTGCTCCAAACGTTTTGCTTCGGGGTCTTCATCAGCAGCAGCAGTCTCAGCCCCAGCATCCGGAGTTTCTTCATCTACAACAGGTGTCTCAGGACTTTCCTCTCGCTTCTCTTCAACCTCTTTTTCTGGTGTTTCAACCTTCTCAACTACTTCCTCTTTGCTTTGAACATCGGTCGTTTCCGTTTCCACTTCTACAGTAAAATTTTCTTCAAATATCTGATCGGGTTTTTCGCCGATATTCGTTGCTGCTGAAGGATAAGCTGAGATTTCAGGCATAGGAGGAGGTATTTCAACTTCTGTTTCTTCTAATTCTTCATTTGGAACTTCTATTTCATAAAATAAATAAAAAAGGTATTAAATAGGATAAATACATAGTTGTTTTTTGTTACTGAGAATAATCTAAGTGTACTCTATACATACAATATACATATACTATATATATATATGTGTATATACAGTATTATTAATATTCAATCGTATTATGAAGATCTACTTAAATCATTTAGAAAGAACTAGTAGAACAATACATGCTTTAAACAAACGAGGGGGTTGAAAGAAAAATAGACTTATTTATGAATGGATAAAATGGGACAGGCTTTAGATTAATGGATTGTTTTCAAGTCACGCTACATTTAGCGGACTGAACGATACAATTACAATCTTGCTATATTTGTTAACGGTATTCTACTGAACAAATTAGCTGAATTTTACTCTTTCAACACTAAACAAAACAAAATGACGATAGTAGAAAAATAGAGAAATTAGCTAATAAATAAAATATTCTGATATTCTAAAAAACGAAAATGATCAATTTTAATAAGAAACAATAAAGAATATGAAAAGGAATCTTAAGCAATTTAATACTCAAAGTGAAACTTTCAGCATTAAATAGTATAATATTTATAAATTATGTATAAAAATAGAGATATTTAATCTAATCGAATGTTGGAAGAATTCAACTACTAGATTAAATGAAAAAAAGAGGAAAAATCCTTAATTCAATTCTTTTGACATTAGTAAAATACAAAACAACGAAGAAAGTAAGATAGATTTATCATTCTAGAGCTTTTCTATAAATTGGGCTTTTTTATTATGTATATTAATGCCCTACATGGTATAGATCAGTCTAAAAACTATGCAGTATTTATTGTTATAATATATAGACTACAAAGGCCATATATATGAATTTGTTAAGCAAAATATGGAATTCCTAGCTTTCTATTATTTTTTTATTATCTATTTCAGCTTAACATCTTTACAGGCTTTTTTCATTGTTTGCTTATAAAGAGAAATTTTTCTGCTCATCTACAGGTAAAACTATCAATATAATATTGTTAGGAAGCAAGAAAAATGTTCAAGAAACAGAGAAAGGCATCGAGAACAAAAGGAGATTGAGAAAAACACGAATATAACAACTTTTATATAGTGGTTTAAGAAAACAATAATAAAAAGAGCATAAAATTGATAGAAACATGATAGTAAATAATTCAGATTTACCTGCAGAAGGAGGTGGTCCTTGAGCAGCAGCTTCATTTCTAGATGGCGTTGCAGTTCCATCCTGATTAAAAGATAAATGTTGAAAATTAGACAAATCTAGATGAAATACATATAAAATTTATGCAAAAGAAAACGACCAACACACACATATACATATATATATACAGTATATCTATGTATATACTTAAATATATGTAAATTGTATATATATATGTTTATATCAGTCATAGAAGATGCAAAATAATATATCTTCTCCGAAATTTCGTTAAAAATGGTAAAAAATAAATGAAGAAATCGTATGTATCTTTTTCATTTAAGTACAATAAATTAGTTTTTACGTTGTTAGATCGCCAAGAAAGGGGACAAACAAGATTACTTCACAGATGAAGATTCCAACTCCTTGCAAATATACAACGCCCACTTTATTAGAAGGCGAATAGCAAAATTACCTTTTCCGCTTCAATTGTTTTCCTCTTTATGCAGAAGCAAACAATTTTGTACAAACAGCATAAACTATCAGCCATCCCTAAGCCTTTTCTACCTTAGAACAAATCCATCATAAACAATGATACATTCTTAGTTCTAAATATTTAAAAATATAAAGAATAACAATTTCTTTTTTAGCTATTCTTCAATTTCTATAAATTTCCTTAAGCTAAATCTCTTAAAAGTCCAAAGAAGCAGCTAAAGAAGAATCATTTAATTCAACTAGAGATTCTTGAATTTTCTTTATAAACACAAAAATAGCATTCATACAGGCAAATTTACCATAAATGAAAAAATTACATGAAATTTACTACTTTTACTAATTTATGCGCAGTTTATTTTATACATCACGACTTTTTCTAGACGTCGCCCAACAACTACGTCAGTCATCAGCGCATTCTTGTGGATTTAATTCAATCCTATCTCCTTCTACAACTCGAAAAGCTAGTCCATATCGCTTACAATAAAAATAAACAGAATAGCATAGTTTAAAGCCTTTTGATTTTTTTCAAATATCCAATTTTAGAGAGAAATAGGTGTAAAAAAGAGAAAACTGTTCATTTAATTATACAGAATATAGTACATACAAATTGTAATATATGTATTGATAGGGCTATACCATAGTGAATATTTACATTAAATTTATTACACTATATAAATACAATAATGGTCGTAAAATGTATCAGATATAAACTTTATGTATATGTCATTAAGCTCCTTTTAAAAAATATCAAAAAGATATTACTCATAACCTCAATAGTGAAATGTACCATTTTCAGTGTAGATATTCTTATTAATAATTAATAAGTCATACGATATTATAAAATAACATTTTGCACAGTTACGTTGAACATGTAGCGGAATTTTTTTTTTTGATATTAACGTAATTCTAAACAGGAAAGAACCGGTAAAACGAAGGAAGACAATTAATTGTCGTCATAAAACGTTTACCTCTTATAAATTTCAAATGTTTTGTTCAATATTATTAAAAGTAAAGGATATATGAAAAATAGTAAGAATGATACAAAAATCTTTATTTTTCCCCTTTTATCTTGTTTGTTATTCTTTTAAATTTAATTAGGATGAAAATAGAAATGGTTGTTTTTTTTTTCTGTTTCCATTATTTTTTATCATTTCCTTTATCTTTCCTCTATTACGTATGTCCTAAATTCAACTACAAATTTTGTTTAATGAGAACGTATCTAGTTGCGAAATTCAACAACAAAAAAAAAACAAACATAGCTGAATAGGTTTTATAAAGTAAACTAGAAAAAATAACAGTAAGATTGCAATTATTTAAAGAAAAATAGAGAAAGAAAACATCTATATATACAAATACAGCAAACACTCAAGTCCGAACCACTAAGAGAAATAACATATAAAATCTACACAAATTAAGTATAAATATACTACAGAAGTAAATAAATAAATAAGTTATATTATTAACATTTTAGTCCTTAGAAAAGGAATAAGGTACTTAGATAACTATTGTATAGGCCTACCTATAAACATATACACTGTATATTCATCTAAACGCAATCTACAATATCTCTTTCTCATATGAAACTATTACTATCTCTTTTAGTTAGGTTGTTCTTTTCTGTATTTTTCAATAGGAAGCCACTTACATAAAATAGAACTTATTAGCTATTAATTGCTATTAAACAGTAGATTTTCTGTACAGGAATAATTAACGTATCTAGGTTTTTCTTACTCTATCTTCTGCCATAAACGTTATAGAGAGGTATTAAATTCAAGCGTAAAAAGGTAACGAATCCATAAATAAAAGCATTATTACATCAAGCGTATAGTTTGAAGGGAAATTTACTTTTTCTTTTTTTTGTATTACAATGTTCTCATTAATTTCCAGTGCTTAGTCATTCAGACAAAAGAAAATCAGGCAGTTATCCTCTTCTATCTAATAGCTATATTATAAATATTCTCTACATTTCAAGAGAAATTTGTAAGACATCTTATTCGATTCTAAATAAAAATTTGATATATATTTTGTATATTTAGAAAAGGAAAATCGTTAACATATTTTATGTTTTAAACATATATCAAATATCTTTAATACATCTGCAGAAAATGGATTTTTATTACAGAGAATCGATAAAACTGGAATTTTATACATATCGATATATATATATATATTCCTTGCCTTGAAGGATATGACGAACTCTACTCATTTTTAAATACAGAGTACTGACTTATATTTAGATATCTACTTTTAAATAGAGAAAATGCTTCTAAATTTAATTACAGCAGCATCTAGAATTTTTTTGCCCTATATCACTTGGCAGTTAACCTTCACAAAGGTCAGAAGGATGGGTAGTTGACCGTTTAAGTAGCCTCGAAAGACTTTAATATCTAACGTATAGAATTTAAGCATTTGAGCAGCTTAAATGGTTATATTCCTTCGAAATTAGATAGATTAGTTAATTACATATATTACAATAGTATTCTATTTACTGATAATAAGTTTCCTATGCAAATTTAATTCGACTGGATAGTGATTTTCAATAGATTCACATGTCTTTCATATTTTGTAACGTTTAAAAGACAGGACTACTTATTATTCATGCATAAAACATGTTTAATGTACTAAACAACTATCTTTCGGCTTAGAAAGTAAAGAGGTCACCTTTCAGGTTATAAAATTTATGCAACATCAAAAGGACGCCTACACGTACAAAATGTCGGAGAAAAGATATACACAAGTGTGTGTAATGTGAATGTATAGGGAGTATACCTCAGGTGGAAGTTCTTCTTGAGGAGCAACAATTGCTCCATCAACTTTCTTCTCATCTATAGATTGTCGGAGGTTCTGTTAGAATAAAAAACCGAAATAATCTATTAATGAAAATCAATAGGTCTATATAATTGTATATAATTAATGCGCAATTGATCATGAGCTGCTATGTAGGCCTTTACGAGCCAGTGTACTGCAACGGACGAGCCTAAGCTAACCTTTGCAGACCGGGGGTGTCAACTATGTAATTTTTTTCCAAATCGATAACTTATATTAATTCTCGACGCTAGCTCCCCCTACTTTTAAAGAAACTTAGGCTGATTCTTACTTTCGTACAATCCGAACTATTATCGCTACAAACTGTCTGCAATTCTGCATCGACAACCTTGCCGCTGAGACAACTGAAAAATGACCAGAATTTTCCACCACTTCCGGTCTGGCGTGTTTTCATATTTTTCCCCATTATTCTCAATATTCGAGCATGGTTTGGGCCAATGTTCATGTTCTAAAAGCCAGCCGGCTTTATCCATAAGTCGTAGAACGCATACTATAGATAAGCCGATTTCAAAGTCCGCCGAAAAAATCGTTTTTTTATTCAGTTTGCCTTTTTAGGTAATCTTTTCGCTTTATATAGTGTGCATATCAGGACGGTTTTTATTGTTTGCTTTCAAGGCCAAACATATTGAATTACATTTATGAATATTTACAATCGAATTTTCAGAAGGGAGACGGCAGGGGTAAAAGGCCATAAATGAAAAAATGAATAAAATCATCTTTCGAAAGGTAACCTAAATCATCTACAGCATATATTGCTTACATATAACATTCCCAATATTTAAATGGAAAATGTATAGAATATATATAAATATATATTACCCTATTAGTATTATTTGTATCATAATATTCATTCTACATATTTATTATCAATTCATTATTATATAAATGTTATAAACTATTATCTTAAGAAATAGTTACAAATGTAAAAGTTCACGATTCTCTCCATCTTTTTATCAGTTAAAAAGTATTTAATTCTTAGCATTTATCTGTTAAATTCGTTGCTATTTATAAAAAATATTCAGTAAAAACGTACAAGTCGTATTTGTTAAATGTATATATATACCTATTATGCATAATAAAAAATATATATACACCTATATGATAATTAAATTACTTCTTGTGATCTTTAGGACACGTATAGCTAAATAAATATATATAAATATATATATATATGTATAGACATATCTGTCTACAAAGGGGGAGAATAACCCTGAATGCTAAGGATGAATATTAGGATTTAGCGATTCACATTAGTTTTCTATAATTACTTCTGCGAGTAAACACATACGTTAATTTACGTGACTTTAGCTAAACTGGTAAAAAACAGAAATCGTATATTTTCGGAATCGTTTTCATCTAGACCCAAATACTTTACTATCTGTAGACTATTTAGAGGGATACGTTTCGTATTTCCAATACCAATTAAGTGAGACGCCGTTAAAATACTTTGGAGAAAGAAAAAAGAAGGCAAAGAAGTTCTAGTTTGCCTACACGCTTCATTTGGCAGAGGCCTCGCAGCCTGCAATTTTGTTTCGTCTATTAATATAACTTGACCTCAAAAAAATAAATTAATGATTTTTCTATATTTATATATACATTGTATATATAGAGGCATTATTTTACTTATTAATAAACAAATCATTTTTCGAAGCAATATTTCCCATGGAAATCCGATTAGATAAATAAAAAAAGTGGATAAAAAAGAAAAGAAGTATAAATAAAAGATTTTCCCTCTATTTCTTTATCTCTCTTTTTTTTAATTTCTGATCACATTCTAATAAAATTTATCATTCATAAAACAACTACGTAACAACATTTTAACGGGATTTCAATCTAAAATTACGATATATTGGAACCGATTCAATATTTGTCTACGCCTCAGGCTCAGATAAAATATCTTCATCTCAACCAATAACGCAATCGTAGACCTTAAGCCTGTTTACTAATGATAAATATATAAAATTATAGTTTGCCAGTCTAAGTATTGACCAATGCAGTTGTAGCCGATACACTCAATAAATTAACGAAACAGAGAACATGTAGAAAACGAAATAAGAAAGTCTACAATGTAGTTATGATTATTTCCAACTTTAATATATATATATAAATAACAAATGGGGAAAGAATCTATTCGTATTCGCTTCAGTATGGAAGTCCTTGACAAACTTATAAAATTTCGCTTGGTATTAGACAAAAAAAGAGAGGCGAGATTAAATCAACTATAGCATTGCAGTGAAAAATTATTAATAATCCTATATTATATAGAAAAGCTATTTTTAAAATTTGAACGATAACAGAAACAATAATAATTAAACTGGATGAAATTAAAATAAAGATAATAATAACCATAGAATACTAATGATAATAACAAAAAGAGCCTTCTTCCATTTTTTTAAAGATAGAAATGAACAGATATATGGATAGATAGATAAATAAAACGAAAGGGAGAGAGAGAGGAAACTTAAAACAGAGTCACAGAAAAAAGGGTTTAGCGAAAAGGATAGTAATACTAGATTATGAATGAACAGCTGCAGCTGTTGATTTAAAATTATAAAAAATAGATAATTTATTACTTTGGGATATATAAAATAAAAAATAACTTCAACAAGTGAAAAAAAAACAACAAAAACAAAACAAAATTCCTAGACTATTTTTACTCTTAGTGTTTATTACAAAATGTTGAAATTAATTTAATTATTAAACTAAATAGTTAGATAAAGTTACCTTTTTTACTCTTCCAAAAAAAGTACTTTTGACAAACTATAATATATACAGTATACTGTTTTAACGTAATACAGTATAATGTATACAGTGTACTATAGCCTATGTATCTTAAACGTATACATAACCTATTTATATAGACTATTATAGATATATCTGTCTTTTTTTCTTTTCTTTTTTGATGCAATAAAATGTAATAACGCTAAGAGTTTTATTTATAGAAAAAAGATGCTAGAGAAAAGCCGATGACGCTATAGATTATCATTTATACATTCTTTTCAAAGTTAAATAGAATATTCTGCTCGTTTATTGAATAAGCCTAAAAATTTAAATATCATGCGATATGTTTGAATTTATACTTGTATATTCCATATATGTGAATTATTTTTGGGATAATAAATTACTTGGAAAACCACTTTTTTTACATCTATGCAGATTAAAGCAGTATATCGTTAAACTTAGTGCTTTATGTTTAAAAATTATGTCAGAATAATCTATATGTGATTAATGTACACGTATATGTATATGTATACTGTATATATATAACACTTTAAGCTTACTAAATTGTTTTTTTTTTTCATATTTAGATATTTTATAAAACGAGAGAGAGAGAGAGAGAGAGGGAAAGAGGGAAAGAGACAGATAGCATTAAGGGAAAAACATACAAATAATGATTAATTCCTAAAATCGTAATAAACTTATCTAAATGATTTTTTTAATTTTCTTTTTGTTCTGCATATTTTGCTCAGATAATCTTGACAAAAATATACAACCACAATATTTGTGTAGATTTAGGAGGTTTTCAAAAAGTGGATAATAATTAATACAGTATAAATATTTATTTATATACTTATATATTATTATTCTATACAGAGTACAAAGGAATTTTATATTAACGAGGCAACCGAATTATATATATTGTCTTTTATTGCACCATAATTTAATAGGCGGATGGATAGTTTTCAAAATTAAGGCCAAAAAGAAAAGATACATTTGCTCATATATTCATTGGCCAGTCTTGGCTTTGTGCTGTACAGCTTTTAAATAAATCATAAAATGTCAAAAGCATAATAAAGTTAGTGATATGTAAGTCGTTAAAAAACAAACGATAGTCAATACAATCGTCTGAAAATGTTTGTCAGCAACAGTATCGATTGAAACGCTAATAACTATACAATAAATAGGTAGCTTTATATATTTATTCTAGGATCTAGTATTCAAGATAGAAGAATACAATTTCTAAATAATACAATTCTTTAGGGTATTAGCTTAGAATAGCTGTTGGACGGTATCCAGCTTTCTTTTAATTAACGATAGGCTTAGGTGAGGAAAAAATATTTTCCATTTGAAACCATGCAATCTTAGCAGAACAATAAGATTAATCTTGTTAACGTTAAGTTATAATAAAAAATTCATAAAAAGAATAGAGCCAGCTTTTACTCCATTTGTTTATACATATATATATATATATATATATATATTCAAGTTTGCATCATTTAGATCAGGCTAAACAGAGTCACTTTTTAAACAAAAAAAAACGTTGAATTTAGAAATGAAAAGGGAATCTATTCGTTTACCATCAGAATGTTGCAATTGGTGATAAAAATTGATATATGACAACAATTTGCAAAAAAGCCATCTGATATAGTGCACCTAGTCTGTTAGCATTTGTTAAAGTGAATCAAAACAAAAATGCTTCAACTTTTTATCATATTGAAAAGCATGAAAGCGAAAGCAAAGCGTAAAAAAAAACACTGGATGAGGGAATAGAAAAGATTCTTTTTTTTCAATCCTATAACAGATACTAGAATAAAAAATAGCAAGAAGAAGAGAGAGAGGGGGGGGAGAAGGAAGAGAGGGGGGGGAGAAGGAAGAAAGGGGGGAGGGAGGAAGGGAGGAAGACAGAGTAAAACGATTATATATAAAATATTAATCAAAAAGGTTCGATTACGTGGAAACGCTTCGAGAAATGCTTAGTGATGAACAATTAAGCTAAGTTTATAAATGTAATTAAACGCAAAAACTAAGGCAGGCAACCGGTTATGAGTCTGATGTATATTAAGCAGCTGTTTGCAAACGCTTTTCATCACCATCTATATTTGTCTACTACAGCTACAAAAGATCATTTTTTCTCTTTTTCGTATTCTTCTTAATAATAAAGACTTAGAACAGAAACAAAAAATATCTAACTATAAATCTAGGTATAAGGCAAGAGCAAAATGGGGGAGAGAAAGATACACATTTCTCTCAAACGACTAAAACCGGATTAATTGGGAGTAACCTTGAAACATGGCCTTGTTAATGACGTCTTAACCTGACAAACCTGATATGCACACTATTTTCTGAGAAAAATCCGAATAAAGAATATTCCTGTCCCGCGATATGTCCAGATCAGGCCGAAAGAGACGCGAAAATCATCAATACTTCGCGCGACAATCCTATTGCGGACAAACTATAGGGGTGTCGGCTTTCCCTGTCTGGTTTGCCAGACAAACAAGACAATTCGCGATCGCCTAATCAAACTGAAAGCCCAGCGGCCTGACGAAAGTTTTGCTGAGATAATCATCCTTTGAGAACTTTAGTTCGTTATGATAATAGGCTCATCTGTTCTGAATTTTATGAGCCGGAACTGTTTTTTACGCATACGAAGAGAAAATTCTTATTTAGTTTTCCTTCATTTTAGACTGTTTATATCTAGTTGAACTACCACTGAGAATCTCAATCA